GGTCCCGCCAACCCCCCCTCATGCCACTATCCATGTATTGGACAACCCCAGTTTTTTGACATGGTTTTTGTGTCAAAACCTCATCCAATACATGGAAAAATACGGTAGTTGGGAATCCCTGTCATTGGATCTGGCGCCACCTACTGTTGGCCTCCTTGCCATCTGCCCTGCCAATCCCACCTTTGGCCAGTGCCATTTGCTTTTCCTACACAGCCAACCTCCCAAAATGCAGCTCTAATTTTATCTGAGGGCAAAAAGAGAGCACTGACAGCCAACGTAGTGTAGAGGTTAGAGTTCTGGATCGCCACTTGGGAGAGACCAGGATTCAAATTCACCCACAGCCATGATATAGCCAGGGAGTGTATGTGAATTTTCACCCATCCTTGGGTCAGCATCTTGGATGGGAAATAGAGACCTTAGCGAGAGAACCAGAATTATTATTATTATTATTATTATTATTATTAATAATAATAATAATAATAATAATTTATACCTCGCCCATCTGGCTGGGTCCCCCCGGCCACTCTGGTTGGCTTCCAGCAAAATATTAAAATAGAGTAATGCATCAAACATTAAAAGCTTCCCTAAACAGGGCTGCCTTCAGATGTCTTCTAAAAGTCTGGTAGTTGTTTTTCTCGTTGACATCTGGTGGGAGGGCATTCCACAGGGCAGGCACCACTACTGAGAAGGCCCTCTGCCTGGTTCCCTGTAACTTGGCTTCTCGCAGCAAGAGAACTGCCAGAAGGCCCTCGGCGCTGGACCTCAGTGTCCGGGCAGAACGATGGGGGTGGAGACGCTCCTTCAGGTATACTGGACCAAGGCCATTTAGGGATTTAAAGGTCAGCATCAACACTTTGAATTGTGCTTGGAAATGTACTGGGAGCCAGTGTAGGTCTTTCAAGACTGGTTTTATGTGGTCTCGGCAGCTGCTCCCAGTCACCAGTCTAGCTGCCGCATTCTGGATTAGTTGTAGTTTCCGGGTCACCTTCAAAGGTTGCCCCATGTAGAGCGTATTGCAGTAATCCAAGCGTGAGATAACCAGAGCATGCACCACTTTGGCCATACAGTCCACGGGCAGGTAGGGTCTCAGCCTGCGTACCAGATGGAGCTGGTAGACAGCTGCCCTGGACACAGAATTGAGCTGTGCCTCCATGGACAGCTGTGAGTCCAAAATGACTCCCAGGCTATGCACCTGGTCCTCCAGAGGCACAGTTACCCCATTCAGGACCAGGGAGTCCTCCACACCCACCTGCCCTGTCCCTCAGAAACAGTACTTCTGTCTTGTCAGGATTCAACCTCAATCTGATCAACCTTAGCAGTGATCAGGGGAGGAACGACTACTGAGAGGAGCAGACAGAGAAGAAATGCCATGTTGCACTTGCAGCAGCACAACTGGATGCCTTCCTCTGCCCCAGCTGCAACAAAACATGTCTCACCTGCATTGGTAATGTAACCTTCCAACAGTTTGACTTCATCTCCAAAGGGACACTCTTCCATTGTCTCCCGAGACAGATGGATGGCAACAACAGCCATCTATATCTGTGTGAGGCATATGCAATTTTGTGTATCCTGAGTCCATGAAGTTACCTAAGCACAGCCCCTGGGTGGCTCACGCCCTGCGTACACCAACCTTCCAGTTTATCATGGCCTATCATGTCAAAAAAATCAGAAGTTCTGTTGGGCAAATGAAACTTATTTCCCTGGATTCTTCCCCAAAGCTATCATTTTGCTCTTTCTTCCCTTCAATGAGTCTCAGTGCAGTAATTCAAGCCACAGGTTATCAACTATTAGCCTCCATTTTTTAAAAAAATGATTGGAGATTACATTTAAATATCAGTACGGGAAACCTGATGAAGTCAACACTTGTGTCTTGCCGAGATTCCAAAGGTTGGGCTGTATAATTTCATGATCGCATAATTCTACGCCATCAAGCTATCAAATACTGACACTCCTGAAGCAGTATATCTTTGCCTCTTTGAAGGGACCCCCCCCCCATGAAAACCTAAGATTATTTAGCTAGAGACTTGTATTACTTGTTTAAGCCACTGGACAGTGTTCTGGGTGTATCACTCTGGTCCTTGCATGCAGGCAGAAACAGGATTCATAATAGAGTATTAAATATCTCATTGGACAAAATGAAATAAGCTCATTTTGCCCAATATGATATAAGCAAAGGAGTGGGCCCCCAATAAAAAAGACTAGGTTTTGCACCCAAAATGATCTCTTGCAGTGAACAATGTGAAAGAAAGTGGAATGGGGAATGATCCGACTACAAATCTCCTGATGCAGTGCAACTTCGACATGGGTGAGATTACTCAATTTGTTTCTAAGATTAAAGCAGGCATAGGCAAACTCGGCTCTCCAGATGTTTTGGGACTACAGCTCCCATGATCCCTAGCTAACAGGACCAGTGGTCAGGGATGATGGGGATTGTAATCCCAAAGCATCTGGAGGGCCGAGTTTGCCTATGCCTGGATTAAAGTCTTCCAGTTGCATGATGCAGTGTGACATTATGTAAAAAAAAAATTCCTTCGTAAGAATGCCTGAGAGCTTATCCACATTTACCTTTTATCCTGCTCTTTCCATGCAGAGGTCCACACTTTAACCTTCTGTGTCTGAATGCCCCCCCCCTTTCCCTCAGAAACCTGCTCTTTAAAGCTGAATTGGAACAAATGTCAATTCAGGTTTTCTACAGTGGGGGAAGTGATCCCACTCCTGCCACCACTAAGATGCAAAAGTCAATGGGACACCAAGAGGAGAAGGGCCTTCTCTTTCTCATGACCCCCTGCAGCTGTCACCAAGGAAAAGAAGTCTATACTGCACTGGCTCCCGGTGGAGTACGGGGTCAGGTTTAAGGTGCTGATTTTGACCTTTAAAGCCCTATGCAGCCTAGGACCCATGTACCTATAGGACTGCCTCTCCTGGTATGCCCCACGGAGGACCTTAAAGTCCACAAATGACAACACTTTGGAGGTCCCAGGTCGCAAGGTGCTTAGATTGGTCTCAACTAGGGCCAGGGCCTTTTCAGTACTGGACCCGACTTGGTGGAACGCTCTGTCACAAGAGACTAGGGCCCTGCAGGACTTGACATCTTTCTGCAGGGCCTGCAAGACAGAGCTGTTCCACCTAGCCTTTGGTTTGGACTCAGTCTATGTTTCCCTCCCCTTATGGTCTTCATCTATCGGCTACTTTTAAAATGAGGTTGCATTTTAAATTGCATTTTAACCTGTATTTTAAATTGGGTCCTCCCTCCCTTCCCCTATTATGTTTTTACTGTGATTTTATTGGTATTAGCCACCCTGAGCTCAGCTCTGGCCGGGGAGGGCAGGTATAAAATTATCATCATCATCATTAGTTTCCATCTAGCCCACCCCCCCATGCAGACTATTCCCCCTTTCAGCAAAATCTGTAGATCTGGCACTGTAGATCTGGCACCCAACATCTGGAAGCACCAGGCTAGGGAAGTCCATGCAAAGCACCGGCGTAAAGAATCAAGGAATTACTGTGCTGTCTGAGACTCACGTTGACCAACATCTGATTGTCTTTGCCGGTTTATAATTCTCACTACAGGGACACTGCCAACCACCCAAACATATACACTGTCCAAATGAAATTATATTTCCACCGAGCTGAGCAATTTCAGGTACCAGTATATCTTGCCTAGTAGTCTCAAGGATGATGTTGGCAAGGTTGGGGGGGGCAGTTTTCACTGATTAATAATATCTCCATCTGCAAATGGATTTCGACTCCTTGCAGATGGGTCCTTGGTTGGCTGTGAATTGATTTCGCAGCTAGCTGGGGCGACCTCGCTTTGAAATGGTCACTGCCACTCCGTTGCGGGTGGGTCCTAAACTCAGGAGCAGCAGGCATATCACGGCAAACAGGTACTCAGGGCATCATTCTTCCAGATTAAAAGTGGAAACCTATTCCCACCCTGCAATCAAAGGAGTTTTTGCCATCGTAGATACCAATACAGAACTCATTCGCTGAAGGTGGCTCCTTACGTAGCCAACACGGAACCATCCGTGGTCAAATGGAAAGGATTGGCAGGCTTGTGGGAGTACTGAGCTTTGCAAAAGTGTGCATGCACACACACACACACACACACACGCACACACAAAAACACAGAGCGGAAAAACAACTTGCAAGTTCTCAAAACAAACAGGCAAATGTACAAACATCTGAATGAAGATTAAGCATGCTTGGTGGTCATGGAATGCTGATTAATAATAATAATAATGCAGCAATCTATGTTACCTAATACAAAATTATTAATTTGTTCAAATTATTGTCACCTAATAAATTAATAATATATGCAATGTATTTGTCACCTAATAGAGTCATACCTCGGGTTACAGAGGCTTCAGGTTGCGCGTTTTCGGGTTACGGATGCGCCAAAACCCGGAAGTAACGGAACGGGTTATTTCCAGGTTTCGGCGCTTGCGCATTAACAGGACTAAATCACATTTTGCGCATGCGCAGAAGCGCCAAATCACAACCCGTGCGTGCATAGACGCGGTTCTGCGGACTGCGAATGTGCCTCCCGCATGGATGACGTTTGCAACCTGAGCATCCACTGTAATTCATTCTGTTTGTCACCTAATGCAAAATTATAAATTTATTCAGTTTGTCACCTAATAAAGAAAAAATGTATGTGACTTATTTGTCATCTATTGCAAAGAATTGATAATAATAATTTATTCAATTTTGGGGTAAAGAAATAAACTATTGTTGTTTTCCTGTTGCGTTTCATAGAATTGTAGTATTGTGGAGTTGGAAAGGATCCTGAGGTCATTTGGTCTAACCTCCTGCAATGCAGGAATCTCAATTAAAGCATCCATGACAGATGGCCATCCAACCTCTGCTTGAAAACCTCCAAGGAAGGAGAGTCCACAACCTCCCTAAGGAGACTGCTCCATAGTCAAGCAGCTCTTATTGTCAGAAAATTCTTCCTGGTGTTGACTCAGAATCTCCTTTTTTCCCCTTCTAACTTTTTTATTATAAATTTTATTAGTATTTTCCACACAACACGAAAAATATCGAAAAAATATATACGAAACACAAAAATCCACATCCGAAAAACAAAACAAATCCATATCTTAGAAGTTAATAATACTAAAAAGAAACACTAAACACTAAAAAGAAAAACATTGACTTCCACCAATCTCACAGCACCTTCTTTATCTCTCATTGTGTCTTCCTGTTTTCCTTATCATCTCTATCCTAGCATCTAGATATAAATCCCTCTTTCTTATCCTTTCACTTCACAAGGTTATTCCAGACTCAGCCAGATTTCTGTCCTTGAACCTTGGCTTTTAAGGTATTCATTTAGACACTCCCATTCTTTTTTTTACTTCACTTTTTGGTTTCTGTCTTATTATATCTGTCAATTTGGCTAATTCTGAAAGCTTACATAACCACTCTCCCCTAGTGGGTAACTGATTCCCTTTCCAATACGTAGCCACCAGGATTCTTGCTGCAGACATCGCCTATAAGAAAAAAATTGTTTTGTCTTTTGGAATACCATCATTTAAAATTCCAAAAAGGAATGCCTCTGGCCTTTTACTATATGATATTCTTACTATTCAGAATCTCCTTCCTTGTAACTTGAATCCAGTGGTTTAGGTCCTAACCTCTGGAGCAGGAGCAAAACCACTGGTCCACCTAGCTCACTGCTGCTCACTCACACTGACTGGCAGCCTCTCCCAAATTCCAGGCAGGGGAGATTCCTATGTGGAGATGACAGAAACGGAACCTGGTACCTTCTGCATACAAAGCAGATGTTCTAGAACTGAGCGCCAGCCCTTCCCAGTCCAGGAAGCCTGTTCCATCAGCTCTGTAAATAGGCCAGAGAATATTTTCTGCCGTTTGTCGGTGTCAATATTTTAAAATGGTAAACTGCCTTGGCAGAAAGGCAGTCTATAACTGGCAATAAATAAAATGATTCCCCCCTCCTTTTTTTTGTATAGACTTACTTCTAAGACTGCAGCTTAAATTATTACTTTACAAACCCCTGCCCTGGTTAGCATCTCACAAAACATCCTTTAATGTGAGAGATGTTTCTGCTACATTAAATCAATCTGAAAAAAGCCAAATCAACCATAACTCTTAAATGATGCATGGCAAGGTATTTCTTTAATTAGCCATAAACTTAATTGATTAGTCTTCTCTAGAAGAGGAATGGGAAATGGAAAACACACACACAAACACACACACACTGGTGGAAAGCAACCTCGTAAACCTTTGAATGAAAGGGACTGTCTCCTTTTGATAAGTGCCAAATTAATCTTCATAAATGGACATAATTACTAGAGATTGGGCCTCTGCCAAGTCCCTCCGTATTAAAAAAGAGTGAAATTATGCAATTGATTGTATCCACCGTCGTCTCTCTGGGGTATTCAGACAAGCTTTGACCCTGGCGACAAAAACGAGGAACTAAAATGTTCATGTCGAGGAGTGTGCTGCATCTATTAAAGCTTTGCTCTTTGTTTATACGCCGCCTCCCAACTCCCAGAGGATCTTCAGAGTGGCAATATACTCTTTTCTTCAGGGGGAGCTGGTGAGCCCATGAGAAGAGGGGAGGGGAAATTTAATTTGGATACCGATGACATGCTAGCAGTCAGATAGGGGCTACCTGAGAGAGTGCAGGCAGGGATCGTCTGTGGGTTGGACAAGGGCCTGTGGTTAGAGACGGAGATTTATGATTAGAACCAGGAACCTGGGATTAGAGCTAAAGGCCTGGGATTAGTGATGTGGATTACAGCTAGGAATCTGGGAGCAGAACTAGGAACCTAGGATTGGAGCTAGGGGTTGGGGATTAGAGATAGGCATTTGGGGATTAGAGAGAAGGACCTAGGATTAGAAATAATTTAGGATTAGAAATAGGAACCTGGGATTAGAGACAGGGACCTGGGATTAGTGATGGGGATTACAACCTCTGCTGTGTGAATACAGGGAGAAATGTATCCAATCCCACACCTATAATAGCAGTCACGTTCCCCATCACCCATTTTACATGAGGGTTTCTGTCCCCAGGACTTGTGCTTCATCCTGGCCTCCCTGTAAAATCTAGGTTTGTTGCCTCTGGCCTCACCCGCCACTGCCGTATGGCCCTTGGAAACCTTCCCAAAAGGAAACATGACCCTCAGGTTGAAAAGAATTCCCCAACCCTGTTCAGGAATTATAAAGTGTTAACATATAGAACAGGCTTCCTCAGCCATGGCCCTCCAGATGTTTTTGGCCTATAACTCCCATCATCCCTAGCTATCAGGACCAGTAGTCAGGGATGATGGGAATTATACTCTCAAAACATCTGGAGGGCCGAGGTTGAGGAAACCTGATATAGAACCTGGATTATTGCTGCTTTAGGCCTCGTTTTTCTCGGGAATCATGCCAGGCAGTTCTGAACAAGTCCAGCAACATTGTCCTTTTGGTCTGATCCAACAGATTGTCTTCTTTTGTCTTTATAGATCTCAGCAAACTTGTAAAGCCACGATGCACTTTCTTGGTGTTCAACTGCAGAAGGGGGAGCATCAAAGACTACAGAGAACAGAATACCTGCAGCATATTTTTTTATTCACCCTAGAACACAGGTTCCCCGCACATGGGCTTTTGTAAACATTTCCAAATGAAGGTACTTGAATTATAGAAAACCAAAGGCGCCTTTTCCATTCCAATGTTTGAATACTCTTAAAAATTAATCACCTCCTCACCAAAAATTTAAAAAAGTTGAAAAACCATTTGTTATTAGGTGAAGTTGACTCCCACTTGCCAGAACTCCGCAACTGCTGTGCAAAATACTGCTTTTTATGTGGCTGAAAATTAGGCCCTGTGAGAAATAGAGAACATTTGAGCAAGGTACATGCGAGATGAAATAAAGGCTCTTCCTTTCATTAGGTTAATTAAGAAGGCTAGGAAAATGACTGAGGAAACCCAACTGTTTCTAATGGCACACCCCTCTGCTGAGAAGCTCAAGGCAGATTTATGTCAGGGGTGAAGAACTGTGGCCCTTCAGATTGTTTGGGGCTACATCTCCTATCATCCCTGACCACTGCTCAAGCTGGCTGAAGCTGATGGAAGCTGGGGGTCCAACTTCAGGAGGGTCAAATGTTCCCTCTTCCTGATTTATATACAATAGCCTTGTCCTCCACAAGATGGGGTTTTAATGGAGAACCAGTTTGGCTAGCAGTCAATGTAGATTCTTGGGCCTTGTTTTGGCACACAGATTGCCAAGGTCCCACCACAAACAACTTCCATCCATCTTGGGCCTCCACCAGAAATTGGCTGTGCCCTTCAGAATGTCCATCCAACCTAGCTCAAATTACACTTTCAAATACTTTTAGTTTTTACTCCCATCCGCGCCATCAGCTTTTAAATGGGAAAGTGACCTACAATTGAGGGAACAGCAACAGATTTGCTTATTCACAGCACACAATATATCCCAAACGCTTGAGTACATTTCAACTCCTACCTAAGAAAGGATAAATTCTCAAGGCGTGAGGCAACAGAAAAGAAAGGAAGGAAAAGGAAAGACTCTGATACCAGCTCAGTTTCCTGCCACGAAATGATTTAACAGATAGAAATGAGACAGCAACAGAAGGACCACCATGTTGCACAGCGAGGCCTGTTCATTACAGTAGTTTCATAACTTTTGACGCGGAAAATACCACGTAGGTTGAAGTCGCTTCCCTTTTTGGACAACACAGGAATAAAAAAATTCCACACTTCATTCTCATATAACCAACACCAACAACAGAGACTTCTCAACCCCATCCACACCGACACTTCCGTTTCAAGAAAGGAGAACATTATTTCTGGGGAAATGGATAAGCAAGGGGAAATGGCAAGCAACCTTCTTTTGCTCATTTCCTTCAAAGTCATTCTTCAAAGAAATTAAACGTCTCCTTAGTAGGCAGTCATTCATCGCTTCTGTATCCAAAGGCTAATCATCCCCAGCTTCAACAGACTGAAGGAAACAGCTTCGAATAAGTTCGCTGCATCTTCTGTGCATCTTCTGTGCCCAAGGGTAACACACTTGAAAAATTGAGCTTGCGCCATGTCTCTGGGCACTGGGCAAGACAAGGCCATCTTGCTAACATAAGGCACTTACCTACTTTTACAGGGGGAGGAAGAAAGAGGGCTGAGGCAAGAATGCAATGTTAACATGCAAGTTTAAAGAAAATGTTTCCTGGCGACCAACGGCCACTGTATTAGCATTTAAGACCTCTGAGATGGATGGTTCATCTGATGTCAAACGTCGGTCATAAAAGCTGCTCTTTCCTTGCAGATGTCAGGTCCGCACACTGGCGGGAGGTCCGTTAGTCCGGGATCTTTGGCGGTCGTATCTGACAGACACAATAAGGAAAAGGAGGAGGGTTGCTCCTTGAATAGCAACCAGCAGAAAAAAGTAATAGTTTAAATGGCACCCATTAATGTTACCTGGGGGGAAGAGAGAGAGAGAGAGACAAGGTAAGTTCATGCCATTACACGAAGTAATGCCATTCCATGTAAACCAGGATTTAAGCCAGTGTTAACTGGAACACAGAAACATTTTGCCAAAAGAGAAACACTAATGCTAGCTTCACCGTGAGGTTGGCCGGTTTTCCTGCGGACAACTCACATCTCATGTCAGAGGCTGGCAAGGCTTACCAGGCATGGGCCGGATCACTCCTGTGGAGATCATCAGCGGGCCGGACCGGCGCAGCGCGACACCAGAAATTGCGTCTGTGCATGTCCGTGGCGCCGGAAATCGCTTGTGCGCATGCCCAGATGCCGGAAATCACGCCTGCACAGAAGCGATTTCCGGCGTCTGGGCATGTGCAGACGCGATTTCCGGAGAAAAAATGGTGCAGCCTGAACGATATGAATCAGAACCATGCGGTGATTTCTGGACCATCTGCGAGCTGGATCCAGAACCCATTCGGGCTGGAACTGGCCTGCGGACCTTAGGTTGCCGACCTCTGTCTTATGTGCATTTAACACCCACGATTCCAAGCATATGCGCTCCGCTGCCGCTCTATCCCAGCCTTTTTCTTCTGCCTGCATCTCTCTCTGCCTTCTCTGTTTGCTTCCCTCCTCCTCCTTTCCGTCAGTCCAAAAACTACACCTGACCAGGCAAAGTCCTGCCTGGCAAGCCTGCAAGGCGAACAGCTCTGGGAGTGGTGGTGATGCAAGATTTTGAACCCACAATGATCTCACAAGGCTCTATGCTCCAGGTCCACTTGGGGCCTAAAGCTTCCCCATACCTCTGGCCCTTCCCCTCCTTGGCCACCTTATAGAAAGTGGGATGGCTAGCTGTGGGACGGCTCTCTCTCCCCCCCCCCCATGCAGACTAGGCACGCTCCCCATTTCCACCTATGCAGGGTAGAGGGATGAATAGGTGAGAGCTGCAAAGGTGGCCGGTCTTCGGTCACTCACGTGGAGAAAGGGAAGTCGTGGAGACATGAGGAGGCCTCCCTGCAGGGCTCCCCCACTCCTTGCCAGCCAAGGAAAAGGCAATTTTAGCTATACACAATTTTCATACATGCGCATAATCCCTGGAACCGAACCCCTGTGGATGACGCGGGTTGCCTGTATTCTTGGGAGCTGCTTGATTCTCTAGAGAGCAGCCCATGGGCTAAAGTATTTTCTTTCTACAGAAGCTGTACCTCAATAGGAAACTGTGTTTTTTAATCATACTGGAGCCATCTAGCAGTTTCCTTTTCTTGGAACCGTGTGAAAACTTTCCTGAGATCTTGCTCTTCAATTAAGACACTTCAGTTCACCCGCACAGGGCTTGCACTCAGCTTTCCTTCAAAACTAGGGTTTAGTTTCCTAAATTAGGAAAGCTCATTGGTTGAAAATTACGCTTCTGTTAAGGAAACTTTGTTTGCTAATGTTGCATGTCCACACACGGCTCAACATGGACAGAGTCCAATAGACCTCAGGAGGACTACCCAACTGGTTCATTATAGTTATTACTTAGAACTGGGCAGGGACCAGGGTGGTGGGGCATCAGAAAAAATTCTGTACTCATCAATCCTTGTTTGTGCATACATGTCGAGTTGAAATTACTTTAATTACGTAAAACGTAAGATTCAATTAAATGGATTTATAATTGCAAGCTCTAGTAAGAGCCCAAAGGGGCTTTGCACTTGACATGAAAAAACAACAATGCAGTTCATCCGAAGAGGAAGAGCCTTTTAAAAGTAGCAGTTTCCCTTTTACAGGTCAGGATGTTAACGCCATGAAAATCTCCATTTCTTAAACTCCAGAAATAATTTAATTGTTTCATGGGGGCTAGGTTGGCACTTGAGTGTTTGTGGGTAAATTAAGTGGTGAGGGGGAGCTAAAGAAACACAATGATTTGAGCCAACACAGTTAACACTGTGCTGCTGGGGCGTGGGGAGGAAATTGGATCAATCAGCTGGGGGAAATGATTCTGCCTGGGTTAGCCCTCCTGGCTCTGAGCCCTCTATGAGGCTTTTCCCCCTTCTCTATCCCTCAGAGCAGCTCCACCAATGTCGCAACACAGCGGTCCTCAAAGTGGATGGTGCTGCTCCCTTGGGGGGAGGGGGCGGTGGGATTACCTGGGGGGGGGGGATTACCTGGGGGTGCTGCTGGAGATGCCAGTGACTATCAGATTTTGAAAAGCCGGCATCAATGGATCACGTTCACCCATTTTGTTGAATTCATTAAGCTAGACAGTTTGGGTTGGATTTTGAATACCGTATTTTTCGCTCTATAAGATGCACCCAACCATAAGGCGCACCTAGTTTTTAGAGGAGGAAAACAAGAAACAAGAATGCAACACAAAGCCTCTTGAGTGAAGAGGCAGGAGCGCCCCCGCTGCGCTCAAGAGGCTTTGCGTGGCTGTCCCTGAAGCCAGAAGAGCAAGAGGGATCGGTGCGCACCGATGGTGCTGCCCTGAAAAGCCTGTGCGTGGCTAAGCCAGAAGCTAGAACAGCGAGAGGGAGCACTGCGCAGCAATCCCTCTCACTGTTCTGGCTTCTGGGATAGCTTCTGGGATATTCTGTTGGGAGCTGCCCAGAGTGGCTGGGGAAACCCGGCCGTTTGGGCGGGGTATGTATGTATGTATAAATTAAATAATAATAATAAGTTCATCCATCAGAATGACCGAGGGTGTCTTGCTTCCCCCCAAGAAGCCCAGAATAAAATTCAAAATACTAATGGATGCAAAAGAAAGAGGTGGATTTGCCCTGCCAGACCTTAAACTTTATTACGAATCAGCCGCATTTTGCTGGCTGAGAGAATGGATGCTTCTTGAAAACACAGACATTTTGGATTTAGAAAGTTTTAACAATGTATTTGGGTGGCATGCATATTTGTGGTATGATAAGGTCAAAGCACATAAAGCATTTAAAAATCATATTGTCAGGAAAGCATTGCTTAATGTCTGGATAAGATATAAGGACCTACTTGAAAATAAAACCCCAAGGTGGTTGTCACCGATGGAAGCGAAGGCTCAGAAAAAGCTCAATATGGAGGCCAAATGGCCGAAATATTGGGAAATTTTGGAACAAGAGGAGATAAATTGAAATTGCAGAGCTTTGAAAAACTAAAAATAAAGTGCGAGATTGGCTTCATTATTATCAAATAATGGAGGCATACAATTTGGACAAGAAAATTGGCTTCCAGGTGGAAAAATCAAAACTGGAAACAGAACTGTTAGATCCTAAAGTTAAGAATTTGTCAAGAATGTATAACTTGCTGTTGAAATGGAATACTCAAGATGAAACAGTAAAATCTGTTATGATTAAATGGGCACAAGATGTTGGACATAACATTATGATGGCTGACTGGGAACAGTTATGGACCACAGGTATGAAGTTCACGGCATGTAATGCCTTAAGAGAGAATATTATGAAAATGATATACAGGTGGTACATGACACCAGTCAAGCTTGCAAAAATCTATCATTTGCCCGATAATAAATGTTGGAAATGTAAAGAAACTGAAGGTACATTCTTTCACCTTTGGTGGACGTGCCCAAGGATTAAGGCTTTCTGGGAGATGATCTATAATGAAATGAAAAAGGTATTCAAATATACCTTCCTGAAGAAACCAGAGGCCTTTCTCCTGGGCATAGTCGGCCAATTGGTGCCAAAGAAGGATAGAATTTTCTTTATGTATGCCACAACAGCAGCAAGAATACTTATTGCAAAGTATTGGAAGACACAAGATCTACCCACCCTGGAAGAATGGCAGATGAAGGTGATGGACTATATGGAACTGGCGGAAATGACTGGCAGAATCCGAGACCAGGGAGAAGAGTTGGTGGAAGAAGATTAGAAGAAATTTAAAGACTATTTACAGAAATACTGTAAAATTAATGAATGTTAGAATGATGTCAGAATGAAGCTAAGGGGTTTTTAGTAGCAATGTTATAAGGAGTATGTAAAAATGGACTGCTAACAGATGAGAATATACAGTTATTACATATTAAGACAAAGGACTAAGATAAAAACAAAGAAGGAAAGGATTTGCTGAATTAACTTACTGATCTGGAATACAAAAAGGGGAGGTGTGAGGAGGTCAGGGAAACAAGTAAATGAAAGACAAGATATGGAAAGATTGATTTGTTTTTTAATTGTTTTTACTTTTTTGTATTTTGTATTCTCTTTCTTCTGTTTTATTCTTTTTTTCCCTTTTCCCCCCCCTTATTATCATTATTGTAACTTTTTTTTTTTTACTTTTGAAACTTTAATAAATATCTTACAGAATGACCGAGGGTGATTTGGCCCCCAAGCAGGCCTGAACCCAGGCTAGCACGGATTCAGATAGTCCGTCTCATCTGGCAATATCTGAAGCTATTCCCCCACAACCCTCTGTCGCCTTTCCCCAGGAAGGAAGGAGGGATCTGCAACCAGAAGATAGTAGTTACAATCCCTTGGTTGGTCTATAACCAGCTAGTTTGCTCACCAAAGGGCACCAAAAAAAGGAGCACCCCAGTGTCAACTGCTTTGCTCAGCGAACAATTTCTCCAGAACAGCCTCTAACAGGTAGTAAAGAACAAACCAGGATTGTTATACGGGGGTGGGGGTGTGTGTGGAATTATTACAGGGTCGTTTCGGAATTTCTGTGTAATCGTTGCTCAGCTTTTAAAATGCCTCCTCTGGCGAAGGTTGCCAGTGAAAATTGCAGCTTAGAAAAAACAGCCGTGCCTAAGATAGGAAAGTTTTTTAAATTAACAGCATGCGGCAGCTTTCGGAATAAGCACTCTGCTTTCTTTTTCTCCTAACATGCTGGAACAAAAACAAACAAACAAACAAACACATAAATAACTTACCCAAATCTGTGTGATTACTCATCCAGCCAATCGCTGTAATAGACACCAAAGCCAGAAGCCCTGATCCAACAAAAGACCCAACTCCGGAAAAAAAGAAAAAGAGACCCATAATAGCACTCTGCATAGATTTGGGCGCAGCAGAATATGCAAATTCCAGACCTGGAACAAAAGAACAAAGGGGGAGAGGCATGAAGGCAAATTCTATCCATTATTTTGGGCAACATTTCTTCACGAGTATAAAGGCCATGAAGACACGGGCTCAAAACCTGTGGACTCACAGTTATTATTCATCACACATTATTTGTAACGTTTATGGCACATTCTAAGACAGTGAGCGAGAGATATAATTACAGGTTTATTTGTATCAGCCCCAGCAAGCATGGCCAACAACCAGGGGGGACTGGAGTTGTAGTTCAGTAAGCATCTGAAAAGTCAAAGGTTCCCCACAACTGATTTACCATCAGTTGTTTAAAAGGCTGAAATGCGCAATACAACCACAACATTAGCAATACAGTCATACCTCCACTTACGTATCCCTCTGGATACGTAAACTTCAGGATGCGAACGCGGCAAACACGGAAGTATTTTTTCGGTTTTTGCCGCAGGCGCATGCGCAGAAGCACTCTACGTGCTGTGCACATGCGCAGAAGCACTAAACCACACCGCACGCATGCGCAGAAGCGGTCCTCTGGTTGCAAATTCCTCGGAATGCAACCGGACCTCTGGAACAGATCGCAACCGGAGGTACCACTGTACCATGAAGGCAGCAGCTGAAAATATACAGCAGGTGATATAAGTAATAAAACTGCTCCTTTTCCCTTATGGGGTACTCAAGAGCCCCTATAGAGTCCTTTTGTAGGTTCTCTATCGGTAGGAGAAAATAACAGAGACCAAACAGAGAATATTGAGAAGCAAAACAGCTAGTAAGCCTGATATTTATTAAAGCTGTTGCAACAGGGTGCTCCGTAGGAGAGAGGAGGAGGACCCAGAGCCATGCTATGAGAAAAATCCAACCCTGCTTTGAATTGGGCTGGAGGCGCCTGGATTAGGTGGCTGTGTAAGGACCACCTGCCAGCAGAGTGATGGGGTGTGCTCCCTCTTCCACAGGTGGGCAGGAGTGCCACCGGTGGCGTCCCTGCCAGCTGCAGCTAGTGGAAACCCCATTGTGAAAAGGATCCATTGGATGCTGAGCTGCTCCTACTGTCATCATGTGATGTGACAACATCAGGGCTCCCATTGCTCGGTCCCTGCTCCTGCCAACCTAGCAGTTCGAAAGCATGTCAAAGTGCAAGTAGATAAATAGGTACTGCATGTTCTGCAGTCATTGAAGCTTCTGGGTTGCCTTCAAGGGAAGCCCCATGTGTAAGGTAAAGGTAAAGGACCCCTGGACGGTTAAGTCCAGTCAAAGGAGACTATGAATTGTGGCGCTCATCTCGCTTTCAGGCCGAGAGAGCCGGCGTTTGTCCACAGACAGCTTTCTGGGTCATGTGGCCAGCAGGACTAAACCACTTCTGGCGCAACGGGACACCATGACGGAAACCAGAGTGTATGGAAACGCCATTTACTTTCCCGCCAGAGCGGTACCTATTTATCTACTTGCACTGGCATGCTTTCAAACTGCTAGGTTGGAAAGAGCTGGGACAGAGCAACGGGAGCTCACTCCGTCATGCCGACCTTCTGATCCGCAAGCCCAAGAAGCTCAGTGGTTTAGACCACAGCGCCACCCGAGAATCATGCGTAACACATTGCAGCAACCCTCCCTTTGGGTGAGAGGTGTCAGCCTTAACATCCTTGCCAATACAATGGGTGTGTTAATGACCTACCTTTGCAGGCCAGTTGTAAAGAACTAGATTGCTGCTGTGAAGCATGTTAAACACTATGCTATAGAATGTAAAACTTAAGGACCAAAACCCTTTGGTTTAAGTGTTTAAACTTCACATATTTACTCATGTGCCAAAAGCATGGAAGGGATAAGTTAAGGCAACTGCCTTAACTGCCATGTAGAAATTGCTTCGATTATACACACTTACAGCTCGGGCTCTGTGCATCAATGTCGCTTCCTTTGCATGAAGGAATGCTCCTAATAATATGCAGAGTGCACAGCCCTCCATAGAGGCTTTTAAAACATCAGCCTGACCTTACGTCAGCCCTGAACCCCAACTTTTGTTCAACTTTGGGGTTTTTTTCAGGGGAGGCTCATGCCATTGTTTCTGACAACTGGGCATGCTTGCTGGAGAAGCTGGGAGTCCAATGGCATCTTGGAAGGACGCAGATTCCCCATCACTGCTCTGCAACTGCAGCAAGATTATCCAGGTGCCTCTGACTTTGCAAACAGGATTGCAGACAAAAGGCGATGCCTGCATTTCTAAAAGCCTCTGAAGTTGAGCTCGTATTGCTGGATAAAAGACTGCTATAAACAGAGCCTGGTTTCTACTTCGTATGAAATCTGGGCTCTTTGTGCAAAGGAAAGGACACGTGCGTTTCAAAGCAAGGAATGTGTCATAATTGCTGCAATTCAACTTATTATGCAAATTGAAGGGCTTAACGGAACAGCGCAATGGAGAGCCCCACCAAAACATTCAGCACTCCGCCACTCTCCCAGAATATCCAACCAAAGCGTTCGACAATCTGCCTCTCTCCCAGAATATCTGACTCCCATCTCTGAGGTGCTGAGCTTCTCATTATTTGCCTTTTAGCTCAGATAACCACCAGAAGATTGAAACAAAAGCTTTGCAGAGCAACTGGAAGAGGGGTGGACAAATGTCAAAAAGCAATTAAGAGCGGCAGGGAGACTCCAGTTCAAACACAAACTCTTGTGTTTTATCCCAACACTCGGGCTGCAGGGGATTCGAAAGCGGAAGCATGTTGCATGCTGGAAGAAAACTTAAAATAACTACGCTGACCGCCAGACAGTTTTCCAAGCAGAATTCAGAAGCATCGGTGCCTACTTTTAAAATCCACCCTGCAAAAAGGTGGACCAAGCTTTATATTTCTGGGGTCGGCATCAGGGAGAAGTTTCTGATTCTAAGAGCTGTTTGACAGTGGGACGGGCTCCCTCCGAAGGGGAACTCTCCTTTGTTTGAGGTTTTTATACAGAGGTGGGATGACCATACGCCGGTGATTCTTTAGCTGCGATTCTTGCATTTCAGGGAATTGGACAAGATGACCGCAGGGGGTCATTTCGAGTTTAATAGTTACAGTCATACCTCGGGTTACAGCCACTTCAGGTTGTGTTTTTTCAGGTTAAAGGTAAAAGGTACCCCTGCCCGTACGGGCCAGTCGTGTCCGACTCTAGGGTTGTGCGCCCATCTCACTTAAGAGGCCGGGGGCCAGCGCTGTCTGGAGACACTTCCGGGTCACGTGGCCAGCGTGACGAAGCTGCTCTGGCAAACCAGCACCAGCGCAGCGCACGGAAACGCCGTTTACCTTCCCGCTATAAAGCGGTACCTATTTATCTACTTGCACTTAAGAGTGCTTTCGAACTGCTAGGTGGGCAGGAGCTGGGACCGAACGACGGGAGCTCACCCCGCCGCGGGGATTCGAACCGCCGACCATACGATCGGCAAGTCCTAGGCGCTGAGGTTTTACCCACAGCGCCACCCGCGTCCCTACTTTCAGGTTACGGACCGCCAAAACCCGGAGGTACCAGAATGGGTTACTTCAGAGTTTCGGGGGTCACACATGTGCAGATGCGCTAAATTGCGCTTTGCGCATGCGCAGAAGTGCTGAATTGCAACCCACGCATGCGTGACCCCCAAAACCTGGAAGTAACCCGCACGGATCACGTTCACAACCTGAGCGCCCACTGTATTTGATTCTATGTGCTTCTTTAACAGAACCTCAAGGTCCACGACCAACAACATAGGAAACTGCCTTATACAGTCAGACCATTGTTACCGTTTGGCTCAGTACGGCCAGGAAATTCCCTGTGTTGCAAAATCAGAAAACTCTAAACAACCACAAGCAACACGCAGCTGATAATGATCTAACAAAATAGGATTAACATTATATTGTTTCACACTTCATAAGCAGAAAATATGTCATCCTTGCATAAAGTCACAGGTAATCAGAGTCAAATAAATGTTCCATGCACAGAATCAGAAAGTGGGATCAGTCAGTATCAAAACATGCTGAGATGAAGGCAAATTGTCTTTCAATAGTCAAAATCCTGCCGAAGTGCGGTGATGAGGGCTCCAAGTGCAGACCAGTTTCCCCGGATAACGAACTGTTTCAATAATGATTCTTCGTCAGAAATAGGTTGCCCCTACAGGTACTTCAAATAGCAGTGGATCAGCAATCACTTAACAGTGTAGTAAGCTGAGGGGATGGTTCAGAGAGAGACCAGCTTTAAAAGGGATTTAGACAAAGTCATGGAGCATAAGGCTATCGGTGGCCACTAGCCTCAATCGCTGTCTTCTGCTTCTGCCGTGGGAGGCAGTATGCCTCTGAATGCCAGTTGCATTGGAGAGGAAGTTGTTGCGCCCAGATCTAAATAAAGGAAGGCCGTGCAACATCTACATCGTCTCACATATAAAGATGATCCAGCATTGAAGATGGGAAGGTGTACCATGGGAACAGATGGGGCCACATGCTCCCTGTGAACTCTTCGTGCAGTGCTGAATGCCAGTTTTAGAGCCTTGCGATGGCAAGCTTGAGATCTGGTTCTTCCCATTTATTGTGGCTCATCGGGTGCAGAGGGCAGTCAGGAAATAGCAAGAGGTCTGTTGTGAATGGCACAGTGGAAAACCAGCTGCCTAAGCAACAGCGCCATTTCCACTTGCGATTCTCAGCAACCGGTATCCACCGGTTTACTGTCTCCAGCACTGCATCGCCACTGCGGTTCGTATTCACCGCCCAGTAATAATAATAATTTATTATTTGTACCCCGCCCATCTGGCTGGGTCTCCCCAGCCACTCTGGGCGGCTCCCAACAAAGATTAAAAATATATTTAAATGTCACATATTAAAAACTTCCCTGAACAGGGCTGCCTTCAGGTATCTTCTAAATGTCAGGTAGTTGTTTATCTCTTTGACATCTGATGGGAGGGTGTTCCACAGGGCGGGCGCCACTACCGAGAAGGCCCTCTGCCTGGTTCCCGGTAACTTGGCTTCTTGCAGCAAGGGAACCACCAGAAAGCCCACAGCACTGGACCTCAGTGCCCGGGCTGAACGATGGGGGTGGAGATGCTCCTTCAGATATACTGGGCCGAGGCCGTTTAGGGCTTTAAAGGTGAACACCAACACTTTGAATTGTGCTCGGAAACGTACTGGGAGCCAATGTAGGTCTTCAAGACTGGTGTTATATGGTCCCGGCGGCCACTCCCAGTCACCAGTCTAGCTGACGCATTCTGGATTAATTGCAGTTTCCGGGTCACCTTCAAAGGTAGCCCCACGTAGAGTGCATTACAGTAGTCCAAGCGGGAGATAACCAGAGCATGCACCACTCTGGCCAGACAGTCCACGGGCAGGTAGGGTCTCAGCCTGCGTACCAGATGGAGCTGGTAGACAGCTGCCATGGATACAGAATTGACCTGCGCCTCCATGGACAGCTGTGAGTAAGGGCATTAAGATGAGCAAACAAAACCTGGTTGGTTTTTCTCACAGCCTGATGGTGCTCAGATTGTGGTAACACAAAGGTGGGCTTTTCCACTGAAGGTGGGCTTTTCCATCCCTGCAAAATGCCTCCAGGCTGAAAGACGATAGGCCCATCAGTATTGACATTCGTCGGCTCTTGAAGACACACCAGTTTAGGCAAGGCTTCCTCTGAACTTGACCTTCCTAATTATATATTTTATTTATTTATTTTCCGTATAATTTTTATTAGTTTTTCCTTTTATAACACAACAAATCCAACCTTGCAATAACAAAAAAATATACTCTTTGCTCTGCCGAGCTTGTGACTTCCCTCTGTCCCTTCCCTCTGTCCCTCTGGTTTTTTTTAATTTTCAGATCTTTGTATCACACTTTAAATTATCAATTTCTGACCTTAATATTCTTGTAGTCAACTCTATCTCTTTGGTCTGAAAAGTTTTAAAGTTTATGGTTGCCGGATTTATTTCAGTCCCGCTAGTGTCTTCACATTTCTACAATAATTGTTCATATACCAAATAAATTTATTCCAGTCTCTTTGAAATTTGCGACCAAAGACCCAATTACTTATTTTAATCACACTTTTAACTGTTCAATTGCTAAGCCTTTTAACAAGCTTGTTTTGTTGCAAATTTTAATCACAGATATTTTAGATATTTTCTTGGAACGGTACCATTATGTATTTTAATTATTATGGATTTTATAATGGGTTTAAAAAAAACAAAAAACAGGCATACTTTTTCTCTTCCTTCCCTTCATTTCACCCTCACAACAACCCCTTAGTTAGGCTAGGCTGAGAGACAGTGGCTAGTCCAGTCAACCTGACCCTTTTGGTATGAATTGTGGGATAACCTGAACAAATCGCAAGGCCCTTGAAGGACAATTCTCGCTTTCTGAACTGGGATACAAAACAGAACCAAATGTTTGTCCAGAAACAACTTTAAAAAGACACCTGGTATAACTCTGCAGCGTAATATACCCACCACATTGAACAGGGCCTCTTTGAGTTTTTGTAAGCAGAAATATAAAAAAAGTATAAATATAAAAAAGCAAAGCATCAGGGGGTGAAATTCATGAGGACAGAACAGTTTTTTTCCACATTTTCTTTCTGTGGTGAAGAGGATCTAAAATCCTGCCACCTAGTGGCTTCACTGTAGAACTACTGAGAGAAAAAGTTAACTTTTCCAAGTTTCTACCAGCATTCCCTCACGGAAGCAAATAAAGTGGCTTTTCTTCAGATGAGGCACCCAAAGAATTTTTAAGGAAGCCAAAATGCAATTCCACTGGCCGCATTTGGGGAAATGGGTAGGTGGGGAGACATTCTCCTGGCCTTGAAATGTATTATTAATACCGCAATGGCCACTGTATGTGTTTACAGAAGTTAGCCTAATTCTACATTAATTGCTCCAGCTGCTCTTGCCCCTGGCCCTGCCCAATGGCTGCCGTGTGGCCCCTGGAAGGTCGCCCAGTAAGGAAAATGGCCCTCTGACTGAAAAAAGGTTCCCAAGCCCCGATTTACTCCGATGCAGCCTAAATGCCTAGTGCAGATGGGGCCATCTATATTGCCAGATCTGCAGCTCTGTCCCTCCAAAGCCCTGCTCAAAACAACACCATGAGGGGTGGTGTTCTCCCTGCCCCCCCAAGGGGTGAAGAAGTGCACTGATACCAAACGTGGCTCACAAGGGGTGGGGGAGACAATAATCTGACTAGCTGGAGTCCCCAAGACAGTTGGATGGCGCCTTGTACGCCTCCTTCCAGCAACTCCTGCAGCCAAGCTGGTGCCAAACGTTTTGCTCTGCTTTCCTTTGGACAATGTCAATGAGGCCGAGGGGGGGGGGTCTTGTCATCCCGGCAGCCCAGGACCTCCAGATATACCCCCCAGGCTTGTGCCCCTGGGAAGTCACTTCAGTGCTGCTAGCGGTTTGACTTCGCCCCCGGTGGCGTACTCCATTGAGATGGATGCCAAGGTTTTAATTCTATCAATGTTTAGCTGTTTGTTGTTTTAAGTTTTTAGCAATTCTTGCTTTTACCTGTAAGCTTTTATCTGCTTTTATCCTGTCAGTGGAAAAGGTGGGGTATAAAGGTATCATAAGAATAAATTCGTTTGTTTGTTTTTTTAATGAATATAACGAAGGCAGCCTTGTATCAGGTGTTATCTTGGCTTGGGGCGGAGGGCGGAGGGCGGACTGTTGCCCCACGCTCCCGGGCTGCTTCATGGGGGGAGCCTTCCAAGAGCTGTCAAAAAGAACGGGGAAGGGGGGAATGATGTCGGCAAAGCGGTGCAGCTCCCCCCAGGAAGCATCCCAGGAACGTGGGGCAATGGCGCGCAGCCCGCCCGCGACTCCCAAGCTGTCAAAATGAAGGAGGAAGAGGAGATTCCTGCTGGCAAAGTGGCGCAACTCCCCCCCCCCAACAGCTCGGGGAAAGCTTGGGAGTCACGGGTGCACGGCGCACCGTTGTCCCACAACCCCAATGGTCCTCCTGGGAAGCTGTTTCAGCAGCACACCATAAGGTCTTGATTATAAGCCGCACTGTAACTTTTCCGGATCAGAATTCGGGGAAGAAGTGTGACTTATAATTGGGCCAATATGGTACAGTGGTACCTCGGGATGCGAACGGGATCCGTTCCGGAGCCCCGTTCGAATCCTGAATAGAATGTAAGACGTGACGGCATGTCTGCGCATGCGTGTGTTACGTTTTGCCGCTTCCGTGCATGCGCATGACGTCATTTTGAGTGTCTGCGCATGCGCAAGCGGCGAAACCCGGAAGTAACACGCTCCGTTACTTCCGGGTTGCCGTGGAGTGCAACCCGAAAGGGCTCAACCTGAAGCACATTCAACCCAAGGTATGACTGTACTTATTTTAAAGGTGAAGATGTACTCAATCAAAGGGACATTGTTTTTATTCATCGACCAAACTAAACTTAAATGTTCAAGATTAACAACTAAACTTTACTTCGGGGGGGGGGGGACTTTAAAAACGAGGCACAGAATATCAATTTTTTGGGGCATTCTTTGTTTTTGGCCCATGGTGATCCTGGTGTTGAGTGTAGAGGGGGAGTAAAAAGGAAGAGAGAGGAGCAGAGAAAAGAGAGCAACAGTTATTAAATTCGACGTCTACGCAAAACAACATGCATGTGAAACGGAGGCACAAAGCTGGAGCTATTTCTTGCTTTGCTTTTGCTAATGAGCCCTGAATGTGTGTGAAACAGACCAGAAAATGAGATTTTACGGCCACGCTCCCTCCTCCCGTTTGTGCATTCCACGAAAAAGAAGGAAAGAGAGAAAAGAGAATAAAATCAATAGGAGCCTGTACTGCTGGACACTACATGAAACCGGCAGGGGACGGAAATACTCAAGGACACTTGCCTCTTGGGCTAGAGCAGCGAATTTCAAGCTACGCACTGGCAACATCTGCAGCCTTGGAGCCATCTAGCCTTGTGCCATCTGCATTAACTGACAGTGGCTCCCAAAGTCAGCAAAAGTCTTTGCCATCACCTGATCTTTTTTAAAACAAAAACAAACCTGAGGCTGTCAGGGATTGACCCTTAGACCATGGGTAGGCAACCTAAGGCCCGTGGGCTGGATCTGGCCCCATCGCCTTCTCAATCCAGCCTGTGGACGGTCCGGGAATCAGTGTGTTTTTACATGAGTAGAACGTGTGCTTTTATTTAAAATGAATCTCTGGGTTATTTGTGGGGCATAGGAATTTGTCCATTTTTTATATTTTTTTTCAAAATATAGTACGGCCCTGCTGAAAAAGTTTGCTGACCCCTGTCTTAGACCACTAAACACATGTTCCAGCATTGATCTACGGCCCCTCCTTCTTACGAGGCTCCCCTATTCCTCCCTTCCTTCCAAAGGAGCCCAGGACGACACACAACAGGACATGAAACCTCTTAAAAGCAGTTCTAATACAGTGGTACCTCGGGTTAAGTACTTAATTCGTTCTGGAGGTCCGTTCTTAACCTGAAACTGTTCTTAACCTGAAGCACCACTTTAGCTAATGGGGCCTCCTGCTGCCGCCGTGCCGCCAGAGCACGATTTCTGTTCTCATCCTGAAGCAAAGTTCTTAATCCGAGGTACTATTTCTGGGTTAGCGGAGTCTGTAACCTGAAGCATATGTAACCCGAGGTACCACTGTACATTGTGCCAATGCAGGAAATCAACTCTTACAACATCCCTGCGAGGTGGTCACCCAACCTCTGCTTAAGCAGCTCTAGGGAAAGGGAGCCCACCAAAGACCATCGTCCCACCATCAAAGCTACTTGTGTCCTATGGGCAATCTAGATCTTTTTCCTCTCCCCCCCCCCCCGCCCCGGTAACTTGAATCCATTGGTTCGGATCCAGCTCTGCACTGTCAACTGCCATGGGGCAGGGGCAGCCCCCCGAGATGTCAGGATGAGAATCCCCTCGCCTCCCAGGTCTTACAACTTGACTGGGGTGGCCAGGGATTGGACCCTGGACCTTGACGACATGGCACAAAACAGGGCTTCAACGTTATCAACATTATTACAGTGGTACCTCGGGTTACAGATGCTTCAGGTTACAGACACTTCAGGTTACAGACTCCGCTAACCCAGAAATAGTACCTCAGGTTAAGAACTTTGCTTCAGGATGAGAACAGAAATTGTGTGGCAGCGGGAGGCCCCATTAGCTAAAGTGGTACCTCAGTTTCAGGTTAAGAATGGACCTCCAGAACGAATTAAGTTCTTAACCCGAGGTACCACTGTATTATTATTATTATTATTATTATTATTATTATTATTATTATTATTATATTTGCATACTGCCCTTTATCCGAAGATGACAGGGCTCTTTACAACATAAAAAAATTGAGAACACCAAATACATAATAAAAACAAGAACAAAAAAACCCCTCAATAACCCCCGCTCCCACAAATGCTTTTAAAATAACTGCCAAGTGGAAAACGCTGCAAATACACCGAGAATGAGCTTTCTTCCCCCCATCTGCACACCCCTAAAAGCAGCTTCGTAAAAGTATGAAATGGAAGCAAGAGCCCAGGGCAGGTGAGAGAGCTTTTAAATCAGGCGTGGGGAAGCTTTTCCAGTCCGAGGGCCACATTACTTTCTAAGCAAAGTTCCAAGGGCCGCATGTTGGCGGTGGGCGGGGCCACAGGCAAAAGTGGGCGGGGCGTGAAATTTGAGCTCTGCATCTCGCACAGCAGGCTAGTTTCTAGAACACCATTCTCGATCCCCCGTCCGGATAAGCAAGAGGCGTTCCCCAGAGCTGAGAGACACGTTTCCGGCCAGAGAAAACACATTAGATGTGGGAAGCTGGGAGAGAGTAGCGCATGTGGCCTGGGGAGAGTTTATTATTATTATTTTCTTGTTTTACAGAAGTAAGTGTAATGTCTCTCGTACTTTTTCCACGTAACATTTTTACAAATCCATTTCATTTGTTGAGACATTAGGAAGAAAAGAGGTGGAAGGGGGGAGATGGGTGGGGGTGGGGTGGGGTAGCGATGTTTCTATTATGCTTAATGTATGTAGGGTTTGGTGTCAGCGTTGCTTGTGCTGTTCACTTGTGTTCCTGCCAATCACAAACAAACAACCACACCCTAGGCCTGGGGAGAGTTTTGAGGGCCACACAGAGAGGAAGGCAGGGGTGGGGTGGGGTCTGCGTTCTCCCCGTGGCCGGAGACTCCTCAGTCAACGGGATGAAATGGCCGTACAAGAAAGAGCCGCAAGACCTTTCCGCCCTCCCCTTCCCAAACTCACCCGAAATGCTTGCAAATATCTCGCTGAACCCAATCAGAAGGTATTGAGGGATTTGCCACCAGACGGACATATCGGCCGCATGATAGACTGCATTCCCAATCGTCTGATTGATAGTCCTGACCTTCACGATCTTCAGCCTGTTGCTTTCCAATATTCCTGGAAGAGAGGGGGAAATGCAATATGGAGCTTCACATTTATTACATTTTTTAAAAAAATCCCACCCTTCCTCCTAGATCAGGGGTAAAAGGCAAAGGGATCCCTGACCATTAGGTCCAGTCATGGACGACTCTGGGGTTGCTGTGCTCATCTCGCTTTATTGGCCGAGGGAGCCGGCGTACAGCTTCCGGGTCATGTGGCCAGCATGACTAAGCCGCTTATGGCGAACCAGAGCAGTGCATGGAAATGCCGTTTACCTTCCCGCCAGAGCGGTACCTATTTATCTACTTGCACTTTGACGTGCTTTCGAACTGCTAGGTTGGCAGGAGCAGGGACTGAGCAACAGGAGCTCACTCTGTTGCGGGGATTCGAACCGCCAACTTTCTGATCGGCAAGCCCTAGGCTCTGTGGTTTAGACCACCGCGTCCCTCAGAGATTGGGGTGGGGAACCTTATTTTAGCCGGTGGGCTGCATGCACTTCTGCGCAAACCTTCTGGGGCCCCCATCCTGGTAGTGGGCAGTGCAAGAGGGGAAAGGGGGCAGGGCAATTAATGCAAATTTTACCTTTGCCTGGTAAAGGTAAAGGGATCCCTGACCATTAGGTCCAGTCATGACCGGCTCTGGGGATGCGGCGCTCATCTCGCTTTATTGGCCAAGGGAGCCGGCGTACAGCTTCCGGGTCATGTGGCCAGCATGACTAAGCCGCTTCTGGCGAACCAGAGCAGCGCACGGAAACGCCGTTTACCTTCCCGCCAGAGCGGTACCTATTTATCTACTTGCACTTTGATGTGCTTTCGAACTGCTAGGTTGGCAGGAGCAGGGACCGAGCAATGGGAGCTCACCCCATTGCGGGGATTCGAACCGCCAACCTTCTGATTGGCAAGTCCTAGGCTCTGTGGTTTAACCCACAGCACCACCTGCGTCCCACCTTCGCCTGGTAGTTTCTACAAATACACACACACACACACACACCCTTTCGCAGCTGAAGCACACATTCCAGCAAGGCAATAACACTTAAGGGGTGTGTGAAGCAGGGCTGGTGACAGGTGTGGTCTGGGGAGCATCCCAAGGGCCAGAAGAGAGATGTGGAGGTCCCCATTCGGCCCCTGAGCCCGAGGTTCCCCGCCTGTGCTTGGAGTGGTGAATGTTATTTCCCCCACTTCTATATTTTGTCCACCTAACAACCCTGCGAGGTAGGGTCAGAGCTTCATAGCCAAGTGGGGGATGCAACCCGATTAACCTAACTTGCTTCAGCTGAGTAAATACAATTCAGATACAATGAATAAACGTTTTTAACACGAGAGCTCGCTGATCAGGCCAATGGCCCATCTAGTCCAGCATCCTGTTCTCACAAGGGTCAACAGGATGCCTGTGAGGAACCTACAAGCTGGATTTGAGCACAAGAGGACTCTCCCCCTCCTGCGGTTTACAGCCACCGATAATCAGGAGCATTGTTGCCTCAGATTGTGGAGGCACAGTGTGATGGCCTGCGAATCTGATTCAGAGGCTGAACCTGAGGAATCCCAGCCTGCACAGGAGTCCCCGCCTCCAGGGCCGGCTGAGCCAGGGCAAGGGCTTGAATCTGAAGGGCCCTCACCTGTGCCAGATCCTCAGGAGCAGACACCAGATGAATCCGCTCTGGCTCCTGAGGGGCTGGAGGACCCATTGCCTGCAGGTGCTCCTCTCCCAGCCCTGTCAGGGGAAGGTGAGGCTGCCTCTGGGTCCAGTAACCCTCCAGCCGCTCCTGAGCTGCAGAGGCTCAGGGCAGAGAGGCGGAGGGAACTAAGTTCCTGCAGGAGGAGTGCTCGCCTTAAGGCCAGGAGAGGCAGGTCACCTGTGGGCCGGGACCACCCCTGGCCTCAGAGGAAATAAAGGCCAGCCCGCCCAGTCCCAGGTTGCTGGAGCAACATCGTTGGTAACCTGTTCCTGCCGGCACCCTGACCTGCTCTCCTGAGTTCCTAACCATGCCCGGCTCCTCGCTTTGGACCTCACTTCGCCCTTGACGGACAGCCTCCTTACCCTTACGCCGCACGGTAACCCCCCCCCCCCCGGGACCAGCACACACAGCAGAGCCATTGTGCTTAACACTCATCGACAGCCCTCTCCTCCATAAATTTGTCTAATCCTCTTTTAAAGCCATCCACTTTGGTGGTCATCGCTGCCTCCTGGGGCAGAGAGTTCCAGAGTTTAACTATGCACCACGTGAAGAAGTCCTTTCTGGCCTGAATTTCCCAACGTTCAACTTCATTGTTGTCCACAAGTCCCAGCGTTAAGAGGGAGAAAATCTTTTCTCCATCCACTTTCTCCATGCCATCCGCAAGTTTATGAACTTCTACCCTCTCGCCTTTTCCTCACCTTCCCTCTAAACCAGCGGTTCTCAACCTGTGGGTCCCCAGATGTTGTTGGACTACAACTCCCATCATCCCTGACCACTGGTCATGCTGGCTAGGAATGATGGGAGTTGTAGTCCAACAACATCTGGGGACCCACAGGTTGAGAAACACTGCTCTAAACTAAAAAGTCCCAAACTCGCAGCTTTTCTTCATAGGGGCATCACTTCACCCCCTTGATCATTTCTGAACCTTTGCCAACTCTACAGTATCCTTTCACAGGTGAGGAAACCAGAACTGTACGCCGTATTCCAAATGCAGTCACACCACAGATTTATACACTGGTACCTCAGGTTACAGACGCTTCAGGTTACATACGCTTCAGGTTACAGACTCCGCTAACCCAGAAATAGTACCTCAGGTTAAGAACTTTGATTCAGGATGAGAACAGAAATCGTGCTCCGGCAGTGCGGCAGCAGTGGGAGGCCCCATTAGCTAAAGTGGTGCTTCAGGTTAAGTACAGTTTCAGGTTAAGAAAGCACCTCCAGAATGTATTAAGTACTTAACCCGAGGTACCACTGTATAATGGCATTATGATACTGGCAGTTTTATTTTCACTTCCTTTCCCCAATGATCCCTAGCATGGAATTTGATTTATTTTTTAAAGTTGCTGCAGACTGCAAGGACTGACTTCTTCATGGATCCATCTATTATGACCCCAAGGTCTTGTTCCTGGTCCACCAGCTCATGAGCGTTTAGGTGAAATTAAGATTTTGTTTGTCCTGACATGCACCGCTTTACACTTTTTTACACTGAATTGCATTTACCACTTATTCATTCAGTTTGGAAAGGTATTTTTGTTTTTTGGACCCTGAGCAATTTAGTGCCGTCAGCAAACTTGGCCCCTTCCTCACTGCTCACTCCAAACTCTATAGGGCGTTTATGAAAACCTTTATGACCTTTTGCCTGCAGAATGTCTCGTGTTGAATCCCTGGGGTCTCCGGAAAGGGCTGGGAAAAACTCCTGGCTGATACCCTGGAGAGCTGCTGTCAGTCAGTGTGGACAATACTGAACTAGATTTATCCATGGTCTGACTCTGTGTTCCTATAAGAAGCTAGGCAAGTGAGCTGGCACCCTGGATCCGCTGCTTCTTCACAGTTCGAAAAGAACGGATCTGCTTGCCTTACAAGAGGATTAGCTGAACTAAGCAACCACAGCTTAAATTATGTTTTCTCGCATCCACATGCAGAAAATACTGTAAGCACACCAAAGGAAACAAGAACAAAAACAGCCAGGAAAAGAAGCACATTTTTGGGAAATTCCAGTTTCCTGCACCACAGGATTCTGGAGTTATTGTATTCTCGTTTTATTAACCAGAATTACACAAATCCGTCCCTCGTCCCACGTGGATTAGCTTGCAGCTACTGATGCAAACAGACATCATTTGGAATAAAGAGCATCTCATTATGGCTAGCAGAACACACACACACACACCCAATACAAAGTCAAAGCAGAGCATCAACAGATGCTGGCGACCTGTATTATTTGGTGGGAGAAAACCCCCGAAATCCAGCGCTTGCTGGTTTTATGCAAATGCTGGACTACAGCGATTTTGCAAAAGCAGGAGATAAATCCCTTTTGATTCCTATGAATACTAAAACCCGCACAAAAATGAGGTTTGCAAGCTGTACAGCATGATTCAGAAGTCACTGGATAAAGTACCACAACCCTAAACCTGCTTACTGCGAGTAAAGCCCAATTGAATTCAATAGGACATACTTCCGAGGAGACAGCCTCAAAGGAGTGTGTCTGCCCAGCACAGAAGACCATTGGCTGTGGGCCTTGTGGGACCTGCCCCCTGCCTCTTGTACCTGGCTTCAGGTGTGGCTCTACAGATTCATTGATTTACTGCAGCCTTGGAAGCTGAGGCGGCCAGAAGATCTTTGGGTTAGGGTATGCTGCTTTCGGTTGCTGTTATGGCCCCAGCTTTTTGGAATGCTTTAAAATGCTTCTAATGCGCCAGAGTGGTGCATGCTCTAGTTATCTCCCACTTGAACTACTGCAATGCACTCTATGTGGGGCTACCTTTGAAGGTGACCCGGAAACTGCAATTAATCCAGAATGCGGCAGCTAGACTGGTGACTGGGAGTGGCCGCCGGGACCATATAACACCGGCCCTGAGAGATCTGCATTGGCTCCCAGTATGTTTCCGAGCACAATTCAAAGTGTTGGTGCTGACCTTGAAAGCCCTAAACGGCCTTGGTCCAGTATACCTGAAGGAGCGTCTCCACCCCAATCGTTCAGCCCGGACACTGAGGTCCAGCGCCGAGGGCCTTCCGGCAGTTCCCTCATTGTGAGAAGTGTGGTTACAAGGAACCAGACAGAGGGCCTTCTTGGTAGTGGCGCCCGCCCTGTGGAACGCCCTCCCATCAGATGTCAAGGAAATAAGCAGCTATCCTATTTTTAAAGGACATCTGAAGGCAGTCCTGTTTAGGGAAGTTTTTAATATTTAATGCTGTATTGTTTTTAAATTGCAGTTGTCCTGTCAGCCAGCCCTCAGGTCTGTGACTGCTGTTGTTGTTGAATGTCAGGTCGGCCTCAGAATAAGATCTCCCTCACCCATTATGGATGAGGAAGCTGATCTGGGCAGGAAGAGGGTGATCTGTCAGTGGGCAACATTGACATCAGTCCCTTGTCATGGTCACATCATGAGAACTGGCCTTTTCTGCATTGCTTTCCTGTTTGGGGGCTGTTCTCCCCAGAAAAGTTCAGCTGGTGTCTTCATGATACAACTTTAGGTGCCAGGAGAAACTGTTCCTCTTTAGCCAGGCTGATTGACATCTGATGATCTTTTAAAATGTGTTGTGGAAGCAGGGATTGCTGGGCTGTTTTGGTTTTTATTGTGCATTTTCTGTTTTTTTTTAATTGTAATTTTATGTTGCAAACTGCCCTGAGATCTACAGGTATAGTGCAGTATACAAATCTAATTAACTAACTACCTAATTAATTAAGTAATTAATTAATAACAGACATGGTTAGAATTGCACTGTTAATCACTTTTTGTTTTGTTTCCAGTGGTGAGCTGCCTTATCATGAACCGGAAGACCCGGTTACAGTATCCTGGCGCATATATATTTGCAGTGTAAGGCAGGAGTGGTGAACCTCTGTCCCTCTAGGTGGTCTACAATTCCCATCATCCCAACCAACGGTCAGAGATGATGGAGACTGGAGTCCAACAACATCTGGGGGGTGGGCGCAGGTTCCCGATTCCTGACGTAAAGAGTGTCTCCACTTTCATCCTTTTTAAAAAAATTAAAATAAAGCCAAAACCAAATCGCCATGCTGCAGATATCAAATACAGGAGGAAAACCAGCCTCCTTCAACATTGGTGCTGTGCTTCAAGAATAAAGAGGAAGCGGAGGCGAATTGCGTTTCACATTTCTATGCAGCTGGGGCGATGTCTGAAAAAGGCAGTTCCCTTTCCCCCTCTTCAAATTTTATGCCAGTCATGTGAAGCAGGAAACACTGCTTGCTCACTGGTAACATGTGCCGATCTGTGGCCACCACCTGGCAGCAGCAGGGGCAAATGGAGGCGGAGGAAGAGGAAGTGGAAAACCAGTAGCCCTGAACTGGAGAACAAGCAGGCAGCCTCCTCTGGCTTCTGAAATCGGCCAAGGGACTCCTAGGAGGCTGCCGCTGCTGCCTCAAGGCAATGGGGGAACCAACCTGAGCCTATCCATCAGCTAGAGGAGATCTAGGGAGCCTTGATACCACCTGATCCTTTCCTGAATCTCTGGCTCCAACATCCAGTTGTCCTGGAACTGCAGGAACAAAGCGTCACTCTGCCCCCTCCATCAGCCGAAGGAGCGAGAGGGACCCAGTGCTGCACAGACAAGAGAGCAATGACACTAGTCATGCAATAGCTATGTTCTACCTCCATGGTTGGAGGTATTATGCCTCTGAACACCAGTTGCTGAAAACCACAGGTAGGCAGAGTGCTGTTGCATGGGGACATCTGGTTGGCCACTGTGAGAAGAGGATGCTGGTCAAGCTGGGCCACATGGCTCCTGCTTTCATTATTATCTATTAAATCTGTTGGGTCACTTCATCTTGCCCAGGGCAACCCACAGGAACTTTATTGTTGTTTAGTTGTTTAGTCATGTCCGACTCTTCTTGACCCCATGGACCAGAGCACACCAGGTACTCCTGTCTTCCACTGCCTCCCGCAGTTTGGTCAAACTCATGTTACTAGCTTCGAGAACACTGTCCAACCATCTCGTCCTCTGTTGTCCCCTTCTCCTTGTGCCCTCAGTCTTCCCCAACATCAGGGTCTTTTCCAGGGAGTCTTCTCTTCTCATGAGGTGGCCAAAGTATTGGAGCCTCAGCTTCAGGATCTGTCCTTCTAGTGAGCACTCAGGGCTGATTTCCTTCAGAATGGATAGGTTTGATCTTCTTGCAGTCCATGGGACTCTCAAGAGTCTCCTCCAGCACCATAATTCAAAAGCATCAATTCTTCAGCGATCAGCCTTCTTTATGGTCCAGCTCTCACTTCCATACATCACTACTTTGAAAACCACAGCTTACAGCCCATCATACAGGCAACAAACCCCACGTAGATACATTAAAACCAAGAGGAAAGAGAAATATTTTAAAAACATCACACCCACTTCTAGAAGGCCATAGAGCAGGCTTCCTCAACCTTGGTCCTCCAGATGTTTTTGGCCTACAACTCCCATGATCCCTAGCTAGCAGGGCCAGTGATCAGGGATGCTGGGAATTGTAGTCTCAAAACATCTGGAGGGCCAAGGATTTAGATTTTTCTGTTTTCTCTTTTATGCTGGTTTTAACATATGCATTTGTTTGCTTGTATACTGTAAGTCACTTTGCATTATCTCATTGTTGTTTAAAAATGCCCAGATAATAACAATAAATATTTCTGCCATTTGTTGAAAGTTTTTCTTCTCTCTCCACGTCTTCCTGAATTCAGCTGCAATTCTAACTATATCTACTCAGCAGTAAGCCCTACTGAATTAAATGGGACATGCTCCCAGGTAAATGGGGTTAGGATTGCAGCCTTAATCTATTTTCTTTCTGCAATTTTTTAATTCTTGCTGGATTTTACTTCTTAATGCTGTTTTATGATCTGGTATCATGCTTTACATTCTATTTCTGGGCTCTGCTTGGGTATTCAGTGAATGTAGAGCCACTTAGAAATTCTGAAATGAAATGAACAAATTAATTCTCTTTCCCTAAAAGTGAAGCAAACCCCAACAATGTCTTCTTTGTTGAATACTTTCCTTTCCTCACAAAGCCTTTCAAAATTAGTTTATTTTGTTTCTGTAGGGTTGTGATTGTTGTTTAAAAAAACTTCTGATGAGTGGTGTAGTCAATGGAAAGTTGGACTTCAGCTTGCAGAAGCCCGAATTCGAATCCCTGTCCAGGCACTAAGTTCCCTGCGCATTCACACCCACCCAGTATTTACTGCCCTGCCTCCTACGGAGGGATAAAAAAATATGTCCATGGTAATAATTTCACCTGACACGCTACATCCTCTTTCCTCTTTCTTTTTTGGTTGTTCGAAGTAGCAATGCGCTAAGTTTCAAGATACGATCGAAGGCGCTTCTTTACCATTTAAAGTTTGGGATTAAATTTTTGCCGTAATTGTTTTAAAAGGCTGCAAACGGAGTTGATTTTCCAGCTGAGTAGTCTTAAATACCGCTGCTAAGAATTTACAATGTAAGACACGAAAGTAAGCACCGCCAACGTTCATTAAATCTAATCAGTGGCGTTCTCGCACAATTTATAAGATATTCTGAAATAATCGAAAGCCTCTAATAGGCGTTGCAAATTGCATCGGGGAGGGCGGGCGCTCAGGGGACGTGGCAGCTGGGTGGGGTGGGTGGGGAAGGCAAAGGTGGCGCTGCTGGATTTCACCTGAATAGAAGAACCAGAAAGAAGTTGCTGCCCCGTGAGAAAACGTGTGCTACCGGATCATTTGCCCAATCCATAAGCAGCCAAACTGATGCTGTGCTGGATTAGCACCCAGGGAAAAATGAGGCGGGATAAAATAATTTTGTTTGCTGAAGTTATACGGACCTCAGAAAGTTGTGTTGCCTAGGTACAGGGAATTGACTAAAATTAAAAGCACAAATTTCTTGTAGCAGAGGGATAAAAGAAATAAAAGAAACCCCCAAAAGATAAAAGTTCAAACGACTTTGCAGCAGGAACTTGGCTTGCCCACATATCAAAACGACCTTGTCCCTAATAAGGTAACTACCTCTTCTCATTGAGAGAGAAGCCTTAATGGCCCTATAAAGTGTCCCTCGCTCTGATATACTGGGAGGATTACAAGCCCTCAAGATTAATTTATTTAAGACTTTATCAATACGTTCCTTGTGGTGGGTACCAGGTGAAGGCATGAACAGTCTATGAAGCATTGTGAAAAGGTGCTGAGCATGTGGAAATTATTCTCAATAAGTAGATCATTTACACATCCTAAAGGTAAAGATACCCCTGCCCGTACGGGCCAGTCGTGTCCGACTCTGGGGCTGCGCGCCCATCTCGCTCTAGAGGCCGGGGGCCAGCGCTGTCCGGAGACACTTCCGGGTCACGTGGCCAGCGTGATCAAGCTGCTCTGGCGAGCCTGCACCAGCGCAGCACACGGAAACGCCGTTTACCTTCCCGCTATAAAGCGGTACCTATTTATCTACTTGCACTTAAGAGTGCTTTCAAACTGCTAGGTGGGCAGGAGCTGGGACCGAAAGACGGGAGCTCACCCCGCCGTGGGGATTCAAACCGCCGACCATACGATCGGCAAGTCTTGGCGCTGAGGTTTTACCCACATCCTACACATCCTTACACATCCTACAAAGGCATCATTGTTTTCTTCTTGACTAAGTTGCAGAATTAGAGAAGATTAAGGCACAGGACTGGTGAAACAAATACAGTGACACAGGTGTTGGTAGGGGTCTATGTATGGGCCCAAAATATTCCTGGGTGGGCAAAGAATTTGAGGGGAACCGAATTGGAGGGGTGTGTGATCTTGGTTACTGGGTAGGTAGATGTTAACTTTTCTTGGAAGGGGAAATAAATGTTAACATGACTTTATCTGGAGATGATTTGAGTAGTGGATAGGAATAACGGAAGAGGAAATGAATTGATTTGGAGCAGAATCTCCAAAGAGATAAAAGAAAGCACTTCTTTGCATGGGATTTGAAGTGATGGACACCAACTTGGATGGCTTCAAAACAGAATTAGACAAATTCATGGAGGAATAAGGCTCTCAGTGGTTTACCAACCAGTGTTGGGAGGAAGAAGGCCTCAGGACAACAGCTTCTGGGAGCCCTAAGTGGGGAAAACACTCTTGCACTTGTGGGATTCCCAGAGGCATCTGGTCAGAAACCAAGACACAAAGTGTTGAACTTGATAGGCTTTAGGTCTGATGCTGGTGTAGCGTATCCCATTTTTTATCCCATTTTCTAGATGTTCCGGGCAGCCGCCAAATGACCGTTCAACCAGCGGCACTCTCACCCGTCCCTCCCCTCTCTCACCTGCAGCAAACGCAGAGCACATCACAAAGAACATGCCAACCGCAATCCTCTTCAGCGATGACGGGAGCAGGCCGTGCCTCTTCAAGATGGGGTCGACCACTTTGTCCTTCAAAGGTATTAATATGAGGATAAGCACAGCGTCAAACATGGTCAGCCAAGCTGCAGGGAACTGGGGGAGAAAGGGAAGGAGAGAGAGAGATGGAACAAAGTTGTAAGAGCATGAGGAGAGCCCGGACTGCTGGATCAGGCCAGAAGGCCCATCTAAACAACTACCTGACATTTAGAAGACATCTGACATCAGGGAAGTTTTTAATGTGTGATATTTTAATGTATTTTTAATCTTTGTTGGAAGCCACCAGAGTGGCTGGGGAAACCCAGCCAGATGGGCAGGGTACAAATAATAAATTGTTGTTGTTGTTCTGGTTATCTCTCGCTTGGACTACCGCAATGCGCTCTATGTGTGGCTACCTTTGAAGGTGACCCGGAAACTACAACTAATCCAGAATGCGGCAGCTAGACTGGTGACTGGGAGCGGCCGCCGAGACCATATAACACCGGGACTTGAAAGACCTACATTGGCTCCCAGTACGTTTCCAAGTACAATTCAGTGTTGCTGCTGACCTTTAAAGCCCTAAACGGCCTCGGTCCAGTATACCTGAAGGAGTGTCTCCACCTCCATTGTTCTGCCTGGACACTGAGGTCCAGCGCCGAGGGCCCTCGCTGCGAGAAGTTAAATTACAGGGAACCAGGCAGAGGGCCTTCTTGGTAGTGGTGCCCGCCCTGTGGAACGCCCTCCCACCAGATGTCAAAGAGAAAAATAACTACCAAACTTTTAGAAGACATCGCCCTACCACCAGATGTCAAAGAGAAAAATAACTACCAAACTTTTTGAAAACATCTAAAGGCAGCCCTGTTTATCGAAGCTTTTAATGTTTAATAGGTTATTGTATTTTAGTGTTTTGTTGGAAGCTGCCCAGAGTGGCTGGGGAAACCCAGCCAGATGGGCAGGGTATAAATAATAAATTATTATTATATTGTTGTTGTTGTTATTACTATCACTATTATTATCATCTAGTCCTGCATCCTGATCTCACAGTGGCCAACCAGATGCCCAAAATGAGAAGTCCACAAGAAGGGTCTGCGCACAAGAGCATCTCTCCCCAATTTTGCTCCACATTCCACAGTAGAATGGAACCCAGGGAGGTTCTCCTGGCTCCGTCATTATATATCATTAGGTGCAAGGCAAGCCCCGTCCCCCTTTACCAGGTCTTTGGCTTTTAATTATCTATGTTCTTCTGTTTATGAGAGGGTGGGGTGTTTTAACCAGTTTTTTAAAAAATGAATTGCCTTCTCGATTTTGCTTTGCTTTCCTTTTTTAATGGTTTTAATGCATCTATCTGTAAGGCTCTTTGAGTTACTTTGCTAAAAAAAAGAGAAAGGATTAATTTAATGAAATAATAATAATAATAGTACTAATATCTCTGCCAACTTTCAATGGTTCTCCAAAGGGAAAAGGAGGATGAACACCGTTCCTGTGTGTGTGTGTGTCATCGTTCTTAACAGTCCCGGAGGGGATCATAATTTTAATGATTCCAGGACCAGAAGTGATTCAGTATCAGTTTCTGGACAGCGATAGATCATAAGGAACATTATACATTATCGCTATCAATTCGAAGGGAGGGAGGACACACCCCTCTGTACAGTGGAACGAGAGGCATTAATTTTCATCGTTAAGATTTCACCGCTTGACTCAGCCTGGAATCTCATTAACGGAACAGGACTGTCACGCAAGGGGCTGAGATTCCATTAAGCCCTATTAATCACCAGAACACCTGTCTGCAGAATTATGGATTACGCCACTCACATCTGATAAACAAAGCCCTGTAAATTATTGAAATAAACACACACAAAGAAGGCTTTTAAACAGCCATCAGAGCTCATATTAATGGAGGGTGTGACAGGAAGCAGTCAGTTATGCATTCCCTGCTGATTCCCCCCTTGGCTTCAGAAACCACACGTTCCCCTACATGGTTTTGCTTAACCGTTTTCTCATTGCTAGAAAGTCTCCCCCCCCCAAAAAAAAGTGCCTAAGGGTTTTGGATCTTGCACTGCTGTTATCACCATCATTTATCCCAGGCATAGGAACCTGTGTCCTTCCCAGATGCTGATGGACTCCAGCTACCATCGTCCAAGCTGGCTGGGACTGATGGGAGTTGGGAGTCCAACAACCTCCAGAGGGCTGCAGGTTCTCCGCCTCTGAGTTAAAGGAGCATCTTGCTTGACAGATGGAAATCTACCGTATTTTTTGCTCTATAAGACTCACTTTTTCCCTCCTAAAAAGTAAGGGGAAATGTGTGTGCGTCTTATGGAGCGAATGTAGGCTGCATAGCTATCCCAGAAGCCAGAACAGCAAGAGGGATTGCTGCTTTCACCGCGTAGCGATCCCTCTTGCTGTTCTGGCTTCTGAGATTCAGAATATTTTTTTTCTTGTTTTCCTCCTCCAAAAACTAGGTGCGTCTTGTGGTCTGGTGCCTCTTATAGAGTGAAAAATACGGTGCTTTAATACAGAACAACAAACCCCTGTGTTGCAAACTTAACACAACAAACAACACAAGCAAAACGAAGACCAGTATACTAGATAGCACTGTAGTTCTTATTGCATAATATACATGATTTAGTACAACAATAACAAAATGTGTACACTTGTAAATTCTCTAATATATTTGAAAACAAATGAACACATGTCCGTCAATCTTTGAAAGTCCGTAAAAGTATAATAAGTCTATGGTTGAAACAAAGTGATAGATGCTATCCTGTGGGCTGAGCGGTAAAATTTTTTTAGGTGTTCATGGTGCCAAAGTAGTAAGTGAATAACAATGTAGGACAGTGATCCCAGATAATCTGACTGTTTCGCTGGAATCTTCTTCAGCACAACCCATAGATTAGAAAAATGCACAAGGAGCAGTGGTCATGAGGATACAGTCAGATTATCCACAGACGTGTGTTCATTTGTTTTCAAATATATTAGGAAATCTACTTTAAAACACATTTGCACCAGCTCTTTGCACCAACTCTGTGAACATACCAAGAAAAGCAGGCAGATGGGTCTGAGCACAACATCTCAAGTGGATTACTGTTTATTAACTTATTAATCATATGTATACACTGCTTTCCCTCAAACAAGCTCAATGTGGCATGCACATATTTTTTCACACCCTAGAGAATCTTACTGCCTAGATCAGAACCCAGGAACCTGCAGTTCTACTAAGAACTCCTTAGTCCTTTTCACATGTATTACCGGCACTCTAAGGAACATGAAACAAAACCACAAAGGAGATCAGCCATGTCTGAAGTCTGCCCTAGTTCATAAAAGCTGATGCCACAGTAAAGCTGCCCCTGCCTGCGGTGTCAAAAGATTCTGAATTTGCATTCAGATCAAACCACCAAAACTTAAAATTTAATTGAGGCAGAACGAAATAGCACGTTGCATTTCACTTTATGCATATCTGACAGATTTCGACAGTCACACCTTGCATGTTAAAAAACAAAACAAAATGCAAAACATTTCCCCAACTTTCATTATCAAGAACCCTAGGGCTATTTTGACAAAATGTGAGAAAGAAATACCATTTAAATTATCAATCAGAATGCTGGGATTATTGCTCCATCATCCAGGCGCTGAATTCTGAACGATTTGAGTAAACACCTCATTTTTTTGAAGGCAGCACATTAAAGGCCAGAGATCCGGCCATTTTGGAAGACTGGCATTTGAGAGCACTTTCATGTTACTGCTTCCTTTTTTAAAACAACAACACAACCCACTAGCATAGTATTGGCTGTTGGCTTTAAACATTTTGAGTTACACTTTATCTGCCCAAAAGAGAAAGCTTGATGAAAGAGTACATTTTTTGACTTGTGCATGAGAAAAAATAGTTTATATTTTTTTTAAAAAACAAACAAACCAAGGGGTGGAGCCAAACTGGCCCAATGAGACCTGCACATGCTTGTGGGGCACAGATTACTATTTGACCATTTTGTTTGGGGGGGGGTGGACAAAAAACAGGAGGGGGTGGTGGAAAGGAGTATTCTAGAAAATGGCCATTGCTGTCTGGCATCCTTAATAGGAGCAGTATTTTGTTGTATGCCTGATTTGTACTTGATTAATTATTGATTGTTCAACCCTGGGGTGGGAAACCTAAGGACCAGGGGCTGAATGTAGCCCTCAAAACATTGCTCTCTGGCCCTTGGGAGTTATTTACAGTCACATTCCTCCATCCCAGGCTAGACCCCTCGCCACCGCTGAGTGTTTTGCCTACCTGAAATGTGTCCTTGAAATTGTGATGCCTCTTGGTTTTCTATATGGGGGATAGGGAGGGGCTGCAAGTATGTGTAGGAACTAGCCTACCATACAGTATTAAAGTAAAAACAACATTCATTGCTTGGCCTATTTTTGTCTCTGGTCCTGCCCACCACTCGTATGCAACCCCCCTCCCAGGATGTCCAGAAGGAAATGTGTCTCTCAGGCTGAAAAACGTTCCCCACTCCTGTTCGACCTCCTAGTATCCAAGGCCCACAAGAGATGCTCAGCACGCAAGTTCTTGCAGAGGTTGGGCTCTATAGCTAGGAAACAGTTGTAGTCCAGCCACATCTGGCAGGCCATAGGTTCCTCTCCCCTCCTTTAGTAGCAAAAACTCTGGTGCTGTACCTCCCACCCCATGACAGACAGAACCCGTCATGGAAGTGGAAACTCCTGTCCATTTGGGCCTGAAAGAATCAGGTGTGACACCTTTCTCAGGGATGGGGAGAGCACAATGCTAGGAGTTTGGTGGGTTGATGCAACTGCTTACATGAATTTGGAAGTACCCATCGGGTTTAAAGGGATGCGGGTGACGCTGTGGGTTAAACCACAGAGCCTAGGACTTGCCGATCAAAAGGTCGGCAGTTTGAATCCCCGCAACGGGGTGAGCTCTCATTGCTTGGTCCCTACTCCTGCCAACCTAGCAGTTCGAAAGCACGTCAAAGTGCAAGTAGATAAACAGGTACCACTCCAGCGGGAAGGTAAACGGCATTTCCGTGCGCTGCTCTGGTTAGCCAGAAGCGGCTTAGTCATGCTGGCCACATGACCCAGAAGCTGTACACCGGCTCCCTCGGCCAATAAAGTGAGATGAGAACCGCAACCCCAGAGTCGGTCACGACTGGACCTAATTGTCAGGGGTCCCTTTACCTTTACCAGGTTTAAAACAAGAGCAATGAAGTAAAATAAAAAACCCAAACAGAATTTAAAGTTGAAATACAGGCCTAGGGGTTTGGTGGGTTGATGCTGGTTGCAACATCAGGCTTAAAACGAGTCTTAAAAAAACCCCAGCCACTCAGAATTCAAAGTTGAAATACAAGCCTGAAACTTACACACTCAGAACTTTATTTACAACTTTGGAAGTTTTGCCCACCCACCTTGAAGTTCAGTGGCTCCTTAAGATACAGTTCTTCCAAATTGCTCGGAACTGCTGACATGTTAATATTAAGCAGGTTAGGTTTTTGGATCAAACGCCTCATTTATGAATACTGCATTAAAACCACCATACATTATGAATTTGGGTTATTATGGTGATAGGGAGGTGAGCTGAACCATTTAGGAAGGGGGGACGAGCCTAGGACTAGGGGTCACCCACAGAGACAGCAGCCCCCCTGGCATTTCCAACTTCTGTGCCTTCCCAACAAAACTGATTAATCATTCAGCAACCTGCAGGAACGGTGTCATCAAAAGGACATTACTAAACCTGAATGTGGGTACAAGGCTCCCTGTGTGTAACATGGGCAAAATCCTGATGTGTGCCAGTGGAGTTTGAATTTCTACTTTATTAAAATGGGCACTACGTGGGGCTGCCCTTGAAGCTGTCCCAGAAACTCCAGCGGGTGCAGAATGCTGCAGCGAGGCTCCTCACAGGGTCTCTGCCATGGGAGCATATTCACCCAGTGCTTTTCCAGCTGCATTGGCTCCTGGTGGAGTACAGGGTCAGATTTAAGATGCTGGTTTTGACTTTTAAAGCCTTTCACGGCCTAGGATCCTTGTACCTAGGGGATCGCCTCTCCTGGTATGTCCCACGGAGGACCTTAAGGTCCACATATAGCAACACCCTAGAGGTCCCGGGCCCTAAGGAAGTTAGATTAGCCTCAACCAGAGCCAGGGCCTTCTCAACACTGGCTCCGGCCTGGTGGAAGGCTCTGTCTTTTGAGGCCAGGGCCCTGCAGGATCTGATCTCTTTCCACAGGGCCTGTAAGACAGAGTTGTTCCACCTGGCCTTTGGCTCAGAATCAGTTTGATTCCCTCCCCCTTTTTCTTTTTCCTTTCTCCTCCTATGATGAGATTGCTCCCTAATTGTTTTAACATTGTATCTTAATCTTTAAATTTGTATTTTAATCAACTTGTTTTTATTATTGGTTGTTAGCCGCCCTGAGCCCGGTCTTGGCTGGGGAGGGCGGGGTATAAATAAAATATTATTATTATTATTATTATTATTATTATTATTACACATGCCAGTCCAGATATGTATATAGAGAGAGATGCAGAGATAAGCGATAGAGGTAAAGATATATCTGGGGAAGAGCCTGAGGGAATGATCCTGGACAATCCCATGGATGTCTGCCAGTGTCCATTTGCATGCATCCTGGAACCAAAAAGGGGCATCTGCTGAGCTTTCTCCTCATGGAGCTACCATTCCCAGAGTTCCCTGGGGAGAGGCACTCTATGTGGGGCTACCTTTGAAGGTTACTCGGAAACTACAACTAATCCCAAATGCGGCAGCTAGACTGATGACTGGGAGTGGCCGTCGGGACCACATAACACCAGTCCTAAAGGATCTTCACTGGCTCCCAGTATGTTTCCGAGTACAATTCAAAGTGTTGGTGCTGACCTTTACAGCCCTGAATGGCCTCGGTCCAGTATACCTGAAGGAGCATCTCCACCCCCATCGTTCTGCCTGGAAACTGGGGTCCAGCGCCGAGGGCCTTCTGGCGGTTCCCTCATTGCAAGAAGTGAGGTTACAGGGAACCAGGCAGAGGGCCTTCTTGGTAGTGGCGCCCACCCTGTGGAACGCCCTCCCATCAGATGTCAAGGAAATAAACAACTATCTGATTTTAGAAGACATCTGTAGGCAGTCCTGTTTTGGTATGTTTTTAAGGACTGATGTTTTTATTATGTTTTTATGTTGCAAGCCGCCCAGAGTGGCTGAGGAAACCCAGACAGACGGGTGGGGTATACATATTATTATTATTAATTGTTAAATCACTCTGTTCGTTCTAGCTCTGTGAGGGTGATAAAGGTCTCCTAGCACTCTTAACAAACTGCACTCCCCCCCCCCCCCAAAAAAAAATTCTTTGGGGAAAGCCAGGGTGGTTATGATTCTGCTTTAAATGCATATTGCAGATAGGGCTTAATAGATAAGGATTCTTTAAAAGGTAGGATGGTACCATTTAATATTTTAACAGTATGACTGAACACTCTCCTATGCTTTTGAGAATCAGTAAATTAGTGTTGTCTCTTATCTCTGCCTACAGTTACAACAAAGGAGGAGGAGGTCACTCCGGAAGAGATCACATCTCGGACCGCTAAATGGCAGAGCCTGCTCTCCTTTCTGTTTTGATTCTTCGCCATACTTCCCCCCACCCAATCCCACCTGCATGCTATGAAACTGTAACCCCGGAAGCCAACCTGCAGGAAAACAGGGCTATCCACATGACCACTTACCGTATGGCTGTTTGAGGTGCTGTTTGAAAACTGGGGGATTCTCAAGTGCAGACTTTGGAGGACATACGTTGTCTGCATCTGAAGTGAAAGAAAGGAAATTGTTTATATTCTGCTGGAAGTCGGAACATGTGCCCCTCCAAGATGTCAATGGACTATACCAGGCATAGGAAAACTCCGGCCCTCCAGATGGTTTGGGACTATAGTTCCCTGACCACTGGTCCTGTTACCTAGGGATGATGGGAGTTGTAGTCCCAAAACATCTGGAGGGCTGGAGTTTGCCTATGCCTGGACTATACCTCATCCATCATCCCTGACCATTGGCCATGATGGACGGAAGAGGAAGGCCCTGGAGTCTATGAACACCCAGAGTGCCACAGGCCCCCATCCCTGACAAGGGTCCCATCAATGACTCTTTACAGAGTGCAGGGTCCCTGCCCCAAGCAGCTTACAGTCTATTGGCTGATGTCAACATGGGAAGCAAATACTTGCTTGTCCCTAGAAACACACACTTTTTCTCCTTGAAAGCAATTGATTTGCAAATAGACCTAGACGTCGTTGCGCTTCCCTGCAATCTATTTTGTGCTCTTGCCTCTTTTTCTACTTTTTTTAGACGCGGCAGCCATTTTGCGTCAAGCCACACTCCTGCGGCAGCCATTTTATGACTGGCACCCGCGACTCCATCTCAAAACGTCAAGGACTTTCGCCCTCGGCACTAACAGCCAAAGACTGTTTAGGTGGCAAATCTAGCCCCCTTGCTGCTCTTGACATACAGGAACCAAAAACCGAATTGGGCCCTGTTCACCAACCTGAAAATAGACCGTCCAGTAAGGTATGAGGGCCAGGAAGACTGGAATGATTTTGACCAGCGCTTTCACATCCTCAACTTTATCTTCCCTGAATGGTCCTCCATGGGATGATTTGGCCATCTCGAAGAGGCTTTGTTTGGGAGCTGGTTGATGAAGTACCCCTTGGGTGTCTCTACTGGAAAGAAGGAAGAAGGGAGATGGATCCAAAAGGACTGCAACACAGCAAAACTGGAAATTTTGGGAAACCTGTATAGTATACTAGCAGCCCCATCCCCAGTGTTGCTTGGGAGTTCTAAGAAACAAACAGACAAAATCCGGGCAGTTTGGAAATCAGTGTTTACAACTATCATACAAAATTGGGTTTAAAATCAGTGCAGCTTTGAAAGGTTCAGTCCGCCATCTTGGCTCAAAAACGGCATCCAAACGCTCCCAAAGCCAAAGATGTTTTCTAAGTTTTCTCCAATATGGGTGCACAGCATCTAAAAACACGCTCGCTCGCGCGCGCTCTCTCTCTCTTTTGAGACAGAGACTCTGCAGCAGCAACCAGCTGAAGTTCTTCTCCATCCAGTGTTTGCAGAATATTCCTCTTAAACCTATTTATGCTACTGCTGCCTTTCAATCTTCCAAAGTGTGCTTTATTGCATGGCTGTTAATTGCTCATTCTTCTCAACATCATGTATTTTTTTTACAATTTATTACTTTATGGGTCGTTAATCTGCCTTCAATTATCTTAGACACAGGCAGGACATTCCTTTCGATAACAAGCAAACACTCATGCTTATTTAATCGGGCCACTAAGCTCGCCTAAGATTTCTTTCCCTTGGAGAGAACAATGTGTGTGTGTGAATGCATCCGTATGAATCAGTTTCCCAACATCCTGTCACATTCTAGGGTAGGTTTGGCCCTACCGATGATGCTGAACTACAAATCAGGCCCCAGCAAGGACAGTCACAAGATGGCCTCAAGAGATCTCCACATAGTTGCTACTGGACCCACACCAGTCACAAAACGCGCCTGGCGAATTTCGAACACTGCCTAGAAGGGGGAAATTGCTGCTACATACCTATTGCTGGAGTATTCCTCAGGCCTCTTCCGGGAACAACACGAATAGGCCAGAATCTTAAACATGTCTGTGAAGGCGCTGCCGTCAGGGGGCTTTGTGATGAAGAAGCTCTGGCCACAGAGAAAGACGACGAAGGACACCCCGATGCAAACAGCTGGGATGATGTAGCCGATGACAAAACTCACGTTCTGCTGGATGTACGCGATGCCTCCCAAGGATACGATGGCCCCCAAGTTTATGCTCCAATAAAACCAGTTGAAAAACCTTCGTGTGGCTTCGGGGCCCCGGTCTTTGACCTGCAAGAGAGTTTGTTGTTGTTCTTAAATCTCCTCCATAAAAAAAAACAACCTACAAGTCAATAACTATTTGCCAAAACAAACGCCTAATCAAGAGCAATGCATTCCCATTCAGTTTTAATTGCATTCGTGATGCTTCTGAAAATCCAGGAGGGTCAGAGAAAGTGGGTTTTTTGGGGGGAGGGGACGACCAGTTGTGTTTATTTGTTACTATGTTATGTACGTTTGTGGTTTTATACAGGCAAGGCCCCATTTACACACGTTTAACACACGCTCAGCTATGCACACACTTATTGCGCTGTCCCCGAAAGCGATCTCTAATTGTCACAAAAAGGGGCAGAACGGGGTGCTTGCAGGCTTTTGCGACGGTGCTTCAAATATACGCGATTTCACTGAGCCGTGTTGTGCCTTGGGACGTAACCCCACACTAAATGGGGGTTGCCTGTCTTGTAAACCATCCTGTGATCCTCAAATGGCAGGCAGTATAGAAAATAACAAGCAAGTCAGTATTAACTTAGTGATGTTCCTAAGAACCCACGGAAGATTTAAGAATCTAAGGGTGTATTCAGACTTGGGGTTTACTGCCTTGGTTTTCCTGGTGATCACGCTAGTACTTTTGCCCAGGTTTCTAATCTACCTTTTGCACTGCCTTAACTATTGCCTTATGAAACTGCAGCTGTCTGATTGATCTACAAAGCCACGGCACACTAAATTTCATCCACACCAGCAAGGCACCACAGCAGATGTCATCAGACATGTCACCTTCTCTTATGTCCATGTGTGCTTCTGTTCCCCATGAAAATAGGGGGAAGGAACTGCATGCCGGAAAATAAGTCCCCCAAATTCTGTCACATGCTGTGAGCCACAAAAAACAGCAGGAAAGTTACAGCACATGATTTTGCAGGGTTAACATGGGCGATGAGCTTCTGCTAGATTCCCAGAAGTGGATTTCACGATGTGTTTGAAAGATCACGTAAAACATGGAAATGGTCAGGTAAGGAAATGTCAGGAATAAAAGTGCTGTCTGAATGCAGCCTAAGAACAGCCCGGCTTTTCTAATTGGGGTTATCTGCCCCATCTGCCGAGAGATTAAAGTGCCATAACAGCAGGACTCCAGCAGATACCAAAGTCCTCTAAGCAGGCCCTTTCTAGTAGGGAATTGCTTCCGATGTTCAAAAGCACATATCTAGTGACTAGATTGAAATCTACAGCTTGATGAGCCTGAGAACAAGGTTGTCAACCATGGGTGTTTTTTGTTTTCTGTCTAAGAACACCACCAATTGCTGGCTAGCTTTTAAACCAGGGGCTGGGAGCCTGTTCCCCTCCCAATGTGTTCGACTCCAGCCAGCATGGCTAATGGTCAGCGATGATAGGAGCTGCATTCCAGCAATGCCTTGAGGGCTGCAGGTCCCCCCCCCCACATGACTTCCTCCAAAAAACCCTGGGAACTGTTGTTTGAAGGTGCTGGGATTTGTAGCTCTGTGAGGGGCAACGGGTGTCTCCTAAAAAGTCTTAGCACCCATTCTGAACTACAGTTCCCAGGAATATTTGGGGGAAGTGATGACAGCCCATTTGAAGGTGGCTACCATACCTTCTGAGAGCTGGACCATAAAGAAGGCTGATCGCCGGAGAATTGATGCTTTTGAATTATGGTGCTGGAGGAGACTCTTGAGAGTCCCATGGACTGCAAGAAGATCAAACCTAGCCATTCTTAAGGAAATCAGCCCTGAGTGCTCACTGGAAGGACAGATCCTGAAGCTGAGGCTCCAATACTTTGGCCACCTCATGAGAAGAGAAGACTCCCTGGAAAAGACCCTGATATTGGGGAAGATTGAGGGCACAAGGAGAAGGGGACGACAGAGGACGAGATGGTTGAACAGTGTTAAAGAAGCTACAAACATGAGTTTGGCCAAACTGCGGGAGGCAGTGGAAGACAGGAGTGCCTGGCGTGCTCTGGTCCATGGGGTCACGAAGAGTCGGACACAACTAAATGACTAAACAACAACAACCATACCTTCTGTTCTCCACCTTAAACATACCCAACCATTCCTCAAAAGGCTTGGCTTCCAGGCGCTTGGATAATCCTGGTCGCCTTCCTCTATACATCTTCCAGCTTGTCAGTACCCTTCTTAAACTGTGGTGCCCAGAACTGAACACAGTGCTCCAGATGTGGTCTGACCAAGGCAGAACTATTACATCCTCTGATCTGGGCATTATACATCTCCTGACGAAGCCTAGATTAGTTATGTTTTGTTTTTGGACGCTGTATTACGCTGTTGACATGCAGTTCAGTAACTGAACTTTCCTCCTTACAAAATCCCGAGTTGCACACACACAGACTAGCAAGCCAGGGAGAAGAAAGCTAGATCAGAACATTTATCAGGAATTGGGAATTTTTCAGCCTGAGGGCTGCATGCTTTTCCAGGTGACCATCTGGGGACAACATCCCAGTGGGAGGGGCCAAGATGGCGACCGAGGTAGCAGCCTAATTAGAGCCTCCGATTTCAACTAAGCGTTTTTATTAGTCTTAGCCTCTTCAAGACCCCAAAACTGCACCCTAAGGACCTCTGTCTTGTCGCCTCGTTTTAATTAGTTTATTCTTTTATTCTTTTATTGTTTTATTGTTTTATCGTCGCACTGTTTACTGATACGGCTACACTGACTTACAACCTTGGAGCTCCCGGACGACGGATTGGCTTGAAATACGAACCCAGCTAACCCAGTCCTGCCACCCCTTGATAAAAGCCGAAGCCCAAGCCCAAACAAAAACCTTCATAAGGCTGGGCTTTTCAATTCAACAGAGGAACTCCATAAGGCTAGGCTTCATAATTCAACAGAGCAACTAGTGCTCCCGAATGGAACCGCGGGAAAATCAAGAGAAAACCCGATCCCTAAGCAAGAAACTACTCCTAAAACAACATACTCTCGCAGAAATCTAATTCTAAACAAACAAAAACTCATCATCCTACCTGTATACATGCACAAAGATCTCCTTTCTCCAGCACAACAGAGAATTTATATTCTCAAGAAAACTGAATTAGCCGTTAGAAGGTTCGTCGCAGCAGAAAACATCATTAATGTTAAATTTCTGCCATCAGACAAGGACCTAAACAGAGTTGTGGTAACATTCAGAGACTGGCACACAACCAAACTAGTTTCAGACAATAAGGACAAGCTACAAAGGGTTGGATTGCAGGTGACTCGCCTATTCGAAGTACCTATCTGGTACTCCCACTCCTCTCATCGAAACAATCAAGACTGATAAGATAAAAACAAAGTCGACAATGTCTATGACGGACGAGAACTGTAAGATGCTTCAACTAGAGGCAGACAAAGCCCCAAACCAGCTGGCTAAAAGACCAAAAACCCTATCCCCAAATCACATACCAGATGAAAGCTCCAACATAGAGAAGGAAAACCGCTTCATAGCAACTATTGAACAAATACATAAAGCTCAGGACGCACTAATTGAAAGATTAGCATCCATAAGGAAAACTATTACACTCCTAGCCACACCCGTCACCAGGGAATTTAACTATGCAACCTATACCACAAAACCTCTATCCAACAGTGAGTGGATACTAAGGCTATTCCTATCGCCAGAGGAACTCGGACCTACGGAACCACCTATAACAAAGAAAACAATAACACATCAAGCTGAAATAGCGGTACCACCAGGCAAGAACGGTTCAATCTTTCTGGACAACCTAGGAGCCCTAGACACCATCCACACGGACTGAAATAAGGGCACGGGAAAGAACGCCCCTCCGGGACACTAAAATGTGTCCAAGTTCACACCGTGCCAAAATGTCCCACTACACACCCCAAAACGGACATAATGAATGATAAATCCCAAATTGGCTATAAACCTAAGCTTGATTGTTCCTTGAGATGTCTGACAACCAAAAATCACAAGCTGACCACCTGTACGTGGAACATCGCAGGGTGGGGAGCTAAAAGCAAAGATCCCAATCTAATGGACTTCCTCACTAAATTTGACATCCTGTTCATCCAGGAAACCTGGTCGATAGACGAGCTCTACTTGGATAATTACCACTCGTGTATTAAACGAGCAACACCTAGTCAAAGAGGGGGCAGACCCAAAGGAGGCTTAGCCTTACTGTTCTCAACGCAGATACAAGCTAATATTATCCAATTACCCTCCAATGATGAATGGTCTGTAGCAGCAGTTTTAGATTTCGGACAAAGCAAACTGCTATGCATAAACTTATACTTACCTACATGTCGGTGGCAGGCACAAGTAGAACAACTATGGAAAGAAGTGGAAGCCCACGTGGTGCAATGGAGGAGACAACACCCGTCAGCCATGATATTACCAGCTGGTGACCTAAACGCAAGAGTGGGCCCTAACGACAACGCCCTATATGCACATTTTCACCAATGGCCTCCAGAAATGGAAATTATCCCACCTCTAATGATAAGATCATCCTACGATAAGACATGCAACATTGGAGGACTACATTTAGCACACATGGCCTACAGACAGAATCTACACTTACTGAATGGTGCTATACAAGGAGATTATCCTGGTCAATACACATATTGGTCAGGACACAAACTGTCAACGATAGATTATTGCATTGTTTCCCAGGACCTGATCCCTAGGATATCAAAATTCACCATTACAGCAAGAGCTGAAAGTGATCATCTACCTTTATCCCTCGTGTGTGATTTACCCTCTGATCTGCCCAAACCACAACGCAGATATCAACCAGATCTAACACCCAGAACAGGCCTCAAGAAAATCAGATGGAACGGACAAGTGAGCGAGCGGATATCTAACTGGTATAAAACTGAGGAGAGCTACCGTCTCTCAAAAGCAATTATGGAAGGGTGCTTAGAAATAGAGGAGAGCGCCCGAACATGATGACAACATATGAAATGCTTATACAAAAAAATCAAGAGTTTGTTGTAAAACCGAATTCCAAGTCTCCCCACCGTCGGAAAACTTCCAGGGAGTGGTTCGATCATGAGTGTATAACCTCCAAGAAATCATTGATCCTCTCCTTTATCTGCCATAAGGATAATCCAACAGAGGACAACAGACAAAAGATGCTTGAAGCCAAAAGAAGTTACAAAAAACTTCTGACACAAAAGAAAAGATACGCAATGAAGTTATTATGGCAGCAACTGATAGAGGCCTCCAAATCAAGTAACCCATCATTATTCTGAAGAATCGTAGCTGTACAGCCGGATAGGGGCCTATCGCAACTATCCTGCTGCATATCAATGAAAGCCTGGGAAACGCACTTCCATAATCTTTATGAGGAATCTAGCGATGAGTCCTATGCATTAGACATACCGGATGATCAGATACAGCCATGGCCAGCAGTCTCATTAACAGAGACTCATCTGCTGATTGACCAACTAAAGAACGGGAAAACCCCCGGAATTGACTGTATACCATACTATTTAAAACCAATGCGAACTGGTGGGCCCCCTTGCTAGCCTCTCTGTTCACATATATAGATAGAACTGCACAGATCCCATACGACTGGGGGACTTCCATCATTATTCCCATTTACAAAAAAGGCTCGAGGGACGATCCCTCCAACTATAGACCTATAAGCCTCCTGAATATAATAAGTAAATTATACGCTAAACACCTCAGCGAGAAACTGTGCGAATGGATAGAAAGAGCGAAGATTCATTAACGTTCCCAATATTGAAAAATAGAAAAATAAAATAAAATAATAAGTCAGACACAATCCAGTCAACTTCCAGCGCCCCCTCCCCTGGACCCGGGATTGTCAGTCCTTTTAACCTCAATAGTCCGGCTCCTTAACCTGGTTGTCTCGTGTCCGAGGCCCTCAAATCTCTTTCTTGCCCCTTTCGCAGCTCTTCTTGATGTTTCCCTTTCAGTCGTGGGTACTCCAGCAGAAAGATACTTTTGACCCTTTGCAGCAAGTCCATCCCATGCCCATTGTCCAAGCCAGACAGCAGATAATACCACTTCAAGTTTCCTTGAAACTTGGAGGCTCCGACTACTCCAATCCTCTGATGGCCCATCACCAGACTCGGAAAGTCCAGATAACCATATAAAGGGGGGTCAATCCATCCCCCATTTCCAAATCTAACCACATTTCATCTTTCCGAATCTGATTTATCCCAAGTTCATTTATCAAGTTCAAAGGCTGATCCTGCCGGTCCAAAGGTCCCTCCATCTCTGAAGCCTCCATCACTACAGCAGGTTCATATACTTGTAGATATTTTAACTGAGTTCCATTTACTTGCTGCTGTGCTCTGGTAACTTCCGTCATCAAGGTCGTCTCCTGACGCATCTGGTCCAGCTGGGCACTTAGTTTTGAAAAACCTTCCAGGAACATTTGTTCAAGCCTTTGTACAAGCATTGTCCTTCAAGGTCAAAGAAAATTCTTTCCCACGATTATAGTCCTTCACTTTTAAGCTCTCTGCGTTGCAGTTTCACTAAATCCCACTAGAGGGAAAACCTTTTTTTTCTTTTTTCCTTTTTATAAAGGAGAAAAACATCAGCAACAGTCTTTCTTTTCCAGATACACTTTATCCAAAGTTCCCCCTTCAAAATTCAAGAGGCAACAGTAGAGTCACAATGTTACCCTTCTTTTAACTATCTGTCGAGCTGGACAAGCTTCAAAACGTCAGTTCTGACAGCCCGCTCCTGGTTCAGGGCGGTGGAAAATTACTTTGTTTTAAACTCACTTCCGCAGGGTTAAAAAGTCCAAAACAACCCCCTTCTTCTCCTGCAGTCAAAGGGGGGTTCAGAAATCTTAGATGTTGAATTCTAGTTCTCTCAGAATTTAATTTTCAAGCTTTAGTATATTTTGTCTTTGCTTTCTTCACGTAACAAAAGAACGGAAGGCTGACTTCCTGTTTAGACCTTCCCGTTCCAAGTCCCAATTAAATTCAATTTCAAGTCCAATTTATTTATTTATTCACCAGTCTTAAAAGTAATTCAGCTCTTCCAAGATCAGGTACTCACGGATAGATGTTTTAGATGCCAAATTGTCCCAGGAAAAAGGCAGCGCTCTCCGGAAACGGCAGTGCGGCATTACTGCACGAAAGAAGCAGTCGACTCACAGCACCACGCACCTCCCACTCCGGAGCCCGTTACCGGGCTCCTGTACAAGGGGAGAGAGCGCTCACGGTGCCCGCTGAGTCCCACGTCCACAGGCTTCGTCCGCCTGTGGGTTTTAAGGGTCCCCGCTGCGCCGTAGCGGTAGGACCCAAGCTTCCGTGCAGCGGGTTCCCTTCAACTTGAAGGGAATTCCGCCATTTTTCCGGAGGCGCCACCCCGGAAGTATGGTGGGCCAGAACTGGTGGGCCCCCTTGCTAGCCTCTCTGTTCACATATATAGATAGAACTGCACAGATCCCATACGACTGGGGGACTTCCATCATTATTCCCATTTACAAAAAAGGCTCGAGGGACGATCCCTCCAACTATAGACCTATAAGCCTCCTGAATATAATAAGTAAATTATATGCTAAACACCTCAGCGAGAAACTGTGCGAATGGATAGAAAGAGCGAAGATTCTTGATGATGCACAGGCAGGATTTAGACAAGGGAGATCCACAAGGGAGATGCCTGATCTTACAGCACCTAGCTGAGAAATACACGACGCATCACAATCACCACCTATTCGCAGCATTTGTAGATTTTAAAGCAGCCTTTGACTCCATCCCAAGAACTTGACTCTGGGACAAACTCAACAAATCATCCATAGACCGACGCCTGCTGCTACTAATATACAAACTGTACAACAACTCACGACTTCGTATAAGATGCAGCCAAGAAGGTCAACTCTCTAATTTCATTAGAACAACAAAGGGAGTTAAACAAGGATGCATTTTGGCCCCCTTTTTGTTCAACATCTATATAAACTCCCTAATAGATCACCTACAAGGAGCGGATACACACGCCCCAAAATTAGCAGACAAAAACTGCCTATCTTACTCTATGCAGACGATGCGGTTATATTGTCCCAGACTCAGATGGGCCTCAAAAGAGCTCTTAACAGCTTATCCCAATATTGTAGAGAAGAGAAACTAGCAGTGAACTACCAAAAACAAAAATCATGGTTTTCTCTAACAAAAGGAAAATATACAGATGGAATTTAGACAATCAGGAGATTGAACAAGTGACATGCTTTAAATATCTAGGAGTGATATTCCAAGCATCAAGGAAGAAGACTGCCCACATAAACTACAGCTCCTTTACAGCACAAAAAAGTACAACAGCAATCCTAAGATTCCATCGTACAACGGGAGGAAATTTCATTCCTGCTACAATTAAACTATTCGTTGCAAAACCAACAGCACAAATCCTATACGGCGCACCACTCGTCTCCCTCTCTAATCTAGACCCATATGAGAAGATACAATCAGGTTTCCTTAGATCACTCCTGCAAACACCTAAATGCGTCCCAAACGCCGCCTTACGACTGGAAGCGGGCTTATACAGCATTAAAGCCAAAGTATGGATAAGAACCTTATGCACTTGGCTAAGACTTAACAACTCGCCGGTTGGACTACTTTCCCTGATGCTTCTTGACAAATTCCAATCTAGCTGGTCGAAGGGCATTCTCAGAAAACTGGCCATATATGGTCTCTCCCCAGAGTATTTATTAAGTTTAGAAAGGGGAAGGGCCAAGAACATAATCAAAGAAAGACTCAGGGACATTGAAACCCAAAATGACTTTAACCAACTTCCGATAACTTATAAACTTCTATACAATTCCCAAAGGCCCCATCTAGCAAACTATCTCAAAGTTCTAGACAACGCTAAACACCGATGGGCATTTTCCAGGGCCCGCTTTAACGCTCTCCCTTCAGCTCTTCTAGAGGGAAGATACAATAAAATACCGATCGAACAAAGATTATGCCCCTGTAACAGCAATGAAATCGAAACCATTGGGCATGTCATCTTATACTGCCCATTATATCGAGACTCAAGAAAAGAGCTGATCGAACCGATTCTGAGGAAAATACCTCGTAGTACAGACGACACCTATATCAGACACCTCTTAGCTGACAAAGAGCCCGAAATTAACAGGTCCGTGGCAAAGTACTGTTACACTGCAACAAGAATAAGACGAGCAATGATGTCTACAAAGGAGTTCAAACTGTAAACATCGAAGGAACGATAATAAACAGTAGCGACTCCTGAACTGAATTTTAAAAACTTAAAACTCGAAACCTGGTCTTAAATATAAGCACCAATTCTGTGAATTGGCCATATTTTTACTGTTACTTGTAGCACAATACTACTCTTAATGTCATATTTTATAAATTGCTTCCTGGTCATTGACCGTATTAAAGATATTTGAACATCCCAGTGGTGGGCAGAGGCAGAAGTGTGCCAAGTGCTGAACATAAATTTTACCTTTTGTACCACTGTGGGTTAAACCACAGAGCCTAGGACTTGCCGATCAGAAGGTCGGCGGTTCGAATCCCCGCAACAGGGTGAGCTCCCATTGCTCGGTCCCTGCTCCTGCCAACCTAGCAGTTCGAAAGCAAGTCAAAGTGCAAGTAGATAAATAGGTACCACTCCGGTGGGAAGGTAAACGGCGTTTCCGTGCGCTGCTCTGGTTCGCCAGAAGCGGCTTAGTCATGCTGGCCACATGACCCAGAAGCTGTACGCTGGCTCCCTCGGCCTATAGAGCGAGATGAGCGCCGCAACCCCAGAGTCGTCCGCGACTGGACCTAACGGTCAGGGGTCCCTTTACCTTTTTTACCATAAGCTGGTTTCTATCCACGCTGCCCCATCCCTCTCCATTCCTCATGCAGGCAATCAAGAGGCATGACCAGAGTTTGGACACATCCCGGTCAGGCAAAAACACTCAAGGAGGGTGCAAAGCAAGGAGCAGTGAGGGTGTGGCCTGAGGAGAGTATACCAAGGGACTGAGGTTTCCCAACCCAATTCTAAGACAAAAAATACAGGGGAGCGTTCAATCCCAAATCAGAACCTGCAGGAAGTCAGAGCGGCAGTGATTTTGCAGGGTTTCAGACCGGAGTCTCTCTCCCCTCCTAAACCTGGGGGTGGCAGGGAATGAACTGGGACCTTCTGCATGCAGGTGCTCTACCACCCTTTGTTTCTGCCACCTCGGCGAAAGTAAGACCGCAGCGATTCCGGGAAGCCACTGAGGAGCAGCTGTGCAGCAACTCCCCGCGAGGAGGAACTGAGAGATGCAAAATATAGTTCCCTGCTGACCAGAGTTTATAGCGCTGCCGTAAATCTCCCAACATTTCACAGCTGAAACGAGGCTCAGACCTGCGTGCGCTTAAAGCAGCCGTATCTTTGCAAAAACCGTGCTAGCTGGGCATCTCACCCACCCCTCCCCAAATCCATGTTGTGAGGGGTCTGCACTGCCTGCTGTCTGGAATATGACTTGGCTATCCAATGGATGCACCCTGCTGGCTGGCTTATGAAGGTGGATCTCTTAACAGGAGTTCAGATGAATACCCCCCATATGCAGAAACGAAGCATGAGAGCTACATGGGGCTTCACACCCTGAGTCACCCACCCTTCTCTCCCGTTGCTGGATGTGTGATTGTCACATCACATGTCTGTGTTTACATTCCATGCTTGGAAAGTGTGGGAAACAGAAGCCAGTGCTATCTCTTCCGTTGTATTGTACTTTTGTCTTTTTTACTTTTTCTCTCTCTTTTGGAGAAGATGTGAGAGGACGCCTCTCACATATGTGATACAGTCATACCTCGGGTTAAAGACGCTTCAGGTTGAGCATTTTCAGGTTGCGTCCCATGGCAACCCAGAAGTAACGGAACGGGTTACTTCTGGGTTTCGCTGCTCACACATGTGCAGATGATCAAAATGACATCACGGCATGCGCAAAAGCGGCGAATCGTGACCCGCCATGTGCAGACGCAGGTTGCATTCTGCTCAGGTTGTGAACGGATCTCCGGAACGGATCCCGTTCGCAACCAGAGGTACTGCTGTATTGCTTAATAAATTACTTAAATGCCACACCTCATAGCCTCAGCTTCCAGCTTTACTCTGCTCTTTGAGAGTGCACATATTTTCGGTTATGTGTCGCTGCTGCTCAACGGGACTGAAGAGTTATGACCGTCCCGTGCTGCATTCCAGAGGAAGACGCCCGGAGAGGTTTGTCTCGATCTGGGGGCTGTGCGGTGCCCCCCCGGCACTTCCAACAACCCCAGTGGCTGGTCCATGCGCAAACACACTGGCCAGTGGCCTCACCACTTCACCAGCTGAAGTTTGGCTGGTGTGAAAAGAGGCCCCATGCACGAAGGAGCATCTTTGGAGGTGATCCATTCTACTGTCAAACAGCTCTTATGTTTGAAGATGGCTCTCATATCACCTCTTGGGCTTCTTCACAGCAAGCCTACCGAACTCCCTCATCCAATCCACAAAAGGCTTGATTTCCAGACCCCTTCATCATCTTGGTCACCCACCACCCTCGAAGCAAGTTCCAGCTTGTTAGCATCCTTTCAAAATTCCTGGAACCTCCTTGCCCCAGACGTTATAATGGAGAAGAGGGTAATAAATAGAAATTATGATGGAATATAATAAATAATAATAATGGCAGCTGAAGATACTTTGCTAATGCGCCTTTGCACTGCATTCTTCTACTCAGCACATGCCCAAAATATGTCTGAGACTCACAGGCCATCTCTGTTTAGGATGAATCACCCCTTAAGAGAACATTTGTTACAGGGATAGACACACACAGAGAGAGTCCAAGATGCCAGAGATGTATGCTTGGAACTGATGACTAACTGAAGTTCTTATGCCCAGTCACTGCACCAGTTGCTAAATTTCCTGAGTTTCCATCTCAGCAAGGAAAAAAAAATGAAATGAAATGCAGAATTCAGAACGATCTTCCTGCTGAATCATCGCTGGGGATCTATTTTGCTCAAACCTTCAAGCTTTTCCAGTTATGCAATACTTGCCTTTAGCAGAGCAACATGATATTAATCCCAGGCCACGCTCCATAACAAGCATGACTTGCTTTTAATCGAATTAAAGTGTCCCGTTTCCTCCAGCTTGGCACCCGTGCCAAGGAGGCTGGGTGAAAAGCAAACCCGGGATGGTTGCTGGGTAGACGCCATTGCTTAGTAACACAGTTGTTGTTTATTTATGCATTTAACAACATTCATGGAAGAAGAGTCCTGTGTCACCCGGGTGCTTACACCCAGTTTCCCCCACTCATTGGTTCCAATGAATTGGGTTACAAAATTATGGTGGACAGGAGAAAGGGAAGGAAATAGAGAAGGTGCAAGCTGCATTTTTAAAGCAGTGCTTTTCAAACTTTGTTCTGAGACTCCTTACTGAGAAGATGAGCAACAGCAGTGCAGGCGAGCGGTTAAAAGTTAGGCAGTGTACACACTAAATCTTTAGAGCACATCCCCCACCCCTCAAAGGATTCTGGGTGATGTAGTTTACCTCTCACAGAATGGCTCTGAGCATGTTCTGGGTGCAGGAATTTGTTTAAAGTTCCAGAACTAAATTGCGCTCAGCCCGTTTCACACAAAAGTTAGCATTATTCACTGCAACAGTTTAATTTTATGTAGGGTTTCCTCCTTAGCCTTTTCTTGTCCTGAAATTATTCCACAGGGCAGCAGAGGTTTAGGATCCATTTTCCTTCTCCTAGATGGGTAACTTTCCCAGGTGGATGTTGGTGATGATGATTTATTGAATTTATATACCGCCCTATACCTGGAGGTCTCAGGGCAGTTCACAGAAAAAAATCAAAATATAAAACCATGAAATATATAATCAAAATAAAAATGACCACCCAATCACACACACACCATGAATGAGCCCCCTCTGTCCCCTCTATGGCACATGCAGAAACCTCTTTCATGGCCAGGGGTCAGCAAACTTTTTCAGCAGGGGGCCGGTCCACTGCCCCTCAGACCTTGTGGGGGGCTGGACTATGTTTTGAAAAAACTAATGAACGAATTCCTATGCCCCACAAATAACCCAGAGATGCATTTTAAATAAAAGCACACATTCTACTCATGTGAAAACACCAGGCAGGCCCCACAAATAACCCAGAAATGCATTTTAAATAAAAGGACACATTCTACTCATGTAAAAACACGCTGATTCCCAGACCATCTGCGGGCCAGATTGAGAAGGCGATTGGGCCGGATCCGGCCCCCGGGCCTTAGTTTGCCTACCCATGTTCAAGACAGTTGGGCCCACTATTAGTCTTCACATAAATAATAATAATGATGAACTAATTAGTAACAAATTGATGAATTATGGCACTGGAGGAGACTCTTGAGAGTCCCATGGACTGCAAGAAGGTCAAACCTATCCATTCTTAAGGAAATCAGCCCTGAGTGCTCACTGGAAGGACTGATCCTGAAGCTGAGGCTCCAATACTTTGGCCACCTCATGAGAAGAGAAGACTCCCTGGAAAAGACCCTGATGTTGGGAAAGATGGAGGGCACAAGGAGAAGGGGACGACAGAGGACGAGATGGTTGGACAGTGTTCTCGAAGCTACCAGCATGAGTTTGACCAAACTGTGGAAGGCAGTGGAAGACAGGAGTGCCTGGCGTGCTCTGGTCCATGGGGTCACGAAGAGTCGGACACGACTAAACGACTAAACAACAACAATTAATAACGAGATGGGTGCAGCCACCGTTCCCCATTCATTTCAGCGGTGCTGAAGAACCGCCTGATTGGCTGAAGCTGCACATTCAGACTGGCATGTTTTGTCTTTTAAGGACAGTTTCGCTTCCTCACAGGCGAATGGGCTAAATTCAGAATTGCAAGAGATTGGCGGGGGGGGGGGGGGAATCAAAATGTGTTAAACAGAAGAACAGGAAATGGACAGAGTGCAATGCTGCTCAAAAAAGGGAAGCAGGCGATGAAGAGGACCTCACAGTCCCAAGCCTATTTTTTGAGAACGAAGCTCTTTATCTGAGTCAACCCTTCACATCAGGACACATTCCTGGAAATGTAGGCAGGTGGAGATGTTTGCATATATTTATTTTATGTAACACGCCCCACGGACGCCATGACTAATGTACAATTTGTCCTGCCGCTTGTCAGGTAAAAGCAGTGATTTTTGTGTCCAGGAAACCTGGGTTCAAATCTCAAGCCGGCAAAGAAAGAAGCATTTTAACAGGCCAGATTGTCAGATGCTCCACACTGTTTTCGCTTTACATTCTGTATTAGTTTTTTGTGTTTTTTTTTACATATTTATAGTGCCTTTTCTTTATTTTTATCTTATGTGCTTGCACACACATTTCCAGCATCAGAAAACTACACTAAAATATTTTCAAAAACCCTAAGTCATACTGTGGTTAGGTATCTGAATTATGTTGGAGGGGCAGTGGAGAACTCTGTAATATCCACACTAGTTGTAAGTCATTCCTTCTTCCTAGAAGATTCTGGGAACTGTAGTTCGATGAGAAGGGAAAAGAGCCACCACAGAATTCACAAGTCTCAGAAGCTACAAATCCCAGGATACTTTGCTGGAAGACCTGACAGTTAAAGTGACCTTCAGAGGGAAGGGTGGGAGGCTTATGCTATAATAAATAAATAAATAAATAAATAAATAATAATAATAATAATAATAATAATAATAACTTATTTATTTATACCCCGCCCATCTGGCTGGGTTTCCCCACATAATCACATAAATCCAAATTAGTTAATTTATGAGAGCGAAATTAAGTTTATTTATTTTTTTTATAACCCAACAGTGTTGCGCACATATAAAATGGCACTTGAACGATGTTGAAAAGATTTAGCAGTTCGTCGCACATCTATCCCGGAAACTCCAGGGAGCACCCAATCGATTAACCAACAGGGTTAGGAAGTAGAATTAAAGAAATGAAACACGCACAGCAACGATGGAAATAGAGAAGTCAGGTCCTTAAAGTGTGATTTATGGTTGAAACTAAGAAGTGTGTGTACGGGGGACCGTAATTCAGTGGCAGAGCACGTGTGTCGAATGCACAAGGCTCCAGGTTCAATCTCTGGCATTTCTGACTAAATACAACAACAGATCATGTAGGAATTGATGGGGAAAGACCCTCATTTAGCGGTTCTTATTCACCTGTAATCTGCCTTGAGTCCCTGTCAGGAGAAAAGGTGGGGAATAACAACAACAACTACTACTAGATCAGAGATGGGGAACCTACGTCCAGCCATGTCCCATTCTGAAAAGCACACCTGAATCAGCATACTGTTCCCAATGAAGAAGTTCAAAAAAAAATGTGCATACTATATACACACACCATTTTTTTCACTCCATAAGATGCACATTTTTCTTCCTAAAAAGTAAGGGGAAATGTCTGTGTGCCTTATGGAGTGAATGCATGGTCCCTGGAGCCAAATTGCCCAGGGACAAAAAGCAGATAATGCTTTTTTTTTTTTTTTTTTTGAAAGAGGGAAGGGGGTGTTCAAACAAAGCCGCTGATTCTTTGCAGATCGGGGAGAGAGATAAGGGATGCTAGAGATAAAGGAGGCTGCCTGGGAGGGGGAGGTAAAAGCCCATGGATCCTCAGGATTTTTGCATTGGGTCACCCCAAATTCACCATCAGATCACATAGCATGTCCATGGCTACAGCCTGCACCAAAAAAAATCATGCATCCACTGTTTCCTGGGGCTGCAATGCTGCAAAAATGTGGTTACAAAGCACGGATCCACATGGATCCTCAGGATTTTTGCATTGGGTCAATGCAAATTCACCATCTGAACACATGTCTGAGGCCACAGCATGAACCACAAAAATCATACATCCACTGTTTTGTTCAGAATATTTTTTTCTTGTTTTCCTCCTCTAAAAGCTAAGTGTGTCTCATGGTCATGTGCGTCTTATGGAGCGAAAAATACGGTGTGTGTGTGTGTGTGTGTGTATATATAGGGCAGTTTTTAAACTAGTCTCAAAATGACAAGCACACAAAGGAACTTCTGCAATCACATACTGATCCCTCAATTCCTGGGATTGCAATAATGCAGGATGACAATGGAAGATTCCCTCTCGGCCAGCCTTTCCCAGAGGTCCTCCAGATGGAAGTTGGAGTCCCCCAACATCTGGAGGACACCAGTTTGGGAAAGGCAGGTCTAGGCTTTGCTTGGAAGAGATTCAAGGTGATCCTTGCACAGCTACCAACAAATCAGCCTTGCAGGAACTCAAGTCTTTATTCCAAGGAAGAGTCATCAATGGAAATACATTTGGTTGCTCCTGGGAGGTGGAGAAGACCATTTTGAACAAATCAAACCACAGTGCTGGGTTTTCATGAAACAAGGCAGGGAAAGGAAAGGTATATGAAAATTACGCCCTAAATTCTCCATGGTGCACTCCAGTAATAATGGTGAATCCACCATTTTGAAATTCTGATTAAAGCACTGGCATTATTTCTCTCTTGACACAAGCACCCATCTTCTGGGAACAGATGGGGTTTTCAAAAACCTTTCACAGGTCAAAACTGTAGTGGAAGTTACTATGCCTCATTGATTAACAAGTGGTATTCAGGGCTCGGGGGCCAGAGCTATGTCAGAGCAATAAACTATTCTGGACACACACACAAAACAAAACAACTTTTGACTGTTCCAAGATGGAAGGGCAATGATCTAATTTGTGAGACTCAAGGTACCGTATGGGCATTTGATGGGCAGAATTCCATCACAGGAATAAAATGCCTGATGAGAGAGGGACCCAACCCACACACACATACTTACACACCATGTATCAGCCACAACACTGATGTCCCAATAGCATTATGCCACATGGTATGAAATCGGAGGAAGGCACATTATACTAAAAAGGTGACGGGCTTATCTAGCTCAGTACTGTCCACAAACATGGACAGCAGCTCTCTACGGCTTTCTACAGAAGGTGTTCCCACCCCTACCTGGAGCTGCTGGGAACTGAACCTGGGACCTTCTGAATGCAAAGTAGGTGCTATACCTCATATGTGGTGGGACTGTAGTAAAATAAAAAAAAAATTGGGAAATGATATATAATGAGTTGAAGAAAATGTTCCAACTAACATTTGTCAAAAAACCTGAAGCAGTTTTGTTAGGGATTGTAGGAAAAGACCTGCTAAGGAAACTGAAAAATATCTTTATGTATGCGGACAACGGCGGCAAGAGTCTTAATAGCACAAGGATGGAAGAACAAGGAAATCCCAACCAAAGAACTGTGGGAAGAGAAATTGATGGACTACGCAGAATTGGCAAAACTGACACACAAACTACATGACAAGGATAACTGTGATTTTAAAGATGAATGGGAACCCTTTACAAAGTATTTAAAGAAACAACAAAATGAACTGGACTCCTTGGCAGGTTTTGAATAAACATTCATAGACTTCTTATTGATAACATCTAGATAGATAAGTTAAGGATCTGTACAGTTTTGTAACATGCAGAAAATAACATATGTTGATAAACCAGAGAGAGGAACTGAGGAAGTCTGGGGGGAGGGGAGGGTGGGCTATTTTGGGGGGAGGAGGAAGGGAAAAAATAGGGGGGATATTTAAGGATGATATGTTTTTTGATACAATGTTATGTTGAAATTAATAATAATTTATTTATTTTTTAAAAAAAGTAGGTGCTATACCATAGAGTCATAGAACGGAGGAGTTGGAAGGGGTTCCTGGGGTCATCTAGTACAACCCCCTGCAATGCAGGAATCTCAACTAAAGCAGTCGTGGCAGGTGGCCATCCAACATCTGCTTAAAAATCTCCAGTGAAAGAGGGTCCACCAGCTTGAGGGCGTCAGTTCCACCATCCAACAGCTCTTACCAACAGATAGTTCTTCCCAATGTCTTGTTGGAATTTGCCTTTCTTATAATTTGAATCCATTGGTCCAGGTCCTACCCTCTGGAGCAGCAGAAAACAAGCCTGATCCATCTGCACACCTTCCAGCATGGCCTTCGCTGATGCAAGATGTGATTATGTGCTCACTGCCCAATCTTTTGCATGTCTAGCAAAAAAATAAGCCACCTCAAATTGAGAGTTAACTTGCTCCTAGGCAAACATGTGCAGAAATGCAAGCAAAGAATGCTTTTGCTAGATCAGACGGGCCTTTAGTCTGAGCCATCAAGTTCCTGTGTTCTTTGTTGTCCTCTTATGCGTAGGGTTTCCGTGGACATGATTCGAAGGCTACTTCCCCTGAACAAATTACTGTACTTCATTTGTGATGGGGCAGCTTTGTTTTAAATCTGGGTCAAACGGTGCAGTTCACACTGCACCTTCCTTCATAGGAAAGACTGCATGTTCAGTTGGATGAAAGACAGACCTCACTCACCCTGTCCTTTCCCTTGTAAAAAACCCAAAACATTTCTCATCTTTATCTCTTGAGAGTCCAATGCAGCAAGAGGAAAACCCTAGGCAATTGGGCAGCAAAGAGTAGAAAACAATGGGGTAGAAGAAACAGGTTAATATCCAATAGTTTATTATCCTATTAACTATCCACTCCTTCATTAAACTATTTCCTGTTTGCTTCCTGCTTAAGTCCCACTTCCCTCCCTTGGGGATTCTCGAAAGCCACCCGGTTTATAATCCAGCTAGCATTCTTTTGTTTGAACTGTTATGTGCTCAGTATGCACCGTATTATTCAATCAAGATTATTTGGAGCATGTCATCTTCCTTTTCTTTCCCTGCCTCCCTTTCAATCACGCCGGTCTGAGGAGTTCTGCGCAAATCAAAAACTTCCTCCTATCGTTGCAAACATGAGTTCGTAGAACAAAGGCTTTGTGTCCTTTGTTGTGTGTGTTGCAAGACATACGCAACCACTGACATTTCTGCTCACAGATTCTGCTGGTGAAAGAGCATGATGGGGTTTTTTTTTTAATGCACAGAGCCTTTTCCCAAACAGGAAGAAAATACCTATGTCTTTGAAGCTGATGTGTGTACATGTACACACACACACACACAAGCTGGTTATGCAAAGGAAATTCCACTTGAAGTGTTGAGTGAATGTCATGTGGAGCCAAAGACCATAGGGATTAATTCCATGTGCCTCTCCTAACCTGGTGCCATCTATGTTTGGGGCTACAACTCCTATTCTGACCTGCTGAAGTCCACAACATCCTGAGTCCACCACATTAGCAAGCCCTGGTTTAGACTTGCATTTCTTGAACAATGTGGGTCATGGCTCACTGCCAGAAGGACACGTGAAAAGGATCTGGGGTCTGAGTAGATCCCAGGCTTCAAATGAGTCAACAGTGTGATGCAGCAGCCAAAAAAGCTAATGTTGTTCTAGGCTGCATCAACAGAAGTCTAATGTCCTGATCAAGGGAATTAACAGTCCTGCTCTAGTCTGCCTTAGTCAGACCCCACTTGGAGTGCTGTGTCCTGTTCTGGGTACTGCAGTTTAAAAAGGATAGGGACAAGTTGGACCGTGTACAGACAGAGGAGGGCAACCAAGATGACTAAGGGTCTGCAAGCCAAGCCTATTGAGGAGTTGGCTATGTTCAACCTGGAGAAGAGGAGACTGAGAGCCATCTTCAAATAACTACAGTGGACGCTCGGGTTGTGAACGTGATCCGTGCAGGAGGCACGTTCACAACCTGCAGCGTTCGCAACCCACAGTGTCATGTCTGTGCATGCACGGGTTGAGATTCAGCGCTTCGTAACTTGTTCCGGTACTTTCGGGTTTCGGCAGGTCCGTAATCCGAAAACACACAACCTGAAGCATCTGTAACCTGAGGTATGACTGTACAGTGGTACCTTGGGTTACAGATGCTTCAGGTTACAGATGCTTCAGGTTCATAGCTGTCAACCTTCCCTTTTTTTGGCGGGAAATTCCCTTATTCCAGCGCCGTTTCCCGCTGCTACCCCGGATTGTTAGATATCCAGTAGACTGTCCCCGGAACAAGTGAGGCTGTTGATCCCTTATTTTCGAGGCTGCTGATCCCTTATTTTCAAATCTGAAAGTTGACAGCTATGTTCAGGTTACAGACTCCGCTAACCCAGAAATAGTACCTCGGGTTAAGAACTTTGCTTCAGGATGAGAACAGAAATTGCGCAGCAGTGGGAGGCCCCATTAGCTAAAGTGGTACCTCAGGTTAAGAATGGTTTCAGGTTAAGAACAGACCTCCAGAAAGAATTAAGTTCTTATCCCATCCCAAGGTACCACTGTAAAGGGTTGTTACATAGAGGATAGAGCAAGCTCAGGAACCCCGGGAACAGCTTCAACTGGCCAGCTAAACCAGCAGAGGGGAGTCGATGGGTCTCAAACCTCTTGGTGACTTTGGGGATTGAGCAGACAAGACCAACAGCAGGTCCAAAGGTCAAAGAAGGCAGTTTCTGCATGTGCTGTAAAGGGAAGTGAGGGGCAGGTGGGGCTCATCTACCTGGGAAGGAAGCCCATGTAGGGGAAGGAAAACTCTGGTCATCATCAGAAGAAGAACAGGCTAAGGAGTAAACACAACACAAATCCGGAGTGAAGTCCCTAAGTTGGTTGGATGGCGCCTTGTACTCCTCCTTCCAGCGGTTTGACTCCGGTGGCACACTCCATTGTCTCTTGAGGCTGAGGGATGCCAACAATACATATTCTAATATTATCAAATAGATGACAACATTTTGCATCAAGTTTTCAAGATTAGGAGGATTAGCACATTCCTGAAAGCTTGAAAAATCCTCGTACCCTGAGATGCCAGGGACTGAACCTGGAGCTTTTTGCACGTAAAGGGCTGGTCTATGGTCTTTCCCACGAGACCTGGAAAAGTGACAGCAAGGTGGAACTGGCAGCCCTGGGATAGCCGAACTAATGACATGGGTCAACAGAAGCCAGATCCATACATACACCATCAGCAATATCGAGTCAGGAAATCCATCTAACGTAAGAACAAAAGACGAACCTTGCTAGATCAGGCCAGTGACCCACCTAGCTCAGAATCCTGTTCTCCCAGTGGCCAACCAGATGCTTCTGAGAAGCCTGCGAGTTCAACATCAGGCTTCCTCAAACTTGGCCCTCCAGATGTTTTGAGACTACAGTTCCCATCCTCCCTGACCACTGGTCCTGCTAGCTAGGGATCATGGGAGCTGTAGGCCAAAAACATCTGGAGGGCCGAGTTTGAGGAAGCCTGTTCAACATGAACGCAAGACCCTCTCCCCTCCTGCAACTGCCATTCAGATACTTCTGACACTGGAAGCAGAACATCGTCATTGTGGCTACTTTCTTCTTTGCACTTTCTGCACACCACGTATAACTTTATAAACTTGTACGCATCTTTCTTGCCCTTTCTCTACACAGAAAAGTCCAAAATGCTACAACCTCTGCTCACAAGGGAACTTGCTCCATCTTCTTGCTCATCTGTGCTTTGCTGGTGACAACAGATATGACCTCACCACAAGGCGCAAGTGGGGGACCTTTTTCACCCCAACGCGTCACAGTATCTTCTGATGCCAGTGCAGAAGATGACCAGAGCAACAAATGTCCATACAATAAGTGACTTCCTGCATACACTCTTATCATCTATCCAAACAAGCAAGAGGTGTGATCAGAGTTCAGGGGCCACATTCCAACTCCAGGCAAAAACATGAATGGAGCAGGGCCAATAACAGATGTGGCTGGGGAGGGCCTGAAGCAAGTTTCGGAGGGCCACGTTTCATCCATCTTCCCCATAGCAAAGTGTGGCTTCCTTATCAACAGCAAAGACCAGCTTCCTTGGCAGATAGCCTCGCCTCACAAATACCCATTTGATCACTTCCATCTGCAAATCTGGGTTGTTACAGGTGCCCCATAATACTCATTACACATTTTTTTAAAAAGGTAAAAAATGACAGCACCCACACTTCGGAACTCCCTGCCTATTGACGTCAAGCAAGCTCCTTTTCTGTACCACAATTTTTTGGTGTCTGATATAACCGCTTTGTTCAGACACATAGAGGTGTCTTAATCTGCTTTTCCACCTTAATTATTTTTAATAAATTATTTTTATTTATCTAAACATCTTAAAACAGTCGCTCTTGAGTGAAATACTGAACTGCTTTATTCTCCAGGAAACGGCATTATTATTATTTGCAGCCTTGCGGCATGCAGTGCAAATCTCTTGGAAACGAAAAAAAAGGTAAATTAAAAATACTGGACCTGGTCGGCTCCGAAAGGCGTGATGTTGGCCTTGACGGAGCCCACGCTGACTCCCACGAGAACCAGTCCCACGAAGCTGGCCACCAGGCAATAGCGGTTAGCCCCTTGCAGCTGGCATGGGGTGTGGGTGATGTTGGGCGACACGGGCACAGAGCAGTTCTCTACGATCCGCAGGGGCATCTCGCCGCAGAGCCACTGGCGGGTGGTGGAGTAAGCCATGGCAGGGAAGACCAGCATGCCCAGCAAGTAGACCGCCATGCTGAAAAGGATGGTGGGGAACTTGCCCAGCAGGGCGTCCGCCAACCAGCCCCCGAAGGGCGACACCAGGTAGGTGACGCCCATAAAGAGCAGCAAGGCCTGGCTGGCTTGGGTGCCCTCCCAGTTGTAGGGCACCCCGTTGAGGAAAAGCACCAGGTTCGAGGTGATGCCGTAGAACGCCACTCGCTCCAGCATCTCCGCCAGCAGCACCGCGGCGCATGCCAGGCGCCGGCCGCGGAAGGCGCTGGCGCTGGGGGAGCTGGGGGGCCCCCGGTGGTCGCCCCCTCCTAAGAGGGGGCTCCTCTCCATTGAATCTTCCATGGGGTGCCAGGAAATCTAAACACCACGGCCAAACTCCAGTGCAATGGAAACACCTTCCAGTTTAAGGGACTAAGCCCACTTACAGCTAGCCTGACCCCCCCAAAAAACCCCTCCAACTTGCTCGCACTCTCAGGGGCCTCCCAACCCCCTGACCTAGCTGCTCCCCAAATCTGCTAATCCAGAACTCTGCAAGCCCAGATCTACCTAAGCTGCCCAGAACCTGTCTCACCTTTGGGGTTCCTGTGGAAGGCGGGGGGGGGGTTCTTTTTTTTCTTTCAGGGCAGGGCTAACTTCTGGATCCCCCACTCCCCCCCGGCTCTCAGCTGTTCCCCATAAAACCCCTTCCTTGCTCCACCCACCCGACCCCAAACTGCCCCACCCGGGATTCGAACTCGTGATGTCGCCCGCTCAGGGCGCCTCCCTCGGCGCGGCTGCTCCCCTACCCCTGCCCTCCCCGCCGCGCCTGCCGAACCGGACCCCGCCGAACCCTCGCGCTCGGCGGCCCTTCCGAGCTCCGCGCTGCCCTCCCTCCCTCCGCCCGCCAACTTCTCTCGGCTGTTGGAATGCCCAGGTCCTCCTCCCCCTCCCGACCAGGGCTGGGGATTCGCCCTCGCTGATTGGCCGCGCCGCGCGGTCGCTCACAGAAGGGAGGCCCTTCCAGGTTCAGCCCTCACGTGGTTAGCCGCGGCAAAATAGAACACTCCGGGGAGGGAGGAGGGGGAATATGCTAATTGAGGCAGGTGCGAGAGAACGGGGGCGTGGCTTGGCTCGCCCAATGCCCTTGCTTTTCATGGTGGGTTTTTCTTTGTCAATGGCAACTCGCAGTCTTATCAATGGAATGAGTGTTGCCGCGTCAGTTACTGTCGCAATACCTTAGTCACGCTTTTTCTTGGAAGCGAACCAAGAGGGTTTGTTTGTTTTTTAAGTACTCATTTATTTACTTTTGTAAAATGTGACTTATAAATTAACGTGCATGCCAGGATACATTTGGGAAAGCAAAACATAGAGCAGGTAATTGTTCTGAACTCTCAGGTGCGAGGACGTACTGCGTTTGGAAGAAAATGCTGTCGAAAAATAGCGGGAGGCTGCGCCTGAGTTTACACCTAGCTTGCAGACTTGCCAAACACGTCTGGCTGGCTACTCTGAGCGCTTTTTGACTGGTTACCTGTTCACCCAGTTTTCTATTCAAATACTATTTCATGGTTGGTTAAATGGGGGGAAGGGAACGTGTAACCCTCAGGGTGTTGCTGAACTACAACTTCCATCAGCTCTGGCCATGCTTGCTGGGGCCAGTTTGTTTTGATCTACTATATTTCTATACCTCTTGATACACATGAATCACAAAACAGCTTACAAACAAACAATAACAACACAATAGAACATGTTTATTTCAAATTTATAATTTTGACTTTTGTATTGGATAAGATTCTTATAAGGTGTGTGATCTTTGTTGTCTATATTGTGGTTTCTTCAGCTTGTAAACTGCCTTGTGCATAGTAATCTAGTAAGGCGGTATACAAATTAAAAGTGAAAACAAATGAAGTGGAAACATAAATCATGCAGAATAATTAACAAATCATCAGTAAAACAGTTACAGTATATAAAACACTATTAACAAAACAGGTAAAAATATAAGCTAAACAGCACAATTACAGCAAAAGTCATAGGATTCATAAAGTTCTACAGCATTCATAATCTATAAAGCAATACTAACCATAATAACAAATAGCAATAAAAAAATAAACTAAGCAAAACCTCTGAAGGGCCAAAGTTCCCCCACAACTGCTCTATAGAGATCTGGCACCTTGCTTATTTCCCCATATGGTTCATAATGCAAACCCATAAAGCGTCCCCTCTCTTCTGCGTAATAGCTCTGCCCAACACCGCCAACCCCAAACCACCTTTTGAAAGATGGAAGCGGAACGGAATGTCCTGAATGTTGTTTCCAGGGAGTTCCCTGTGGGAGGCCGCTACAATAGCCGCGCTGGTTACCATAGAGCTGAGAAGAAAGGATGGTCGCGTGAGATGCCTAGAAGAGCCGGCAGTAGGTTTCCGGTACCCAACACGAGGGAACGAAGGCGAGAGGGACGTGGCCGGAAGCAGGGCAAGGGAGACAGCTGTGCTCAGCCAGGGCCATGCGGTTGCTCATGCTGGGGGCTCTGCGAGCCCACACCGGGAACGGCACCACCGCGAGGAGGATCCAGTAAGTGCTCCCCGCGCCTCGGGGAGGGGCTCGAGGCACCGGAGCTCCCGCAATAACGGGCAGGCAAGAGTTCGTTAGGTGAATTAGGCTTGCCGCATAGATTTATGTCATATTTGAGGGTTGCAACATTTACAATAAACAAATTTTCCGGCAAACTCGCAGGGTCGTTTGCAGGCAGAGATCCGTCAGGTGAAGCTGTTGGCCTTTGCATCTCCACACAGACAACCCCACACTGAGTGGAAGTCTTCAACCTCAGATATGCAGATGACACAACATTGATGGCAGAAAGTGAGGAGGAATTAAAGAACCTTTTAATGAGGGTGAAAGAGGAGAGTGCAAAATATGGTTTGAAACTCAACATCAAAAAACCCGAAGATCATAGTTAAAGCTAAAGTGATGTATGGAAGTGAGAGCTGGACCATAAAGAAGGCTGATCGCTGAAAATTGATGCTTTTGAATTATGGTGCTGGAGGAGACTCTTGAGAGTCCCATGGACTGCAAGAAGATCAAACCTCTCCATTCTTAAGGAAATCAGCCCTGAGTGCTCACTGGAAGGACAGATCGTGAAGCTGAGGCTCCAAGACTTTGGCCACCTCATGAGAAGAGAAGACTCCTGGAAAAGACCCTGATGTTGGGAAAGATGGAGGGCACAAGGAGAAGGGGATGACAGAGGAGGACAAGATGGTTGGACAGTGTTCTCGAAGCTACAAACATGAGTCTGACCAAACTGCGGGAGGCAGTGGAAGACAGAAGTGCCTGGCGTGCTCTGGTCCATGGGGTCACGAAGAGTCGGACACGACTAAACGACTAAACAACAACAAAAGTAGAGGCAAGCTGAAGTCACAACTAAAGCATTCATGACAGGTGACCATCCAGCCTCTGCTTAAAAACCTCCAAGGAAGGAGAGTCCACCACCTCTCGTGGGAGCCTGTTCCACCATCAAACACCTCTTACTGTCAGAAAGACAATGTAGATTTTTGCATCCTTTTATGTTACACATATGCTGTTTGCTTCTCTGCATCTACACACACACACATTGAGTTTCAGTCTGTAACATTTTACAGTTTTGTGATCAAGTAGCAGCTGATGTATGGAGTATGTGTGTGTGTGTGTATATGTGTATTTGTGTGTATTGTATTGTATGCACACCAGACATTTAAAGCACACAAATTCCCCTATAGTTTGCCATTCATAGAGCTACTATTCTAAGCACCCTTAGCAAGCTGTAGTTTCTAGTGCAGTAGTTCCAAGAGACTTACCCATCCACTATACCACACTGGTATAAACGGCGTTTCCATGCGCTGCTCTGGTTCGCCAGAAGCAGCTTAGTCATGCTGGCCACATGCTGACTCAGAAGCTGTCTATGGACAAACGCCATCTCCCTCGGCCTATAGAGCGAGATGAGTGTCGCAACTCCAGAGTCGTCCGCAACTGGACCTAACGGTCAGGGGTACCTTTACCTTTATACCACACTGGATTCCACCCAAAGTTACTGAGATGCAGCACCTTGTCTGTGCTGTTTGGCACTGTGGAAAGTTTCTAGCAGATATGTAATGTTAAACTCCGATCTTATTCCATTTTCTTCTTTGCTTGTAGGGATCACCTTGAAGCTGCTGGTCACTCATGTACCCTCGTGGATATCTCTTCCTGCAAATCCCCGTTGGCAGTTTCAAATCTCATTCCCTCCGAGAACTTTGAGGCAGCTCTGGGCATTCATCTTTATAAAGCAGGCAGACTTCTGCAAGGTACTGTGGTTTCTGATTTTGTGTGCATTTTGGGTGATACTGCCATGGTTTTCCCATTTGGGAAAAAGCAAAATCTTCCTACAACCTTTTGCATATTTGTACCTGGTAGAAATTGTCTCCTAGAAATTGTCTTGTGGCCTCCAAATGTTCTTGCATGACAGACCCCATCAATCCGGCTAGCCTTGTTTGTCATCAATGTTTGGATACCGACTGCCATTTTGAATCAAGATGGTGGATCAAAACATTGCTTTGGGGTGACTGCCCATTTGGAGACATAGTTTCAGCTACAGATATAGCCACCAAAGTTGGCATGAGAGTTCCCAAGATGGGGAAAGCAAACTTCACTATGGTGGCGGACACCATTTTGAATCAAGAGGGTGGGCCAAAACATGACTTTGGCACGACAGCTCGGCCACCTCAGTATGTTGTTGCCAAACTCAACATGAGATTTCTTGAGGTAGAGGTGGCAGTCTTTGTTGACATTTGGACACCGGGAGCCATTTTGAATCAAGATGTGACTTTGGCGTGACATCTCCTGATATTTGGTGTAACAGGTCCAAACTCACAGATCAGTCTATGCATTTTAAAATTGCAGTGTTTTATGGTTTCCACTAATTCCTTGGTAGTGCCAGGTGCTACCCATTAGTAGAGTTATGAAGTGTGAGGATGAACTGTGACGTCTCTATGGCATTGCAGCTAGTGTTGGACTAGGGCATGGGAGACCAGGGTTCGAATCCTCACTTGGCCTTGAAGCTCCACTGGGCGACCTCAGGGGCCATTCACATTCTCTCAGCCTGATCTCCCTCGCAGGATTCTTGTAAGAATAAAATAGAGAGGGTTGAAGAGTGTGTGCCATCTTGAGCTCCTTTGAGAAAAGGTGGGATATATAAATATAATAAATAAACAAACTTTGCGATATAGGATGCCTCCTACTGGGTGGGAAAACCATACAATAATTGGGCAAGCCTGGGTCAGCTAGAGCATACATCACATGTCCTCCTTCTGATTTATTTTTAACAAGCGTTTATCCAGAATTTAAAAGCAGCCGTGTTACTAATTAGTGACCATCCCATTGCTATTTGTTAGCTTAATGAGGTGTAAAACTGCCACTTAATTGTATTTGTTTCCCCACCTTCCAGAGCTTAAAAGAATGTAAAGCTTATTGCTTTGCCATCCTTGCAAGAAAAGTGTGTTGGTTGCTGGGGCTCATTCTGCTTTAATTGGCAGCAGGTGTGGCAGAGGGACCAGATCTGAGGAGATGCAGGAGCTTTTGGGTTTTGGATGGAGAGAGTAGGGATCTCTCAGCAGCTAGAGAACTTTACTTGACTCTGGCTGCAATCCCACACACGCTTACTAAGGAGCAAGCCCTGTTGAAACTGATAGGACTTATTTCTGATTTGCACATGGAGAGTTGCACTGTAAGATATGGAACCACAAAATGTACTTTCCGCTCTGACTTTAGCTCATTGGTTGATTGGCAGACAGTGCTGAGTGCTGGCTTCTGTCAGGGCAAACGGCATTCTAATTGCTGGTTCTAAATGTGTTTTGATTATGATATTCATTTATTTGCTGCCCATCTGACCGGGTTACCCTAGCCACTCTGGGCAACTTCCAACAAATTAAAACACAGTAAGACATCAAACATTAAAAACTTCCCTATAGTGATGAATTTTAAGTATTGTTTTAAACTTTTTGTTTTTATGACTTTGTTTTTAAGAGTTACACTTTTGAACATAGTGAGCCACCTTGAATCCCTTCTAGGGAGAAAGGTGGGATATAAATATATTGAACAACAACAACAGGAGTAATCAGGCTGGCTCATTTCATAGAAATCTCTTAGAAAGGTATCTGCACATTTTGTTTCGTTACTTTCTAAGAGGGCTAGAGACCCCCCCTTTTTTTAAAGTGAAATCTCAGCATCTGGGGGACACCCAACGAAGGCCTTTCTGGGTGTCGTGGCACCCGTGGCTGCTGGGTTGGCAAGCCATGGGGCGCTTTTCACATGGTTGCCAAAACCTACCTGCCATAAAAGAGATATTGGAAGGACACATGCCAAACACAGGATTATTATTATTATTATTATTTTGAAAAAAGGAATCTTTTCTTCATTATCGGAATGTAAAATTCTGATAGGGTGCCCAGACTTGTAACATGTATAATTTGACATTGGGCTTAAAATATAATTTAACCATTAGGCGGCCATTGCAAAGGCAGTGTAGGAAGACAAGAAGAAGAAGACTCAATTAAATTTAATCAAATTAACCCTTGCACCTCTGGCTTTTTGCAGGCAACGGGATTCCTTTTGGAATCATCTTTGGTGGAACCGACATCAATGAAGATGCCAAGTGTGAAGAAAAGGCCAAAGTGATGGGGAGAGTGTTGGAGGAAGCCAGGTAGAGGAAAGAGCCAGATTCTTAGGCAAAAGAGGATCCTTCTTTGCCCTTCTCCCCATCTCGGATATCTTATCCATATTTCTTGATTATGAGGAGGATGTTGTTTACATAGTGTCTTCCCTCCCTCAGCCTAAATTTACCGCCTTAATTTTTGCGCTGGCAGCAGCAGAGCAAAGTGAGAGGGAAATAGAGGGATGAAATGATAGTTTAAAATGGATAAAAGGGACCCCTAACCATTAGGTCCAGTTGCGGACAACTCTGGGGTTGAGGCGCTCATCTCGCTTTACTGGCCGAGGGAGCCGGCGTTTGTCCTCAGACAGCTTCCGGGTCATGTGGCCAGCATGACTAAGCCACTTCTGGTGAACCAGAGCAGCGCACGGAAACTCTGTTTACCTTCCCACTGGAGTAAAATACTCAATACAAACAGCTCTCTGTATGAGCACCTTGTGACAAACCATCACCCGATCTGGTTTAATTAATATTTAAGCCAAGGGGGATTTGAGGTTTGCTTAACCCAAATCTGTCCACTGCTTTCCAGCTGAAGAAACTGCGGAATTTGAGTGATGCCGCTCCTTAAACCGTCATGTGATAGGTTGTTCAAAGATACATTTTTTTTTGAAGGCAAGGTTTTCTGAATTTTGGCTTCGTGTTGCTAAACTTAGCCGATTACCACAGAGTACCCCGAGTTTGCTGATGAAACAATGTTTGTGCTGCCATTTGGTAGCACATACCTTTGCAAGACTGCTGTGAGGACAAAATGCTGTAGCAGCCTATGTATCTGCAATGATCTTGAGAGTATGTCTGACAACCGTCTAACCCCCGCGTTGACCTACTTGTTGGCAAAATGTGTACTGAATTTTGGAAGATTTAGGACGGGTAAAAGGAAGTCCTTCTTCATGGGGCACATGGCTAAACTCTGGAACTGGCTCCCCCAGGAAGAGGTGGTGACCATCAACTTGAATGGCTTTAAAAGAGGATTAGACATATTCATAGACATATTCATTGATGGCTACTACTTCATGATGGATGGGACATGGGTGGCGCTGTGGGTTAAACCACAGAGCCTAGGACTTGCCGATCAGAAGGTCGGCGGTTTGAATCCCCGCGATGGGGTGAGCTCCCGTTGCTCGGTCCCAGTTCCTGCCAACCTAGCAGTTCGAAAGCACATCCAAGTGCAAGTAGATAAATAGGTACCGCTCCGGCGGGAAGGTAAACGGCGTTTCTGTGCGCTGATCTGGTTCGCCAGAAGCGGCTTAGTCATGCTGGCCACATGACCCGGAAGCTGTACGCCGGCTCCCTTAGCCAATAAAGCGAGATGTGCGCCGCAACCCGAGAGTCAGACACGACTGGACCTAACGGTCAGGGATCTGTTTACCTTTACCAGGCAAAGGTAAAATTTGCATTAATTGCCGCCTTTCCCCTCTTGCACTGCCCCCTACCAGGATGGGGGCCCCAGAAGGTTGCACAGAAGGGCATGCAGCCCGCCGGCTAAAATAAGGTTCCCCACCCCAATCTCTGAGGGATGGCCTAGGGCTTGCCGATCAGAAGGTGCACCGCAACCCCAGAGTCGGTTACGACTGGACCTAATAGTCAGGGGTCCCTTTACCTTTACCTTTACTTCATGATGGATACGTTGTACCTCCCCAGTTGGAGACAGCAATGCTTCTAAAATAACCATTGCTGGAAGCCACAGGAGGAGAGAGTGTTCATGCGCTTGAATCCTGCTTGCTGATTTCCCACAGTCATCCAGTTGGCCACTGTGAGACCAGGAAACTAGATGAGCCACTGGTCTGATCCAGCAGGATCCTCTTATGTATTCTCCCATCCCAGTGATACTTCCCCAAATGGGTTTCTTTCATGAACGTTAACTGTTAAAAATATTCATAATTCGTTATAGCTTAACGCTGCTAGTATAACTGTATGTTTTTGGAATAAATTTTTATAGCTTATGAAGCAATATCCCACAATCCCATGATTGGTGTTCTTAAATTCCCATTAAAAAAAAAAAGGTGGATAATGTTGCAAGAACTGTAGATATTTCAACAAATTCCACATTAATGGAGGTGTTAAGTAAATTTATGTGTGGGTGCCTCGAGTAATGGTTATAAAACAGGCAAATGCAGTAAAAAAAACCTATGAAACCAATGGCTGCTGAAGACCTAAAGTCCAGAAATTGTGTGACAATAAATTGATGGTTCGCCATACCTAGTAAATTTGGACTTCTGGGCCACTGTACTGAAAAGGTTGGGAACCACAGCTAGAGGAGAGCAGAGCTCTGAAGTTGCTTCAGCAGCCACCAGACTGAGTCCTATTTCCATAGCTGTCAACCGTCCCTTATTTGGCAGGAAAGTCCCTTATCACAGCGCTGTGTCCCGGTGCTGTCCCTTATTGATGATGTCCCTTAAATTTCCCGGGTTTCAAAGGAAGCAGCTCCTCTCCCTCCCTGCCTGCCAGCCAGGGAGGAGGGAAGCTCCAACTGTGTTGCTTGGCTGCGTTGCTCACCCAATAAGGAGTCTAAGAACGACTGGGGGGGTGGAGCTTGCATGCCTTGTGCCGATCAAATCAGCTGCGTTGCCTGGGGACTCGCCTTTGCTCAGCGCTTCCCAGCGGAGAGGTGACGGTGGTTTTCCTTGCTGCATCCCCTTTGCCGGGTTGCTGCGCTGTGGGAACCACCGCTTGAGGCTTCGTTTGGCTGCTGGCTGGGCTTTCTGCCTTTGGCTCGGAGGGGCTCAGAAGTTGAACATACCTGTGCTGGAAAATCCCTTATTTTGGCTGCTGATCCCTTATTTTCAAGGCTGCTGGTCCCTTATTTTCATATCTGTAAGTTGACAGCTTTGCCTATTTCTACACAGACTGGCAGCAACTCTCTATGCTTTCATGACATGTGTCTGTCTGGAAATACTGGGGACCTTCTGCACGTAGAGCATATGTTCTACCAGTGAGACATGGCCCTTTCCTTTCCAGTAACTGAGTGTGGGGTGCCAGTACAAACTGACTGGCGGAACTGTGTGATTTACCTGCTACATATTCCGCCAGATTCTGTAAGGGTGGGGAGGTGGGAGTGGAAGCCCATTCAGCTTCACAAAAGAGCTTGCCATTGTTCCGTTTTATTTTATTTTAATCAAACTCTTCTTAAATGTTGGTGATTCTCCCTGAGGGCATATTTTTTAATTTGGCAGTCTTATCACTGGACAGGCCATGAGCCACAGTTTCCCTCCCACTCAAGAACGTGATAGATGGGAAATACAATTCGCACTGAAAAGAAATTGGAGGAAGGTGTTTGAGCGAAAGTCCTTGTCTTTGGCTAGGTTTTTGATCATCTTTAAAGCTGTTGGGTTTTAGCATAGGCTGTCTAGTGTGACAATTAACCTCCTGAGAAAAGCCTGAGGCCAAACAGCCTCTGCTTATTTCAGAACAATAGGCAAACCTTATAAGATCAGAGGAAGAAGCTGCCTTGTACTGAATTTGCCCATTATGCTCAGTATTGCCTGCACGGACTGGCAGGGTTTCCAGCAGGAAATCTTTCCCAGCCCCAGCAGCAGATGCCATTGGGAAATGAACCTGGGACTTCCTGCATGCAAGACAGGTGTTTTGCCCCTGAGCTACGGCCCTTGCGCAAAGCGCAATCAAAATAAAAACAGAAGGGTCAAAGCAGAATGCCAGCAGAAGGTAAAGAACATATGAAAGAACGAGAAAGGCAAAAAAGAAGTCTGTATACAAGTATGAGTGTCTAAAACAGAGCTTTCCAAACTTTTCATGTTGGTGACACACTTTTTAGATATGCATCATTTTGCGTCACAGTAATTCAGTTTTACTAGCAAGCCGGAGGTTAAACTAACCCCTTTCCAGCCCTGGGAGGAGCGTGGGAAGCGTTCGCGCAACACAACTACACACTGCAGCCGACACACTAACGGGTCACGACAAACAGTTTGGACAGCTCTGGTCTAAAACATTGGGTCCTGATTTGACCTCCCTTTGTTCTCAATACCTCTAGGTTTGCAGTGTCCTTCACAGAGTCAATGAAGGAAGCAGCTGCAGTGTATTGGGTACGTAATTATGGTGTTTTCAGTCGTATCTGCAGAGCGTTGCCCTAAAATGTGGGTTTGTGGGGACTCTGTGGCCCTCAGCTGTTGCTGGACTACAACTCCCATCATCCTTGGGCGTTGGCCACCTGGCCAGATGGATGGGTGGCTCCTGGTGGAGAAAATGGTTGCTGCTGGTTGCTGGAAGCAGAGCAATACCACGAAGACCACAGGTCCATCTAGAGTTGTCTTGTGGACTTGGAATCGTAGAAATGGAGAGTTGGAAGGGAGCCCCAGAGCCATCTAGAGCAAACCAGGGCGATCATGTCTGAGGCTCTTGGCTCTTCAGGCACACAATGTCAAACTGAGGTTTAGGGTTGCCTGTTGACTGGTCTACTGGCTTTTGTATGCAGTGGCTATAAAACACGTCTGACATAAAGAGGGATTTGGTTTAGAGAGCCCTAGAGAAGGCAGATTTCCTTTCCATATAAATACAGTATTTGATAGCAATCACAGACAGGGCTTTAATTTATTTTGATACAGTCGAAAAACCCTACTCCAGATAAGTACACTCTTCCTCTATGATTCTCTGCCTTCAACACAAATTACGCCTCCTTTTGTTGGCAACCGTCCTCTACCCATCAAACTGCAACCTTCATTATTTCTTCTTGTTTAATTCCCCACCTCCCACTCCTTCCAAGAGGATACACACACACACACACCCATCTTTCTCTGTGCAACAGACACTTGCTAGTGGATGCTATGAAACGTTGCTGGTATGTTAGCGTTTATTTTTTAAGGGCTGCTTTTGAGCTAAGCTGGTAACTGTGTCAAATTACAAAATTGGCTGATGGAGACCATAAATAGCAAGTAAAGTTCTTTTTCAAGCTTCCCGTTCTCCCAATGCTCCTGAGCTTGCTCTGGCGCTCCTTTCTAGAAGGAGCCAAACCCATTTGAAATTCTCTTCTTTGGGATGCACTTACAGGGGGTCAACAAACCTTTCTGACCTGTGTGCAAACCAGAGGAGCCGTCTTGGTTGCTGCACACACATACACAACACAACCAATCAGCCATTTCAACTTAATTTGTTGGCCGCAGCAGAATGCTTCTTTCAAGACTCATTTTAGCCCGGGGGGGGGCACACCCTCTGGGTGGAGGGAAGGCCTCTGTGGGGCACATTCCGTGGGCACCAGGTTGGTGACCCCTGCAAAGTTTTCACTGTCAACATTCTGAAGCCAGTGGTGAGCTACATTTTTGGAGGTCCGGTTGGCTTATTCTTTATATTTTATCTGAATATTTTATACCTCATCTTTAAGGGTAAAACCCTCACAATTTTTTAACTTTAAAAACAAAAGATCTATAGAGCCTTTCAAGAGTAAAATCCTCCCCTAGGCCGTTCACATATTGTATCAATGTGCAACCGTAAAATACGAAAAATATCGCCAATGAAAATGATCTCTTGTTTTGGTAGAACATAGTCCCACATTATTAAAAGTAGCCACCAGATGTTTAGGGGATGGATGGGGAAAATATTAGAAAAATAGCAAAAGTCCTTTGGAACAACCACCACCACAGCCTCAGGGCCACTCTGGAAAAGACCCTGCTCCTAACAATATCTGATGTCGTCACATTGACAATTGAAAAATGCTCTGAGCAGGAAGCCAGCATCTCCATTGCAGAGGGAGGTAAAGAAAGCAACCATTTTAAAGTGCTGAATCTTAATCTCCTTCTGCAGGTGTTTTAGGGAAAGTGGTTTCTGAAACACAACCATTTCGTGTGTGTGTGTGTGTATGTATATGTGTTCTGTAAATATTTTCTCACCTTTGCTTCGCTCAGTTAAACTAACTTGCTTTCCCTTCATGCCTCTGTTTTTAAGCCTCGTGCCAGGAACAAAATATATGTTCAAGCTCAAGGTAAGTGTTATAAGTTTCCTATTTCTGCAGAGAAAAACTAAATCATGGGTGGGGCTTAAGAATCATGGCCATCTTCTTCTTCTTAGTTATGTATATATTATTTATGATTTTCAGGTTTATACATTTCTATAATTTTAACATTTCAAAACTTGACTTCCTTCCCCCTCTTTCTGCGGTTCCTTAAAATTATTTTTAATATTTTCTGCATATCCAAATTAACTTAATTTGATCATTTATTCATCTACTTTAAATATATACTCTAATGAAACTGCAGGCTATTACAATAATCCTGCCAGTGTCCTTATCTGTTTACAGTTTGTTTGTAAATATTCAATAAACCATTTCCATTCTTTTATAAAAAGTTTGTTATCTTGATTTCTTATTTTTGTGGTAAGTTTCACCATTTCTGCATATTCCATAAGTTTTTGTATCCATTCTTCTTTCGCTGGGACTTCTTCCCATTTTTGGGCAAGTAACATTCTTGCTGCTGTAGTCGCATACATAAATAAATTTCTGTATAGTTTGGGTAGCTCTGTCCGTATAATTCCCAAAAGGAAAGCTTCTGGGTTGTTTTTCCCCCATAATGTTATTTTAAACATCTTTTTCAATTGCCTATATATCATTTCCCAGTAAGCTTTAACCTTGCTACATGACCACCACATATGATAAAAAGAACCTTCTTTCTCTTTACATTTCCAACACTTATACCATCGAGATATCATTTTCATATAATTTTCTGTTAGACCATAATATGCTGTAAATTTTATATCCGTATTCCATATTGTGGAATCATGGCCATCTTCACACCCCCTTGAGTGTTTTTGCCTGGGTGAGATGTGTCCTTGAACTCTTATTGTGCCTTTTGCTTGCTTGGATAGAGGCTAGAGAGGATTGTGTGGATGCCTGTACAGTAGAACCTCTACTTACGGACATAATCCGTTCCGGAGGTCCATCCGCTGGTCAAAACGGTACACTAGAAGAGGCGTTTTGTGTGCGTGCGCATTCGGCGGTATCATGCTTCTGCGCATGTGCAAATGGCGGCAGCCGCTTCTGCGCGCACACAGATGGCAGAAGCCGCTTCTGCGCATGCGCGATCACGGCAAACCCGGTGTTTACTTCCGTGTTTGCAACTTGGAACGTCCGCGAGATGAGATGAGTATGTAAGTCGAGGTTCCACTGTAGAAGCTAGCCCCTTGTATAAAGGTGAAGTTTGTGCCTGTTGCTCCACCCATGTTTGCCTTTGGCCACGCTTACCGCTGGCATACATGTGGCCCTTGCAAGGTTTCCCAGAGCAGAATGTGGCCCTCAGGCTGAAAAGCGTTCCCCACCCCTGAACTCTGCCTCTGAAATATGTCCAGGCCAGGGGATGCTGTAACAGCCGCTCACATAAAAGGTGTCATGAAGAGAGGAGGTGTTAAGGATGCCTCTGCCGATGGCTGGAATAGCATTTCAAATTTTATTGACAATGAAATCCCCATCTTCACGCACTTGGAAGAGTAGCTATGGCAAGGACAGCCAGCATGGCTTCTTCCAGATGCGGCTGGATTGCAGCTGCCACCATCCTTGACCATTGGCCATGTTAGCTAGGGCTGATGGGAGTTGGGAGTCCAACAGGCTCTGGAGGGATACTGGTTCCCCAACTCTTATCTACAAGCCCCAGTGCATTGAATGGTTTCTGGAAGGGAAGAGGAATGCCACTAAAATGGATGACGCTTGCCTGCCATGGATTACTTTCCATGAACTATTTAATGCATGTCTGCTTGTTTTTATGATTATTATCAGGAATTGTGACCACCTGCAACGCTTCTTTCAACTGGAAGAGATTTCTGCAGTCAGAAGGTAAAAAGAAAGCAAACCAACCCGATTCCCAGTCTCCTCGCTCTGTCCTATCTGTCCCTGTGTCAGGGCAAGTGCTGGGAGCAGGTCAGCAATGACTCACAAGGTGTCAGCGAAGTTTTATTTTTATTTGAAAAACGAAACATCTCAGGCCTAGTGAGCACAGAAACTCTTCCCAGTAGATCTTGTCCCAAGGAGGCAGTTGCAAGGACTGAAGGTCCCTGCCTTCCCACCACTCTCCTAAGTCTCCTCCTCCTCCCCCAGGTCCTTCCCAAGCAGCCTGAGACTCTGACACCTTGTCCGTCTCTTCTCCACTCTCTTCATCCCTCTTCAGGTTCTCAGAGACCAGTGGGGAGGGGAGCTGTTTGCAGCAGGAGAGGGAGACCCCCCCCTGGCTTCTTCAGCAGCCTGCCTGATCTCTGCCTCTTTACAAAAATGCAAATGCAACACGCTGGCTAATAACTGTTAGTAAATATATAATTGGTATGATGTCATTCAAAATATATGAATAAGCCACTTCAAAATGATGTATGTATCATACAACACATCTCACAAAATATACAAGTAACTGCAAGTTGTTATATGCATCAGAGTCAAACAGATTCAAACAACCAATAAATAGCGAAGAACGCCAAACCGTCTCTCAATAATAATAATAATAATAATAATAATAATAAATTTATTATTTATACCCCGCCCATCTGGCTGGGTTTCTCCAGCCACTCTGGGCGGCTTCCAATCCAGTGTTAAAAACAATACAGCATTAAATATTAAAAACTTCCCTAAACAGGGCTGCCTTCAGATGTCTTTTAAAAAGAAGATGGCTACTCATTTCCTTCACATCTTAAGGGAGTGCGTTTCACAGGGCGGGCGCCACTACCGAGAAGGCCCTCTGTCTGGTTCCCATTAGTTTTGCTTCTCGCAATGAGGGAACCGCCAGAAGGCCCTCGGCACTGGAACTCAGTGTCCGGGCTGAATGATGAGGGTGGAGACGTTCCTTCAGGTATACTGGGCTGAGGCCGTTTAGGGCTTTAAAGGTCAGCACCAACACTTTGAATTGTTCTCGGAAACGTACTGGGAGCCAGTGAAGATCCTTTAGGACTGGTGTTATGTGGTCCCGACGGCCACTCCCAGTCACCAGTCTAGCTGCCGCATTCTGGATTAATTGCAGTTTCCGGGTCACCTTCAAAGGTAGCCCCACGTAGAGCGCATTGCAGTAGTCTAAGTGGGAGATAACTCAAAGGAAGACGTCTCACAAAAGTCTCAAAAGACAGTGCATCCGGAATAGTTCAACTCTTTCGGAACGAAGTCTTCATCAGCGAATAATTATCAGTGAAATATACATACTAGTGAAGATCATACTAGTGGATCAGTCTTCCTTTGAGACTTTTGAGAGACGTCTTCCTTTGAGAGACGGTTTGGTGTTCCTCGCTATTCATTGGTTGTTTGAATCTTTGTTTGACTCTGATACACATAACAACTTGTAGTTACTTGTATATTTTGTGAGATGTGTTGTATGATATATATATTGTTTTGAAGTGGCTTATTCGTATATTTTGAATGATGACATACCGATTATATATTCACTAACAGTTATTATCCAGCATGTTGCGTTTGCATTTTTGTAGATTTTCACATTTTGCAACATAAGTGTTTGCGTTTGTTCTGATCTCTGCCTCTTGGCACCCCTGCTCTCCAGCCTCCAGCTTCTGCCACAGCCTTTTCCTGCTCACTAAACTGTTCCCTCTTCAGCTTCCAACATCATCTTCTCCCAGTCTGCTCCCTCTGACCACTCATTGTCGCCCCACCACCAACACCCGGCTCTGTACCTTCTTCCAGAGAAGCCAGCAGTGGTGTAGTGGTTAAGAGCGGTGGACTCGTAATCTGGTGAACTGGGTTCGCTTCCCCGCTCCTCCACATGCAGCTGCTGGGTGACCTTGGGCTAGTCACACTTCTCTGAAGTCTCTCAGCCTCACTCACCTCACAGAGTGTTTGTTGTGGGGGAGGAAGGGAAAGGAGATTGTTAGCCGCTTTGAGAGTGAAAAGTGGGATATAAGGGGAGTGAAAGGTGGGATATCAAATCCAAACTCTTCTTCTTCTTCTTCCCTTGGGGTTTCCCCAGCTGGTGTCTCCCACTACTCTTCTACATCCAGTACAGGTGCCAAATCCTTGAATGCACAGGTGGTGACAGGGTTAGAGCCGGTTGTGCAAAGTCCTGGACAGGAAACAGGGTCTCCAATCCCAGTGTAGTTCCTGGGCTACTCAAATGGCTCTAAACTTTGCTGTTACCCCTGTGTAAGCCAGCTAAATTGGCAAAACAAATTGAAAACTTGTTTCTGAATGGATCTTTTCAGGCCCCTAGTTAAAATTCCCTTCTTCTTCTTCTTTTCATCCCGAGTTTTCATAATTAATGTCCATAACCTTCATTTAAGTAGTGCAAAACAAAGCTCCTTTTGAGAGAGCCTGAATTGAAAGCTAAACAGAGGCCGTCTCTTCTGAGTCCGCGACAGCTCCAACTAGCAATGGCGGAAATTGATTTTTCTCCCTCTAAACCACAGTGAAAATAGTGTCGGGAGGGAGGGAGGGAGCGTGAGCTGGTGCCAGCTTTTCATCCAGCGATTTCTTTAAAAAATAGAAATGGTGTAGCTTTTTAAAAAAGCATAAATAGATAAAATCCTCCCTGAAATGTATGTGTCTGCAAACTGAAGGGAGTTCACTCACTAGTCTGAATAATCTCCACGCAACCTTTCCAAGAAGGCCTAGATGAAATAATGATTTTTGAGGGGGCGGAGAGGCGATGCGTCAGTATGAATCAATAGGGCTTGCTTGGTCCATGTTTCAGTCATTTATTGCAGCGGTAGTCAACATGGTGCCCTCCACATGTTGTTGGGCTTAGAACTCCCAACAGCCTTGGTTACAATGGCCAGTTGTGGCCTTAGAATCATAGAATTGTCGAGTTCAAAGGGACCAAGGGGGTCATCTAGTCTGACCCCTGCAGCGTAGGAATCTTTGGTGCTACGTGGGGCTCAAACCCACGACCCTGAGATTAAGAGTCTCATGCTATCCCAGGTCTTCCCTGGATGGTGGACAATAGGGGTATAGTCCCAACAACATTTGCAAGGCTCTGTGTGGGTTACCCTCGATTTATAGTCTATGCTATGAGACTCTCTGTAGGCTGAGCTGACTTTAGAAGTAGGGGCAGAAAGTAGACACAATGTTGGGGTGGCTGTGGAGATTTGTGCACACATTCTATTTGTGTGGGATGCAGGTGGCGCTGTGGTCTAAACCACAGAGCCTAGGACTTGCCGATCAGAAGGTTGAGGTTCGAATCCCCACGACGTGGTGAGCTCCCGTTGCTCGGTCCCTGCTCCTGCCAACCTAGCAGTTGGAAAGCACATCAAAATACAAGTAGATAAATAGGTACCGCTCCGGTGGGAAGGTAAATGGTATTTCAGTGCGCAGCTCTGGTTTTGCCAGAAGCGACTTAGTCATGCTGGCCACATGACCCGGAAAAACTGCGGACAAACGTCGGCTCCCTCGGCCAGTAAAGCGAGATGAGCGCCGCAACCCCACAGTCGTTCGCATCTGGACTTAACTGTCAGGGATCCTTTACCTTTACCTTTTTACCTGTTTGTGTGCCCCAGTACAAGTGGCCACATTTACTTCTATACACACTCACCTGTGCTATGCACCCCCCAGTGAATATGCCCTACTTTTCCCATATAGTGAAACACCAGGAAGAGGCAGTGGGGGCAGTCCAGCCTCCCCATGCAATGATGAGTTCCATAGTATAAGTGCAGCCACATAGATCTCCCAACTTTTCTTCTGTAGAGGTGGCACATATGAGAGTCTCCAATGGGAACATGGGGCACTCCCTAATAATAATAATCATAAATTTTATTTATACCCCGCCCTCCCCAACCAGAGCTGGGCTCAGTAAAATCACAGTAAAAAACATAATGGGGGGACCAATTTAAAATACAGGTTAAAATGCAATTTAAAATGCAGCCTCATTTTAAAAGTAGTCCATAAATCAAAACCATAAGGGCCAGACTGAGTCCAAACCAAAGGCCAGACAGAACAGCTCTGTCTTGCAGGCCCTGTGGAAAGATGTCAAGTCCTGCAGGGCCCTAGTCTCTTGTGACAGAGCGTTCCACCAAGTCGGGGCCAGTACTGAAAAGGCCCTGGCCCTAGTTGAGAGCAATCTAACCACCTTGCGACCTGGGACCTCCAAAATGTTGTCATTTGTGGACCTTAAGGTCCTCTGCGGGGCATACCAGGAGAGGCGGTCCTGTAGGTATGTGGGTCCTAGGCTGCATAGGGCTTTAAAGGTCAAAACCAGCACCTTAAGCTTATAGTGAGTTAGACCACTGATCCATCTAGCATAGGATGTTCTGCACCAGTGGTGGTGTTGGACTCCAACTCCCATCTGCCCCAGGGGCCCTGGCCGATGATCTCAGATGACAGGAGCTCTAATCTAACAATAATTGGAAGGCCACAGGTTCCTCAGACCTGGTCTACGGTGGACTAGTACAGGTTCTCCAGGATTCCAGGCAGGAATTTTACTCAGTTCTGCCTGGAGATTAAACCTGGGTCCTTCTTTATTTTAAGCAAACACTCTCCCGCTGAGCTACAGCTCTTCTCCTGCTTCTGGGGGGGGATTATATTAAGGCACAATCCAGGCACTAACTAACTTAGCTTTGACAAGTTGGCAGCATCTTTTTATTAAAGTAATCATATTTCCCTCCCAAATTTCTCTGCTTCCCTGAAGCCCTCCCGAGGCATCTAATGTACATACATAAAACATTAAAGCCAAAACATTTTATTCCAATAAAACTAAGCCCTATAAAAATAATAAATTTCATAGCTGAGCACAGTGCTCGTATAATGTGAATCTAAATTGTTTAGGGCAGAAATGGGCACCTCCGGATGTTGTAGGACTCCAACTCCCATGACCCCCCAGCCAGCATGGCCAAAGAGATGACCATTCCTTTAATCTCTCCCCCAACTCTCCTGCTTTAATTACCGTGTCATTTTAATGAGATTGTTTTATAATGCCTTTTAATTTGGATGATTTATCTCATGATGCTTGTGTCACTGGTTTTTATACTTGTGAACCCCAAGGGTCCTCTAGTCCAATGCAGGAATCTCAACTAAAGCATCCAAGACTGGTGGCCATCCAACCTCTGCTTAAAAAAACCCAATGAATGAAGTCCACCACCTCCCAAGGGAGTCCATTCCACTATTGAACAGCTCTTACTTTCAGAAAGTTCTTCCTGGTATTTAGTTGAATCGCCTTTCTTGTTCCTTGAAGCCATTGGCTCTTGTCCTCCCTTCCAGAGCTTGCTCCACCTTGTTGATTAACAAGTTTCCATACCACAGTGTAGTGGTCCTACGTGGTTTTTGTTGTTGTTTATCCTTTACGTTGGGCTCAAGCACACAGAATTTTATCAGGTCAGATGCGATAATTCAGGCATTGGGTCATAGTTCCCCAGGGTGTGGCCAGGTGGACAGGAATGGTGCAGCCTCCTAGATCTGGTCGGTGTTGATGCGAAACTGCTGGGGATGCTGCCTTGAGTTTCGTCATGGAAAAACAGCGGAGCATAAACGGCAGCTCACAAAATGAAGTCTGAAATATTGGTTTATTTCAGCAAAGCCTCCTCACCCGAAACGACAACGAACTAGCGAAGGATTCTCTTGCCATCAGCAGAGGATTGGCTAGGGCTGCAAGGGCGATTTTCAGTATTTCACTCTGGGGAAGTTTAAAGGAAAAACATTTTAGCAGCCCACTCATCAATCCCGGCTCTCAGAGTGTGCAGCCTCCTTTCCATTACGAATGAACTGCGAGTGCTCAATTGCTTTATCACGGCGGCAAATGTGTGTCATTATTCAGAAGCAGTGTCCAATTCTTAAATTGAGCATTGTGAGGTTATTTCGTTCCCAGTAAATCACAGCGCGTGTCTGGGAACGAAAAGAATAAAAATGGATAATTTTCAGAAGCTGGATGATTTGTCGCTGGGGAGCTCTGCCTGGATGATGATTGGATCCCGAATCTGGCTGTTTTGTGTGATTAAAGGAACCGGCAACAGAAGAATGGAGAAAAGGGTACAGGGGTTTGTGGGGGTGGGGAGATCCCAAATGTGCATATATTACTTCCAGTGGCACCGCATACAGCAAAAATAGACACAGAGATGTCTGAGGGCATGTGGGCCTTCTAAATTACTTACAGATGAACTGCATGATCATCAGATTCATGTGGCTTTTTTGTTTCCTGGCAGGTAGAGCAGCTGCTTTCATACCAGGTATCTCCAGGTAGCATTGGAACATTCTCCTTGTCTGAAACCCTGAAGAGACATTGGTAGTCAGTGTAGACCCAGGAGTGGGCAACCTGGGGCCCAGGAGCTCAATTCAGCCCTCCATGTTTTTCTTTCAAGTCCTGGAGACTCATCTCAGGCCATGGCTCCACTGCAGTGGTGCCTCTTGCTCACCTGGGTGAGGGATGGAGAGAGGCAGGGGTTTGTATGCAGGTATAGATGCCTTAGGGACGCGGGTGGCGCTGTGGGTAAAACCTCAGCACCTAGGACTTGCCGATCGTATGGTCGGCGGTTCGAATCCCCGCGGCGGGGTGAGCTCCCGTCGTTCGGTCCCAGCTCCTGCCCACCTAGCAGTTCGAAAGCACTCTTAAGTGCAAGTAGATAAATAGGTACCGCTTTATAGCGGGAAGGTAAACGGCGTTTCCGTGTGCTGCGCTGGTGCCGGCTCGCCAGAGCAGCTTCGTCACGCTGGCCACGTGACCCGGAAGTGTCTCCAGACAGCGCTGGCCCCCGGCCTCTTAAGCGAGATGGGCGCGCAACCCCAGAGTCGGTCACGACTGGCCCGTACGTGCAGGGATACCTTTACCTTTACCTTTATAGATACCTTAGACTTCTGCATGGCGGCAATGTAGTCGGTGCTGGAATGAATTAGGTCAGTTTAAATGAAGTTCACTGAATTAGTTCAGCAATCTCTGAATGTCACCCAAAAGCAGCTCCTGTTATTGCCATGAATTAAGTTCATTTGGGCGTAGAACCTGGAACGATCCTTTGTTTGTCTTCAAGTTCATTCTCCTTAAAGAACAACAACAACCTGTTGAAGACTCTTTGGGCCTTTAAGCTTTAAAGATCTTAATTGCTGGGGAAATGTGTGTGCTCTGATGTGTTTTCAGTCTTCTTAAGTTGCAGCCCAGCCCAATGTTAAGATGAGGATGCTGGACTAGATGGGGCACTGACCTGATTCAGCCAGCTTTTCTTACGTTCTTTCCTTCATAAGTGTGTCAAACCTCTCAAGAAGTCCCAGTTTGCAGCACCTAAAATGATCACAGCAATCTGCCACAAGTATGACTTTTCCCCACCATGTAATGGAAGGACCTAAGTTTTAGAAGTAGAGGGAAATCTTATGAGAAATTGATCAAAAAGCTTATTTTGGTACTGCCGGGGGTGGGGGGTAGGGAGTCTTTTGGAGCTTGAAAACACCAGAACATAAAACAACCGACATGGTCCAAGGTAGAATTCTCAGCAAGGTGCCCTCCTCTCACTTTTGTAGATGTTCAGTGAACACTTTGAAATGTTAGAAGGGAGATGAAAGGGCCTGTTTCTTTAAGGAGGAATGAAAGGCTCAGGGTGGTTCAAAGGGAACAGAACACAGGAACAGAGAGGTGATGTAACCCCTGACATCAGGTTCAAGAGTTGTGCAGCTTCTGAAGAAGAGAAAACCCAGACAAGGAAGGCCTAGGATGCATCAGACGTGGGATAGCTTCCTTGAGAAAATCAACATGGTTTTGGAACACTATTGAAAAGAATGAACTGAAACGGGAGAGTTTTATTTCTTGAGCAAGAAGATGGGTATGTTGCTGGACTCTAACTCCCAGAAGACCCAGGTAGCACGGCCACTGGTCAGGGATTATGGTTGTTGCGTTGAGGAACACAGGTTCCCTATCCAAACCTACAATAACTCCCCAAAACTGCTGTGGCATGTGTCTTACTTTACATAGGACAGAGGTCTTCTACTGGTCCAGACTCGAGACCCACCTCTGACTCCCAATGTGCACCATGGGATACACTTTTACATGCTCACTTTATACTTAATTATACTAACAAGGTACATTGTTAATCCTGAAATGGCGATTCACAGAGTCCAATGTGGCAGCAACCTACCTGGGATGGCCTTGCAACCCCCTGGTTGGTCTTAACCTGTGTTGAAGACCCGTGACATAGCAGATACCTCTCTGAAGGGCTGTTTGATCCAAGTGCAGTTTACCTATGCAGTTCTTTAAGAAGTGCAAGGAGGAGCCATGGAGTTGGCCACCAACAGTCTTTATTTAATTATGAATGGCATGGAGAAAGTGGACAGAGAAGATGTTTTCCTCCCTCACTCATAAGACTAGAACTTGTAGACATCAATGAAGCTGAATGTTGGAAGGTTCAGGACAGAGAAAAGAAATGACTTATTCATGTAGCTCATGGACAACTCTGGATCTTGCTCCCCCATGAGGCAGTGATGGCCACCAGCCTGGGTGGCTTCAGTAGAGGATTAGACAAAGTCATGGAGAAGGAGAGGGCTATCAATGGCCACGATGGCTCTGCTCTACCTCCACAGCTGGAGGTAAGTTCCCAAATGCCAGTTGCTGGAAATTGCAGGAGGGGAGAACAGGTTGCTGCACTAGATGGACCATTGGCCTGATCCAGCAGCCTATTCTGATGTCCGTAAAGGTAAAGGACCCCTGACAGTTAAGTCCAGTCGCAGATGACTCTGGGGTTGCAGTGCTCATCTCGCTTTACAGGCCGAGGGAGCTGGCGTTTGTCCTCAAACAGTTTTTACGGGTCATGTGGCGCCCCTTCTGGTGAAACCAGAGCAGCGCACGGAACACCGTTTACCTTCCCACTGGAGCGGTACCTGTTTATCTACTTGCACTTTTTGGCATGCTTTCGAACTGCTAGGTTGGCAGGAGCTGGGAGCTCACCCCGTCACGGGAATTCGAACCGCCGACCTTCTGATCGGCAATCCCAAGAGGCTCAGTGGTTTAGACCACAGCGCTGTTGATTTAAAGCAGAGCCTGTCGTGCCCAGCGGAAGGATGAGAATACGTGCTCCATACTCCATATAGCTTTATTTACAGTTCAAAGCTGGTATATTACAGAAAGACATCTTGCCTCTGCTTGGAGCAGAAAATGCATCCTCTCTCCTCAACAGCTTGGAGAGAAACACAGTGAAAAAACAGGAAACCAGTGTACGTCACATCCAGTCTCCCTTTCCCGTGAGAAACTCCAACAGTACAGACTGTGGAATGTAAACACTTGTCTCATGACAAGCAGAGCTGCACAGTGAAGGAAAGCAGAAACCAACATCCTCCCCCTTTCTGTGAACATCACTGGGCAGCGTGTTCGCACAATATCAGTACAAACCCAACTTCTGCACATAGGTACAGTGTTGATCCCTTGATACAATCTTGGACAATACATCAGCAGGAATTTCATTACCTGGCATATGGGACACCGTTACGAGTCCCTTCTGAATACATTCCCTAGCATGCTGCAACTTTAATTGCAAGTGCTTTGTGCTTTGCTTACAACCTTCAGACTTCAGCAAAGCCAAACATGCTTTGTTGTCCTGGTAAACCTGGATTGGACATTTGACAGGAATTTTCATATCTTTGCACAATTGTACTAACCATTCACAATCCTTAAGTGAATAAGACAGTGCATTCAGTTCAGCTTCACAAGTACTTAAGCTAACTGTTGTTTGCTTCTTGCATGACCAATCAAACAGACTCTGATTGTACATGTAGCAAACTCCAGACGTACTTTTCCTGTCTGTAGTGTCACTTCCAAAACTTGCATCTGCAAATATCTCAAGACCACCAGACTTCTGATTGTTAAATCTCAGTCTGTAATGCATAGTGCCTTTCAAATACCGCGCTATGCGTTTCAGAGCTTTCCAATCCTTGACACTAGGATTGTTGACTTGTCTGCTTAGCAAATTACAGCTAACAGCAATGTCTGGTCTTGAACATCTGGCAATGAAGTTTAGCTTGCCTAGCACACTCCTGTACAGTGTAGTGTCAGAAAATGCTTCTTCAGTGTCATCTACCTGATAACCTGTTGTCATCGGTGTGTCTACAGGGTTAGCATCCATCAGATTTAGTTTGCTTAACACATCAGCAATTTTCCGTGACTGGTGTACTAGAATGTTACCATCTTGATCTCTCTCTATTTCCAGAGATAGGTAGTTGTTTACCTCACCAAGATCTTTCATGTCAAAGTGCTCTTTCAGTTGAGCTAGGGCGTTATTGTACATTGCGACATCTTTCCAAAAGAATAATAAATCATCAACATAAAACAAACAGTACAATTTCTTTTGCCCCTCCTCTTTGACAAATACACATGGATCAGCTTTCCCTTGCTGAAAACCTAGAGAAAACAATACTTCAGTGAGTTTTGTGTGCCAACACCGTGCACTTTGTTTGAGACCATAAAGGGATTTCTTCAGAGCACAAACAAATCCCTGTTTTACCTGTACGCCATCAGGTGGAAGCATATAAAGTGATTCATCTAGAGATCCGTACAGAAAAGCTGTATTAATATCATGGTGACTAATGTGTAGATTTTCCTCTGCAGCTAGCTTAAGCATAAGCCTAATGCTTTCATATCTCACTGTGGGTGAATAGGTCTCGTGATAGTCTTCACCTGGTACCTGTGCAAAACCTCTGGCTACCAATCTGGCTTTGTGTCTGACTATCTTGCCATTTTGATCTGTCTTCGCTTTGAAGACCCATTTGCTTCCAAGCAGTTTCATTCCTGGAACTACTGGAACTAGCTCCCATGTTTTGTTCCTTTCTAAGGAATCAAGCTCAGCCTTCATGGCATTTAACCATGGCTCAGCTTCCTTCGAATCCAAACCCTGGATTTCTTGGAAACTTGAAGGTTCAAATACCTTCTTGGAGCTTTTAACAGCTGTTACTGCTATCTTAGCAAACTCATCAGCAAATCTCTTTGGAGGTTTGCCTTTTGTGGCTCTCTGTGACCTACGAATTATCCTTAAGTCTTCAACACTCTCCTCTTCCTTCTTAGGAGAAAAACGACCTATTGTGAACAATGGTTCCTCCAATTCTTGATCAGAGCTTTCAGAGGGTCGCATAGAGGCTTTCGCACTCTTGAAATCCTCTGAATCACCCGATTCAGTTTCAGATTCAGACTCAGAACCTTCATCAGTGGGTGTGGGCTGTTGTGGTTGCTTTGACTATCCTCAGTCTCATCACCGTCATCAGGATAACATTGGAAAATTCCCACATTCTCCCCCACTTTGCATTGTACTCGACACTTCTCGTGAGCTTAATTGTCTTAGAGTCAGTCATCATTATTCTGTAAGACCCTTTCTGATAACCTAGAAAGATACCATGCAATCCACGCTTGTCTAACTTGGAGTTTTGTGGTGAGCGAACCCACATGTCAGAACCAAAATCTTCATGTGTTTGATGTATGGCTTCTTGCCAAACATCTTCTCATAGGGGGTACAACCAATCGCTGAAGATAACCTGCGATTGTAACTGTAAACAAAACACGAGAGAGATTCGGCCCAATAACTCTCTGGAAGATTGGCATCATGCAGCAAGGTTTTTAACCCTTGAAGCAATGTCTGATTTGCCCGTTCCGCAAGTCCATTCTGCCATGGCGAGCGAGGACTAGACAAATCGTGTTGAATTCCTTTCTCAGTCAGAAAAGCTTCAAACTGCTGAGAAGTGAATTCCCCCGCGATCACTGAAAAGAGTCTTTATCTTCTTACCATGCACATTTTCCAACCAAGCACAGAATTCCTTGAACCTAGGAAAAGCCTCCGATTTCTGCTTGAGATTGTACACAAAAATATATCTAGAAAATGCATCAATGAGAACCATGAAGTACCTATTTCCACCCAAAGAGGGCGGTAGTGGTCCAACCAAATCAGCATGAACAACCTGGTATGGTTCTGTAGCTTTCCTACTAGACACCTTACCTTTCGCAGCCATTTTCACCTTGTTTGCTGCGCATGCTTTGCACTTCATGTGGTACCTGCAGGGTTTAATAGTCATACCTTCAACCAAGGCAGGCATTTTAGATACTGCCTCAAAATGCAAATGACCAAATTTGCGATGAAAATCGTGAATACATTCTGCATGCAAACTTTTGTTAGAACCTGCAATGCAACAAGTGTCATCCTGCACCACATCATCATAATACAAAACAAACAAACGATCAACATATTCTGCATGCAATACATAATCATTTTTCTTTGTGATGATGCACTTCTTGTTCTTGAAGGAAACGTCAATGTTCCGCTCATTCAGCTGTCCAACGCTGAGCAGATTATGTTTGGCGTCTGGCACGTAAAGCACATTCTGTATCGATAAGTCCAAACTGTGAAGAACAACAGTTCCGTAGCCTTTACTGGGAATAGTGTGGTCATCCGCCTGGTGAATCGCACCTTCCTGCGGTGTAAAAGACACAAACAGTTTCTTATCGTTGCACATGTGGTGGGTGGCCGCTGAATCAACAACGAAGAAAGATCTAGACGTCTTCTGGACCTCTGCAACCTTTGGAGTGAAGCGTGAAACCATAGCCTTATGCTGCGTTGTCCTAGACACCGGACCTTTGCCTTTGCCTCGGCCTTTTCCGCGCGATGAGCTTTCGCTGCGCTGCTCTGTCTTGGCCCTGGGATGTCTGCATTCCCTCTTCATATGGCCTAGACGTCCACACGAGTAGCATTTCACTGCCTTCAAAGCTTTGGCGCCATCTGGTGGTTCCACTGCACTATGGGATGACGTCTGTGAAGACTTCCCTTGCCCATGCAGCCAGCACCCCGGCGATCTGCTTCATTTAAAATCACGGCAGTAACAAAGTCCACTGTCAGCTGAGCAGTTGGTTGCACAGCAATCTGGGTTGCAACAGACTCCCAACCTGAACCCAAAGATTGTAGTATCATGAAAGAATACACAGCCTCTGGAAAGTTGAGTCCTCTCTGTTGCAGCTCATGTCTCAGATTTTGCATCTCCATCAGATGTAAACGTACATCTCCACCTTCAGCAAGAGCCATATTATGCAGCTTGTTAAAATAATACATAGTGGATCCAGCTTCTGTCCTTAAGTGAGCCTCTCTCAGAGCGTCCCAAATTTCTCTGGCTGAGGTCTTATCACGCAATAGACAGAGCTCTTCTGGGGATACTATCAATGTAAGAGTTCCCTTGCTTTGGAATCCTTAGCTTCCCATGCATCTGTAACTGGAACTGGGGGTTCCTGTAATCACCTCAAACAAACCCTCTTTCCGCAGAATTGCCTCTGCATACTGAACCCAGTCGCTGTAATTTGTCTTGTTGAGCTTAGGAATCCCACAAGCATCCTGAAGGGCCATCATGACTCTGGCATTAGCCTTCAGCGTCATATGCTGCTTTAAATCTTGCTGCGTCACTGCTGCAGCTGCCTCATTACAAAGGCACACTTAAAAGTTACTTTCGATTTCCCCAGCATAGTGACTTGTGCCTGGGAGCCTTTTGCCTATTCCCGGCAAAACCGGCTTAAAAGTTCAAAGTCCAGCCATAAAGCCATTAACTTGAAGCTGGCAGGCTGCCCGGAGCAGTAGCACATACCTCATCAATCACTTCGACGCGCAGAGCAGATTCCTTTCCGATCCGTCCCTCTGCCGGCACTCCGATTCGACCTCTGGGCCCATAACCACGTGTTGATTTAAAGCAGAGCCTGTCGTGCCCAGCGGAAGGATGAGAATACGTGCTCCATACTCCATATAGCTTTATTTACAGTTCAAAGCTGGTATATTACAGAAAGACATCTTGCCTCTGCTTGGAGCAGAAAATGCATCCTCTCTCCTCAACAGCTTGGAGAGAATAACACAGTGAAAAACAGGAAACCAGTGTACGTCACATCCAGTCTCCCTTTCCCGTGAGAAACTCCAACAGTACAGACTGTGGAATGTAAACACTTGTCTCATGACAAGCAGAGCTGCACAGTGAAGGAAAGCAGAAACCAACAAGCGCTACCCGCGTCCCAATGTTCTTAAGTGCCTCTAAATCTGTACAAGTGTGGACTCTTTGACTGATAAAGAACCCTGCATGGCCAGCATTCCTGATCACCTTCAGAGCTTCCACGGGAACTTCTGCTGGAAGCTAACTTTATCCCAAGGCCTACTGACTGGTCAATCCATCGCAGTATCGCTGCTCTAAGTGTCAGCAGCTCTGCAGGTTCTCGGGCAGAATCCACCAACTTTCTATTCTTTTTCTTCATGCACCAAGATACCTGGTTCCAGCCTTGTGCCCAGGTGCCAATGAACTTCAGAAAACCCTGTTGAAGGTGATGGGTTGATCTCCCCTGCCATCTGGTATTTGTCACTAATGCACGAATCTTCCACTACAGGCGGCAACCATTTCGCACGGGGGCTTCATTCCTTCCTCCTGCGTACATCAGCGGAGCACATATAAGCACACCCTGTCCTGCACACACACATTCACACTGTTCTGCCTTATTCTGGGTCATTGCCTGTACACAGAGAGAAGCTAGGGCTCTCAAACCACTGTTTTCTCCAGCAGCCGCTTCCTGGGTCGATTGTTTAGGCAGCTGGGTACGTCTCTTGGTTTTTAAGAAACCTTGTATGTTCTCTTATCGGGTGTATGGTAAGGCAAGCCGCTGTGTAAAACCTCAAATGGGACAAAACATCTTGTATTTTCTTTTCTTTGAGCCGACAGGGAGAGAGAGAAGAAGAAAACCCATATATATATGGGATTTATCTTAAGATAAGATAAATCTCTCCCCAGCAGTTCCATTTACTTGCAGCGAGTTTCTCTTTGATATCGCTAAGTTGCATGGAAGCCTGTAGGGCCCGCAGTCAGATTAACGATCTGTAAGAAGTGTTTTGTAAGAGTTTTATCTGTGATTTCTCAAACAGACTTTTTCTTTTTTTAAAAAAAATTACTTGGCATGCATGCAGGGATGGCATTAAGAGAGTGCTGCTCCAAAGCCCTTTTTAAAAGGGGCGCTTCTGTTCTACTCCGTACTTTCCGTTGTTTTTTTAAAAAAAGTAGAAAGTGTTATTTCGGCAGTCCTAGAGGAATTATTCTTGATATACTATTTTGATTGTGTTTGCAAAGCTTGGAGCAGGATTACATCCAGGAAAAGGAAAAGTCTGCTTTTTCAGCGGGAACAGAGTAAGCCGTACAAATACTGCATGTCTTAATTCAGACTAAGAAAGCAAAGCAAATTCTACAGTGGGGATACGTGATCAGAGATTCAGGGCTGCCTCTGGAAATGGTATGTCCGCCTCAAGTTCCTCCCCACTTCCTGCAATGGAGGTGTGGTGAACTTTTGGGCCAGGGGGTCAAATGTACCCCTCCACAACTCATGTATCTACCCTTTAGGACTCTCTGTCCTGGCTCTCGCTGGATGAAGAACTTGAACTGTGATCCCAATTTCTGCCAAAATATTTAATCTGTACTGTGTATAGACAACACAAGGGTTAAAAAGCACAGTGGGTGATATGCCATCAGGTGATAAGCATAGCTAAGCAATGTGAGACATGACCCAAAGTCTTTGCTTTGAAAGAGTGAGGTGAGTACAGCTTTAGTGCGGCAAGCAAGGCAAAAGGTAAAGGTAAAGGACCCTTGGACTGTTCAGTCCAGTCAAAGGCGACTATGGAGTTCTGGGGCTCATTTCGCTTTCAGGCCAAGGGAGCTGATGTTTGTCTGCAGACAGTTTTCTGGGTCATGTGGCCAGCAGGACTAAACCACTTCTGGCGCAACAGAACACCGTGACGAAAGTCAGAGGGCACGGAAAAGCCGTTTACCTTCCCGCCGCAGTGGTACCTGTTTATCTACTTTCACTGGCGTGCTTTCAAACTGCTAGGTTGGCAGGAGCTGGGACCGAGCAATGGGAGCTCACCCCGCCACAGGGATTCGAACCACCGACCTTCCGATCGGCAAGTCCAAGAGGCTCAGTGTTTTAGACCACAGCGATGGGCATGCCTTTGGGCAGATTGTACCATTACCCTCAGAGGTACGCTTAGCCTGTACAGTGGTACCTCGGGTTACAGGCACTTCAGGTTACAGACTCTGCTAACCCAGAAATACCGTAGTACCTCGGGTTAAGAACTTTGATTCAGGATGAGAACAGAAATTGTGTGGCGGCAGCTCAGCGGCAGTGGGAGGCTCCATTAGCTAAAGTGGTACCTCAGGTTAAGAACAGTTTCAGGTTAAGAATAGACCTCCAGAACAAATTTAGTTTTTAACCCGAGATACCACTGTAGTAGAAACTGGGCTTTTAGTGTTGCAGATCCAGCTCTCTGGAATCAGTGATTAATCAAAATCTGGCAGGCACCTACTGAGTACATTTTGATTCTTTGTTTAAGAAAACTTTCCCTAGGGTGTAACCCACTTATTTGTGGAAGATCAGTTTTATATTTGATGAAATGCTTTCTTTGTTTTTAAAGTCTGTATGTATGTATGGTTTAAAAAAACTTTTAGAGCTTGTTGTATTAATTTTCTTGTTCTTAGAGCAGGCATAGGCAAACTCCGGCCCTCCAGATGTTTGGGACTACAGTTCCCGTCATCCCTGACCACTGGTCCTGTTAGCGAAGGATGATGGGAATTGTAGTCCCAAACATCTGGAGGGCCAGAGGTTGCCTATACCTGTCTTAGAGCATTATTCTGTGCTTTCTTTTTTTGCTCTGTATACCACTTTGATGCCTTTATGCCTTGAAGGGCTCCATAAATGTGTTTCTTACTATTAATGCCCCCCTTAGTTCCCCTCCCCCCAAAAAACTAAAAAGCCCCAAATGCTGTAACCTTTCCTCGTGGGGGGAGTTATTCCAGCCCCTTTAGCATTTTGGTTGTCCTTTTCTACACACACACACACACACACACACACACACACACACATATATGTGTACACAGAGGGAAGTTATGTGAGCCTTTTCAGACCAGTTTTGTTAAGATTAGCCCAGGTGGCTGTCAAAATAGCTTGGGGGGGGGGGCTTCAGGGGAAGCACTTGCAAGGAACAGAGTAATTTGTTTGTTGCATCTTTAAAACCCACATTTTTTCTAGTTAATTTTAATTGAATGTTTTCAACATAAAAGTTGAAAGTTTTCTACAATAAAAACCAAACCTGTCTAAAGACAAAAGAATAACGGAAAACCAAAACAAGGAGAGCCAGTGTGGTGTAGTGGTTAAGAGCAGTGGACTCGTAATCTGGTGAACCGGGTTCGCTTCCCTGCTCCTCCACATGCAGCTGCTGGGTGACCTTGGGCTAGTCACACTTCTTTGAAGTCTCTCAGCCCCACTCACCTCACAGAGTGTTTGTTGTGGGGGAGGAAGCAAAAGGAGAAGATTAGCCGCTTTGAGACTCCTTCAGGTAGTGATAAAGCGGGATATCAAATCCAATCCAAGGAGAAAGAAAAATCAAGAAATAGAGAGACAGAAAAGATAAAGAAAAGAAGACATCCACTTTGGGCTCTGTGGAGGGTCTTTTCATGAGCCATGGGCATTCTCCAGCTCTCTCTTGCCATTTCTGGCGCCATGCATATATGTGGTTATGTGTGGGTTGATTGTGCATACACCCAGGGCCGGATTTAGGTTTGATGAGGCCCTAAGCTACTGAAGGTAATGGGGCCCTTTATATGTCCAGCTGTCCTTTGTGAACAAGAAATTGTCACTGTTTTTTGTGTTGAATATACGCTATATGGTAATTTATGGACCTAAGGTAAAGGTAAAGGGACCCCTGACCATTAGGTCCAGTCGTGACCGACTCTGGGGTTGCGGCGCTCATCTTGCTTTATTGGCCGAGGGAGCCAGCGTACAGCTTCTGGGTCATGTGGCCAGCATGACAAAGCCGCTTCTGGCGAACCAGAGCAGCGCACGGAAACACCGTTTACCTTCCCGCTGGAGTGGTACCTGTTTATCTACTTGCACTTCATGCTTTCGAACTGCTAGGTTGGCAGGAGCAGGGAACGAACAACGGGAGCTCACCCCGTTGCGGGGATTCGAACCGCCGACCTTCTGATCAGCAGGTCCTAGGCTCTGTGGTTTAACCCACAGCGCCACCCACGTCCCATTTAGGGACCTAATAGGTATCTAAAGCCATTTGCACGTAACAAAATATGTATTTTATCAAAGTAATTGTTGGAAAAAAATTATTTACATTTTTGGGGGGTCCCAAGAGAGTGGGGCCCTAAGCTATAGATTCTTTAGCTTATACGTAAATCCGGCACTGCATACACCTGTATAGTGGAGCTTGACTACAACCCCAGAATCTTAAACGGCAAGAGGCCTGCAGATGTGCAAGGGTTAATGCTGTTGACAGCCCGGGTTAATTCAATGTGCGTGGAGCCCAGCGGAGTCTCCATCCAAGCCGAATGCCTATAACATATATATAATTAAAATTTCAAGCAGGGTGCTTTGGTGATAGGCATGGGCTGACCCTTTCTTTCTTGAGCAATTTCGCACCTTCAAATTTGGATCGCGACACACAGCAGGGCCCAAACGGAGGAAGGTGCGAGATGAGCCTCAAGTATCGCGGCGGACTTTGTCATCACAAGCAGAGTGCTTGCTTTCATTGCAGCCGTGCTGCCAGGGAGGACAGAGGAGAATGATCAGTGAATGTCAGGGCTGCAAGGGAGCTTAACTTGGAAGTTAGCTTTTCAGGTAAAGGTAAAGGGACCCCTGATCATTAGGTCCAGTTGCGGACGACTCTGGAGTTGAGGTGCTCATCTCACTTTATTGGCCGAGGGAGCCAGCGTACAGCTTCCAGGTCATGTGGCCAGCATGACTAAGCCGCTTCTGGCGAACCAGAGCAGCGCACGGAAACGCCGTTTACCTTCCCGCCGGAGCAGTACCTATTTATCTACTTGCACTTTGATGTGCTTTCAAACTGCTAGGTTGGCAGGAGCAGGGACTGAGCAATGGGAGCTCACCCTGTTGTGGGGATTCGAACTGCCGACCTTCTGATTGGCAAGCCCTAGGCTCTGTGGTTTAACCCACAGAGCCACCCGCGTCCCAGCTTTTCAGGTAGAAACCATTAATGCAGCTGCAGCTCTGTGGATTAGATCTGTTCCAGATGTTCATTTGAAACTCCACCTATTCTGGTTTTGTAGAAACTGAGCTACACCCATGCCGCCATCCACCAGCTGCACAGGAATATAAACTAAGAGCAGAATCCAGTCTTCCTAAAAGTCTCTCTTTTTTCCTAAGGCTAAGTTTCTGTGAATGTGACCAACATGTTTTGAAAGTATATTGCGATAAGCCACAGTGCTTCTGGGGTGTGAGGATGCCTGTCTATCTCCCTATTGCAGCGGCTCTTTGCTTCTTGATGCTTCTGTTCAGAGGCCTTAACACCTGTGGTGGCTATTCTGGGGTAAAAAAAACCACCAGTTCTTTGCTATCTCATGAGGGGGCGGGAGGTGGGTTACCTCCTTGAACTGCAAGAAGAAGAAAAAACTTTAAAATGGTTGCTAGTTAAAAGAAAGAGAAGGGAGTTTTCTTATGTTAATAGATGCTAGTGTGGTCTGTGCTAAAATACTGAGGGGAAGTGTCAGTATTGAAAGAATGGTTATTAAAAATTAAGGAATTTATCTGCTGTGAGCAAAATTGTGTAAAGGGAGGATAGCAAAAGAAAAGAAATAAATAAACCAATTTGGAGACTGTGTTGGTATTTTTAAAATATTGAACTGCCATTAAGAATAGCTGTTCTCCTTTCTTATAAAAGAAATGCAGTTTTGAGCTTTAGAAATATTTTGATTACCTTTTTATTTCTTTTTTTGCTGTTTAGTCAAACATTTTGTAATTGTGTTTGGACTCGGAGATTGTGTGTATGTGTGTGTGGATATATACCCTCAAACAAGAAAATTAAAATGTGAATCAAATTACCTCCTTTAAAATCACCTTTTCGGTTGTCTGGAGCTTATATGATGGAGCCGGCCTATTCAGATGGAAGCCAAACGGAAATGTTGTGAAGATGAAAGCATTTTAAAATCCCTGGCTTGATTTTTAATTTTCAAAAGCGATATTGCTGGAACGTGCTACCAATCCCTGGTGACATTTAGGGAAACGAGCTTTTGGGAACTACTTCAGTAGCTCGGGGTGGTTGATATTCCTGTGTTTCATGGCTGTTTTGAAAAAGATCACAAAGGTTTTAGGAAATTAAGAGGCAGGAAACTTATTGGCAGAGGGTTATTTGCTGGGTTGTCTTTTTTTTTTTTTTAGGACAACACAGGGAGAAAATGATGCGATGGGAGAGAGCTTTCCCCGTTTATCTATGGAGGAGGAAACCTCCAGATGCTTCTGTACTACAACTCCCATCACCCCTGACCATTAGCCATGCAGGCAGGCATCTGATGGGAATCAGAGCACAGCAACATCTGGAATGCCACAGGTTCCTCACCTGTGGAATTATCTGTAGCATTCCTGCCAAGGCCAGCAGAAAGTATGGGGGAGACAGTGGAACAGCGCCAGTGCTTTTTCCCCTGGCGGTACGCATACCCCTAAACATTTTGTGAATTTAAGTTTGGCCTCATTGAGGGGCAGTATTTCAACATGAGTAGGAACATGAGAGTGCCCCTAAACATTTTTTAATAATAATAATGTAATATATTATTTATACCCCACCCATCTGGCTGGGCTTCCGCAGCCACTCTGGGTGGCTTCCAACAAAATATTAAAATACAGTAATGCATCAAACATTAAAAGCTTCCCTAAACAGGGCTGCCTTCAGATGTCTTCTAAAAGTCTGGTAGTTGTTCTCTTTGACACCTGGTGGGAGGGCGTTCCACAGGGTGGGTGCCACTACCGAGAAGGCCCTCTGCCTGGTTTCCTGTAACTTGGCTTCTCGCAGTGAGGGAACCGCCAGAAGGCCCTCGGCGCTGGACCTCAGTGTCCGGGCAGAATGATGGGGGTGGAGACACTCCTTCAGGTATACTGGGCCGAGGCCGTTTAGGGCTTTAAAGGTCAGCACCAACACTTTGAATTGTGCCTGGAAATGTACTGGGAGCCAATGTAGGTCTTTCAGGACCAGTGTTATGTGGTCTCGGCAGCTGCTCCCAGTCACCAGTCTGGCTGCCGCATTCTGGATTAGTTGTAGTTTCCAGGTCACCTTCAAAGGTAGCCCCACGTAGAGTGTGTTGCAGTAATCCAAGCGAAAGATAACTAGAGCATGCACCACTCTGACAAGACAGTCCATGGGCAGGTAGGGTCTCAGCCTACATGCCAGATGGAGCTGGTAGACAGCTGCCCTGGACACAGAATTGACCTGCGCCTCCATGGACAGCTGCAAGTCCAAAATGACTCCCAGGCTGCGCACCTGGTCCTTCAGGGGCACAGTTACCCCATTCAGGACCAGAGAGTCCTCCACACCAGCCCACCTCCTGTCCCGCCAAAACAGTACTTCTGTCTTGTCAGGATTCAACCTCAATCTTTTTTTAGGGGGAAAAAAGCACTGAACAGTGCCGTGCAGTGTGCCCCACCCATTACCCCCACATGCAACCAGAGATGACCTGGCAGTTGCACCCCTGTAATGAACAGCGGAGGGAAGCCCAAAGCTCAGGGGTAGATCATCTGCTTTGCATGCAGGAGGTCCCAGGTTCAGTCCCCTGCACAGGGCTTGGAATGTCCCCTACCCAGGAGAGCTGCTGTCTATCAGCACGGACAGCGCCGGGCTTGATGGACCAATGGTCTGGCTCAGCCTTATAAAGAAACTGGCTTTATATGGCTACTAGCCGCAAGGGCTAGGCGGTACCTCAGAGATAGTAGGCCTCTGAATGCCAGTTGCTGGAAATCACAGGTGGGAAGTATTCTGCTGTGCTCAGGTCCTGCTTGTGGGCTTCACATGGTCCTCTGGTTGGCCACTGTGAGAACGGGATGCTGGACTAGACGGGCCATTGGCCGGATCCAGCAGGGCTCTTCTTACATTCCCTAACTCTGTGTCAGGTGTCCGTGCAGGAGCCACGCCCTGTGACCAATAGGACTCTGCAGGACTGGGGCCTTCCTAAGTTTGTTCTGAAGAGGCAAGGCAGGTGAGGCTAGTTGGTAACTCACAGCACCTGGTGGCAAGAGCCGGGAAGGGATATAAGGTCAGCATTTTCCCTTCGGCTCTTTGCCACAGAACCCCTTCACTGCCTTGCTGCGTTTGGTTCCTTGACTCCTTGCTTCTTGATCCTCGGACCCTTGACTTCTGGCTCTCTGACCCTCGGACTCTTGGCTTTCTGACTCCTGGCTTCCTGACTCCCATTCTTGCTCCCACCCCGCCATCTTGACCCCGGTCCCGACGTCCCCAGCCGGAACTTTGATCGCCCGTAAACCAGACCATGACACTCTGAAGCTCATTCCAACCCCTCTTCTATCTCAACTGTTGCCTTCTCAAGCTGCCTCATCTCAGACTTTGCCATCCCCTTTATGTTCTGTCCCTTCTCTTTCGTCTTTAAACATAATGGGGTGTGTGTGTTATTTTATTTTTTGAATTTCATACCTCAACTGGACTGACATTGACTCGAGTGGCACTTTGAAAAACTTCCCTTGGCAGATTATTACTATTATTAATTTTTTAAAAAAGAATGCATTTGAAGCACGACCAAGAGCATAGATTGCTATCTTCAGTAGATTTCCCTCTCATGTTAACAACTGAAATGTCAGGTGTAGTGTTGAGGGAGCTGATTGGCAGGCAATGGTGAAGGATTCGGAGAGGGGTGTTTTTAATTTTCAGAGCTGTTCTGATTTTCAGGATGTGGAAGCTCTCTTGTTATCTCTGGACACACACCCATAAAGCACATATAGTAGGGGTTGCCAACCTTTCACACATGGGCACCAGTGCTCTCCATGGAAGGCCCATGAAAGGTCTCCGTAAATAAGTCCTCAGAAATCTATGCTGCTCAGTTTCTGCTTGCATTGGCTCACCAGTGGAAGCCGTGGATCAGACACTTGCTCCCCTTACCATTCTGAGCAGAAGAGAGGTGGAAATAGCTTTTTTTCGTAAGTGAGCATGGCAGTGGCTGATTTAATTGCCTCCCTCCTCCCCACTCCATTCATTAATTAGGGAGAAAATCTACACCACTTTATGCTCCTCCCTGCTCTTTTAGATGTGGCAGCCGTTTGGTGCAATACCACAAAGACCCCTTTGGCAGCCATTTTGTGACTGGCACCCACAGCACATCTGCAAAATTCCACATGTGCCTGCTAGCCCTACAAAGGTTGATGGCCCAACCTGTGGTGCCATCTTTGTCCTGTTCTGCCAGATCTTTAGGGCTCAGCAGAGCCAGTGTGGTGTAGTGGTTAAGAGCAGTAGACTCATAATCTGGTGAACTGGGTTCACGTCTCCGCTCCTCCACATGCAGCTGCTGGGTGACCTTGGGCTAGTCACACTTCTCTGAAGTCTCTCAGCCTCACTCACCTCACAGAGTGTTTGGGGGAGGAAGGGAAAGGAGAATGTTAGCCACTTTGAGACTCCTTCGGGTAGTGATAAAGCAGGATATCAAATCCAAACTCTTCTTCAGCAGAGGAGTTGAGGTAGCAAAGCAGGTCAAGTCAGCTCTGGGAGCAGGTCATCAAAGTCCAGACAAGTCTCTCTAAGCATGTCAGAAGCCTGGGGAGTCCCAGTGGGCCCTACTGGCTGAGACTTGTCTCAGCCAAGCACTGGGGCTACCCAAGGCTTTGTCTATGCATCAGGTGGCCCTGTGTCCTTGAGGAACTGGCTGTGGTGACTTCAAGGCCCCATGTCTGATTCGACAGGATTAGGATGTCATTGGGAGCTCACTATCCAAGTCCAAGGATGGTGGGAAAGCTAAGAGGAAGGGTGGAACCATAACTTTCCTGATTTCTGTATTTCACATTTCCAGGCATGTTTAAGCTTTCTTGACATTCTTGATTATTATTATTATTATTATTATTAATACAGGGATTCTCCAGGACAGCAGCAGTCTGCGCCTCTTCCTCTTGATATGTGGTCTGAGAAGAGTCAAGGATCCTCTTTATTTAGTGGATGCTTTTGCAGGTTGGTACCCCCTTTCTTTCTTTTTCGCTTTGTAGCAAATGCAGGATTGGTTTTGATTCATTATGTTTCTGTGATTCTGTTCATTTAAAGGGATCCCAAAGAGGCTTACAAACGATAAATAATGATAGCATGATGGAACGTAATAGAACATCACAGACACAGCACAAAACATTTAGAATAATTAACAAATTGTCCGTGAAACAATGACACTCTGTTAAACTGTGTTAACAAAGCAATAACTAAAAAATAAATTCAGGTAGCTGCATTGATCTGACGCAGCCGAAATAAATAAATAAAAAATAAAAAATTGTGCAGTAGCACCTTATAGACCAACTAAGTTTGTTCTGGTATAAGCTTTCATGTTTCTCTGTCTTGTGATTCCTGATGTCAGATTTATGTCCATTTATCCTTTGGCGTAGGGTTTGTCCAGTTTGTCCAATACAGTGGTACCTCGGGTTAAGTATTTAATTCATTCCAGAAGTCTGTTCTTAACCTGAAACTGTTCTTAACCTGAAGCACCACTTTAGCTAATGGGGTCTCCTGCTGCTGCTGCGCTGCTAGAGCACGATTTAACCAGAGGTAAAGTACTTCGGGTTAATAGTAATAGTACTTCGGGTTAAGATGAGAACAGAATGTAACCAGAGGTACCACTGTATAGAGAGCTGAAGGGCGCTGTTGGCATTTGATGGCATACACAATGTTAGAAGATGAGCAATTAAATAGGCCTGAGATAGTCTATAAGGTGCTACTGGACAATTTTTAAATTTTTTTTAATTTCAGCTAAAAAAAAAGCTAAACATCACAATTAAAGCAAAATTCACGTTATATGATTAACAAATCAATACAGTGCTTATAATCTACAAGGCAATATCAACAAAGCAGCAGCCCAAAAACGAACTAGCACTGTTAAGTTCATACATACACTCTCCACACCCCCATGACCATAGTTGTCAACTTACAGATTTAAAAATAAGGGACCAGCAGCCTTGAAAATAAGGGATCAGCAGCCAAAATAAGGGATTTTCCAAGCACAGGTATGTTCAACTTCTGAGCCCCTCCGAGCCAAAGGCAGAAAGCCCAGCCAGCAGCCAAACGAAGCCTCAAGCGGTGGTTCCCACAGCGCAGCAACCCGGCAAAGGGGATGCAGCAAAGGAAACCACCGTCACCTCTCCGCTGGGAAGCGCTGAGCAAAGGCGAGTCCCCAGGCAACGCAGCTGATTTGATCGGCACAAGGCATGCAAGCTCCACCCCCCAGTCGTTCTTAGACTCCTTATTGGGTGAGCAACGCAGCCAAGCAACACAGTTGGAGCTTCCCTCCTCCCTGGCTGGCAGGCAGGGAGGGAGGGAGAGGAGCTGCTTCCTTTGAAACCCGGGAAATTTAAGGGACATCATCAATAAGGGACAGCAGCGGGACACAACTTTCCCGTGGTTGACAGCTATGCCCATGACTCATAATCTTTCCCTCTACTCAGTCCATTAAAGAGACACATACACATTATATTCATGGCAGCAGCTCCCTTGTGAAAGGTTCCTTGGGCTGGAGGTGGAGCAGCGTCTCCTGATGGCAAACAGAGTCTCTCCCACCCCCCATAGTTCTTCCTCTGGAAACAGCTCCTTTATGAAGGCTCCAAAGGGGGAGGGGCAAGGCAGGTGGGAAAAGCCATTACCTGCTGGCCAGCACCAAATCTTTCTCCCCTGCCCTTGATAGTCCCACTTGGCTCAGTAGTTCCTGCCCCAGCCCTTCTCCAACCTGATGTCCTCCTGAGGTTGCTGGACTCCCATCAACCCAAAGCAGTCTGCTAGTTGGGTCTGGTGGGATCTGAAACCTTGAAGGGCACCAGGTTGGGGGAAGGCTGGCACAACGAGAAATGAGGTCCAAGCGATCAGGTTGGGCAAGGCCATGGAATATTTTTTTAAAGGAAAGGTCAAGAAGTCTACTGAACACAGAATCAGGGGCAAGGACTGGATGGCAGTGTGTTTGCATGTGTGTGTGTGTGTGAGAGAGAGAGAGAGAAGAAAGAGAGAAATGGAGGGGACAGGCTTCAGGGAGACAGCTCTGAGCATAAGCATTTACACTTGTACTGAAGAGAAACCACGAAAGTGACAAGGCTTCGGAACTGACCCTCAGCAAGAGAACATTGATTAAGCAGTGAATTTAATCATCAGACTAATCCAGTCTCTCTGCACTGAAGCTGAGCTGTAAATTCTGCTCACTAAATATGAACATGGGGTAGTAATCCACTTCTCTGCTACATAGGGCTGTCACCTGACTGAAGAAATCTTAGCAGGCTGATTGTGTGAGGTTCAGTCAATTAATTGGCCAGATGTTCGTACTTTTGCAGATGAAGGAAGCAGAACCACTGGGGTGTGTGCGTGGAGAGGCATAGATCATGTGTGTGCGCTTGTCACTGCAGGCAGCATCCAGGAAAAGATGTTCTCATGTACGAGTGTGAGAGGGAGGATGCCTCTGCTAGCACTATACTAAAATAAGTAACAACTTGTTTATTAATTTATTGGGACAGAACATTGTTTTTCTTTAGAACTAGCAGCCTCGTGCCTGGTGTTGCTTAGGAATTCTTAAGGGACAAAAAAAAATTTGGTATGGTTTTGGAATCTGGTTTTAAATCAGTGCGGTTTTGACAGGTTCAGTCCTCCATCTTGATTCAAAATGGCATCCAATTTTATCCAAGCATAGATGAAAACTTGCTTCTTGAACCCAGGAAGCATAATGCAAAATACCAACTCTTATGAGATGTCCAAATGCATAAAGCAAACGAGCAAACAATTTTCCAAAATATATAGTAGACTGTTGTTTTATTCACATGCAGCTTTGATTGATTGAATAATTCATTAAGTTGCATATGATTTGATCAAGTAAGATTTCTTTAACTGAGCTACAGGAGGGCCAGAATACTATGGCTAGGAGAGAGAGCAAGTAGGTCCTGTATCTGAAGGAGCTCTGCACAATGTAGGGCAATTGGAAAAATCACAATGTCTTGGCCTCAGTCCCCCAGCTGTGAATTGGGCATAATGGCTGTTGGGTTTGCCAGAATGATTGATACATCAGCACAACAGTGATTGCGAAGAGCTTTCCAGTATCGTGTCTGCTATGGAAATGCAGAGTTCAGTTCCTGTTACCCTGACCAGTGCTTCTGTGTTCATTGACTTTTCACGTGTGCCTCCCTCCAGAAACAGCAAAATAACTTTGTGGTTGATTAATTAATTAATTTTAAGCCTGCTGTCCAGTAGGTTGGGGGCACCTTCCTTTTTTTTTTTAATGAGTCAAAATTTGCATAAACCAATTAACTGATGGATTGCCCGAGTTTCTCTTTACAATGCCCTAACCAGAACAATATGACGCTTATTTTCCTGTAACCAGAACTCTCTCCTGTTGTTTGATAGAATGGCACCGAGAGGAGCCCAGCACACACCTGATTATAATTGGACCTGCAGTAAGTTTCCTTGCTTTCTTTGTAAGCATTCTTTCTAAATATAAATTCTTTGCGTGAATTTGTTTTCATGTGCTATGGCAGGCAGGTGCTGTTAAGTCTATAGCCCCCCACTGAGAAGGAGTCATCCCTCAAAACTGCTGTGTGGGGCTTCCACCAGAATGTCTTGCTAGATTATGCCCCGTGGGTCAGATCTATCTGCCCTTAAGGTAGTGTTACCAGATGTCCCCTGTTCCCGGGGACAGTCCCCGGATTTGCAAATCTGTCCCCCGAAAACATGGCAGCGGCAGCCTCAGCAGCCCGGAGCCAGCCTGGTAGCACAGTTGGCTCTGGCTGGCTTCGGGAGCTGCTCGCTGCCTGCCATTTTTCCTCTCTGGAAGTTCCCATATGATGTGTATTGTGCGCAACACATCATATGGGGACTTCCAGAGCGGAAAAATGGTGGGCGCCACGGCAGTGGGCAACGAGCAGCTCCTGAAGCCAGCCAGAGCCAACTGCGCTAACAGGCTGACTCCGGGCTGCTGACTGCCGCTGCCGCCACCACTGCCAAAGAAGAAACGGGGACGTCCGGTGGTACAGAACTCCTGCCCCCTTCACCCTTTGTTTTGACTGATTGGGGAGGCTCAGGAGTTGTGGGCGGCCGGCCATTGCCCAGTTTTTTAAAAACTGTGCATTTATGTTTCACAGGGTGCAAAAGAAGGGCTTTGCACGTTTATACAATATGCATGTGTGCTTGGGCCCAGGGTCTTTTGCCTCACCATCCTCACTACTGTCTCCCTGTTGCTACTCAGCTTCAAAAAAAAAAAGGGGGGGTCCCTGGATTCATTGAAAAAAATCTGATAACCATACCTTAAGGTCACACTAAAGCAAGGATTGCCAACCTGGTGCTCATACGTGCCAATGTACCCACTAGTACCTCCTATGGCACCCGCATAAGGTCTCAGTAGGTATCCCCTCAAAAACCCATAATGCTCCTTCTACTCACTTCCAGTTTGCACAATTGTATTTTTTGTTTTTAGGCCATCTGAAAATGTTAGAGTAAAATATAACCCACTAAACTGTCTCTGCTCCTCATAGAATTTCTGTTTTTAAAAGTTTTTTTTTAAAAAAAGTTTAGTGTTTGTTGGTATGGAGTGGGGGTAGGATAGCCACAAGAGACCCAAAATCACCTGATGCAATCTCTGCGTTTCTTTTTTTTTATTTTAATTATTTATAAAATTTTCAAATATAACAATAAAGGAAAAACATTCCATTCGAAATATACATCCAATTTTCATCTTTCCACTTTCAGACTTCCTTCAGTCTATCTGGAAATTTTTCATATTATCACAATTATTCACATTTCTTCCATCTATATTGTTTTTTTTTTTAACCAAATTAATCTTAACAATTATTATAAAACAATATTTCTTTCCATTATTATCACAGAGCTTCTTGAAAACCAACAAACGTTAATTGGCCTTCACATATATTTTTAATATACTCTGTAAATTTATTCCAGTCTTCGGTAAATCTCTGGTCTCGCCGGTTCCGAATTCTCCCCGTTAGCTTGTCTAATTCTGCGTATTCCATCAACTTCATTCTCCATTCTTCTTTCGTCGGGATTTCTTCCTGTTTCCATTTTTGTGCCACCGAAATTCTTGCCGCTGTTACTGCATATAAAAACAACTTCTCATCCTTCTTTTTTATGTCATTTCTTAGTATTCCTAACAGAAAGGTTTCTGGTTTCTTGACAAAGGTATATTTCAACATTTTTTTCAATTCATTATAAATCATTTCCCAGAAACCTTTCATTTTTTTACATTCCCACCACATATGATAGAATGTTCCTTCTTTCTCCTGACATTTCCAACATTTATTACTAACTTTATACATCTTTCCAAGTTTTACTGGTGTAAGATACCATCTGTATAACATTTTCATAACATTTTCTTTTAATGTAGTACATGCAGTAAATTTCATTCCTTCTTTCCACAATCTTATCCAATCATCAAATTGAATATTATAACCAAAGTCTTTGGCCCACTGAATCATTGCAACTTTAACCTCTTCATCCTTAGTATGCCACTCAAGTAATAATTTATACATTTTAGATAAAATTTTGACATCATTATTCACAATTTCTTTTTGAAATCTAGATTTTTCATCTTGAAAACCTCTCTCCAGCATCTCTTTTTTAAACATCGCATTCACTTGGAAGTAATGTAGCCAATCAAACACATATTCTTTAACTTCATCATATGGTTTCAATTTTCATTTATTTCCTTCTTTTGTAATTAAATTCTCATATGTAATCCAACTCCCCGTCATATTGATCTTCTTAACACTCATTACCTCCAATGGCGACAGCCAGAATGGAGTTTTAAACTCTAATAAATTTTTGTATCTATTCCATACTTCAATCAGCGGACCTCGGAAAATGTGATTTTCAAAACCTTTATGCACTCTTTTTTTCTCATACCATAAATATGCGTGCCAACCAAATCTATTATCATATCCTTCTAAATCCAGAAGTTCTGAATTTTCCAACTTCATCCATTCTTTCACCCAGCAAAGACATGCAGCCTCGAAATATAACTTTAGGTCTGGCAGGGCAAAGCCTCCTCTATCTTTTGCATCCGTTAAAATCTTAAATTTTATTCTAGGCTTCTTGCCCTGCCAGACATATCTTGATAATACTCTTTGCCATTCTTTAAATATCATCACACCTTTAATTATTGGTATTGATTGAAATAAAAACAACATTTTTGGTAGCACATTCATTTTTACCGTTGCAATCCTTCCCCAAAATGACAACTTCATTCTTCCCCACACTTCCAGGTCCTTCCTAATCTTATTCCAAACTGGTACATAATTATTTTGAAAAAGATCAATACTCTTGGGTGTTAATATGATCCCAAGATATTTAACTTTCTTAACCACTTCCATATCTGTTTGTTGCTGAATTCTTTCTATTATCTCTTGATCCATATTTTTAACCATTATTTTCGTTTTACTCTTATTTAATTTGAAACTGGCAACTTGTCCAAATTGCTCTATCTCTTCTAACACTTCCTTAACACTTTTAATAGGGTCTTCTATTGTTATAACCAAATCATCAGCAAAGGCTTTTACCTTATATTCCTTACAACCAACTCTTACACCTTTTATCAGTTCATTACTTCTTAGCGCTCTCAACAAGACTTCCAGGACCGATATGAATAACAATGGTGATAAGGGACACCCTTGTCTTGTAGCCTTGGTTATAGCAATATCTTCTGTCAATACATTATTAACAATTAATTTTGCTCTTTGTTCAGAATATATTGCCTTTACACCATTCACAAATGATTGACCCATCTCCATAAATTCCAGATTCTTTAACATAAACTCCCAAGAAATATTATCAAATGCCTTTTCCACATCAACAAATATCAACATCGCTTGCTTATCTTTCTTGTTAGTCAGATATTCTATTATATTTATTATGTTTCTTATATTGTCTTTCATCTGCCTCCCTGGCAGAAATCCTGTTTGGTCCTTATGAATCAATTTCTTTAACATCTTTTTCATTCTATTTGCCAAGATGTTAGCAAATATTTTATAATCATTGTTCAGTAGCGAAATTGGCCTGTAATTTTTAACTTGAGTTAAATCTGAATCCTGCTTGGGAGCAATCTCTGCGTTTCACGGTATGGAGTTGTCCTTCAATCAGCTTGACGAAGCGGCTGCCCAAACACAAATGAAGACACAACACATAGGCTAATAACTGTTAAATCGTATGTAATAGAATATCATTCAAATGGTAGAAATGAATCTATTGGAGTTCATATATGCAGTGTAACAGACTAGTGGCGCAGAATGTCAAGCCATGTGTTCAAGATAGGTGTCAAAGGTCAGTCTCACAATGGTTATTCAAAGGTTTCAACAAAAGATGACTCAAACGTCTAAAAAGTAAGGTTTTCGCAAATGTTTTTCAAAAGTTCCAATGTAAGACGTCCCAAAAGTCTCAAGGACAGTGTTTCCGGAATGATACTACTGTTTTGTGATAGTCTTCACCAGCTGAAAATACAATACAAAGCATACAACCGATGAATGATAACAGAACTGAGAGCCAGTGTGGTGTAGTGGTTAAGAGTGATAGACTCGTAATCTGGGGAACCAGGTTCGCGTCCCCACTCCTCCTCATGCAGCTGCTGGGTGACCTTGGGCTAGTCACACTTCTCTGAAGTCTCTCAGCCTCACACACCTCACAGAGTGTTTGTTGTGGGGGAGGAAGGGAAAGGAGAATGTTAGCCACTTTGAGACTCCTTCGGGTAGTGATAAAGCGGAATATCAAATCCAAACTCTTCTACTTGCATACACATTGTATATTGAAACAGAATATACAAAACAAGTTTGTTAACCTGTGGGACTCATTGCCCTTGGATGTTCCGAGTGCCGGTAACATCACTGAGTCCGCAAAAAGACCAAGCCACACGCTCACACATGACAATTTTTTATTTTGTAGTTTAAAAGCAAATGCAACAGTCCCAAACCGGATTGGAACCACAAGGCAGAGAGAGAGAGAGAGAAAAAAAAGAAAGGACATTTCATTTGTGCTGTTTCCTGTTTTAAAAATCAGACTCCCCTGCCCCCAGCTGCAGTTTGGCTCCATCTGTGCCGTTTGCTCTTTTGAAATGTAGATCGTCCTTCTTGACCTCAGTACCAAGCAGGATCAAACATGTCCTGTGACTGCTACCAACAGCTCATCTCTGTGTTCTGGCTATTTTGAAGCCATTCCTGCCGGTCTTGCGTTTGCACATAATTAACAGATGTCAGCTGGTAGCAAACGACTGAGATTTCTGTCTGGCAAGAGTCTGCACAGAATTCCAGCTGACAATGGAAGTGGCAGGGGAGATATGCCCCCGGTAAAACAGATTTACTGGTATCCAGCAAGAAACTTTGCAGTGCTAAGAAAGTTTGAAGTCGAGAGCAGTGGGGTGGGCAGAGAAGTAATGGAAAACAAATGCCCTTCAGGTTAAATTCTCCAGGGTAGGTTCTCCAATGCAGCAACTAATATCAGAGTTAATTCCCCCCCCCCCCCGGGGGGATGTAAGGGGGCAGAAGAGGGAATTATTTATATCAATAATGTAATTTTATATACAGTGGTACCTCTGGTACGTTCTGGACCCCTGTTCACATCCAGAAGCGAACGCAACCCACGTCCGCAGGTCGCGATTTGCCGCTTCCGCGCATGCATGTGACGTCATTTTGACCTGCGCATGCACAAGCGGCGAAACCCGGAAGTAACATGCTCCGTTACTTCCGGGTCGCCACAGCACACAACCCAAAAATACTTATCCCGAAGCTACTTCAACCTGAAGTGTGACTGTATACTCAAGCACTCTGATGATAAATTCTCAATAGGCCAAATCCTATGCGGTATATTTCTACACGGGCCGAGTGTGTTTCCACACAAAGATCTCCCTCAATTATGGTTTGCATTTCTATATATGAAATTCTGCGATTGTTTTTAATTGCAGAGGCTTTCTTTTTAAAAACAAATATCGTATTTTTTGCACCATAACACTCACTTTTTTCCTCCTAGAAAGTAAGGGGAAAATGTCTGTGCGTGTTATGGAGCGAATGCCTGCGGGTGGCGGGGGGGGGCAGATCTGCTGCAGTCGTGAGCAGAGGATCCATGGTTCCCCTTCCTTCCCTCCTCCGTGGTTACAAAGCATGGATCCACATGGATCCTCAGGATTTTTGCACTGGGCTACTCCAAACTCACTGTCAGATCACATGTCTGTGGCCACAGCATGAACCACAAAAATAATAAATCCACTATTTCGTTTAGAATATTTTTTTTCTTGTTTTCCTCCTCTAAAAACTATGTGCGTGTTATGGTCTGGTGCATGTTATAGAGCGAAAAATACGGTAAATGTGAAGTCGCTTCGAGATATTTCATGGGAAGCGAAGTAATAAAATGGGATTAAATAAAAAAATAAACTGACAGGCTCCCCCCACCCCCACCCCTAATAAAACATCAAAGAAAAGGAAGACGGTTTTCCAGGCCAAGTTTGTATCTATGGCCACATTAAAAAAGAATAATTTGTTTATCCAGGATGGTTGTTTGCAACCGGGTGGGGGGAGGGGAGGGCTTGAAGTGAATAATTTTGCCCTCCTCTTCTGAAGCTTTGCATTTAAGAGAGCCCACGCCTATTGATTTGTCATGTTCGGTCATGTTTCTTTGATGCTGTTTTAGGCCACTGATGCGATTTGTGCCTTCCAGTCTCCTGCCGCATTAGGAAGAGCGCTCTCTGCTTCGGAATCTGGCAACGCTGCCTGCCATGGAAGGGTTTGGAGAGGGAAACCCAGCTGCTTGTGGACCTTCATAGGAAGCTGCCTTACATTGCTCTACATAGCTCAGTATTGCCTACACAAACTGGCAGCAGCTCTCCAGAGTTTCTGGCAGGGATGCTCTCCCTGCCCTACCTGGAGATGCCAGGGACTGAACCTGGGACCTTCTGCTTACAAGACAGAAGCTCTACCCCTGAGCCATGGCACTTCCCCAGGATGGTGTTGTTCATGTTGCTTGTTCATTTAAAAGTAAAGGGACCCCTTTCCATTAGGTCCAGTCGTGGCCAACTCAGGGGTTGCGGCGCTCATCTCGCTTTATTGGCCGAGAGAGCCGGTGTACAGCTTCTGGGTCATGTGGCCAGCATGACTAAGCCACTTCTGGCGAACCAGAGCAGTGCACAGAAACGCCGTTTACCTTCCCGCCAGAGTGGTACCTATTTATCTACTTGCACTTTGACTTGCTTTTGAACTGCTAGGTTGGCAGGAGCAGGGACTGAGCAACGGGAGCTCACCCCGTCGTGGGGATTCGAACCTCCGACCTTCTGATCGGCAAGTCCTAGGCTCAGTGGTTTAACCCACAGTGCCACCCGCGTCCCTGGAGCTTATTCATTTACATACTGCTTAATTGCCAAGGTGGCTTCTAAGATCAAAGCATTTAGAGCAGGAAAACAACTCAGTCAAAACATTAAACATCCACACTTTAAAATGTGCAGTAAAACAAGCCAGTTGAAACAGAAGGTCCCAGTTTACTTGGCAGAGCTCAGGATTCTAGTTTAAAAAGAAAAGTGGATCTCGCAAGCCTGCTCATGCTTGCTCCCATCCACTGGGGAGTTAGGATACAGGGTGCTTCTAAATACCAGTTTCTGGAAACCATCAGAGGGGAGAGACTTTCTCTTGTGCTCATCAGGTCCAGCTTGCATGCATATGGTTGGCCACTGCGAGAACAGGAGGCAGGCTTTGATGGGCCCTGATCCACCAGGGCTTTTCTTACATTCTCAGGTTCTTTCTCCCTTCAGCCTCTGTTTTGGATACAAGAGTGTGCATGTATTTATTCTTATGCAAACACACGCACACCATATCTTCCTGGGTATATCAACCCCGCTTGCAAGGTTTGCCAGTCTGATAGCCTGGAAACTGCACTGTTCGCCCCCTTCTGTCATTTATTCCCCCTGCCCTCCCCAGCCCTGAAACATCTCTGATGCAAAACGAATGCAATTTCCCCTCTCTTATTAACTTGTCTCTTAGAACCTTCAGCTCCTATATTTTCATTAGAACATTGAGTTGTCTTATTACCTTCCTGCTTTTCATTGTGCTGGTTATTTTTCTTTCTTTCTTTTTAATCTCTGTTTCTTTCCACTCTGATACACTGCAAGATTTGAAAGCGAACTGGGGTGGAAGAGAAAATTGGGAGCAGGTATAATGTGGTTTGTGTTTCCGATGCCTTCAGACGCAGCCTGTGAAAGATTTCAGGCACTTCACTTTACATCTGCCTCACTTTCCCCAGAAACAAACAGGCGCATCCCACCTTAGCCCCACAAATTTGGAAAATTCCTCAAAACGTTTATATATCCTAAAGTTTAATTGCACACCTGCTTTTTCCTTTCCTTTTTTGGGGGGAAAGTTTCTGAAAATGCTTAAACTGCAGCAGCACAGGGATTGGTAAAAAAAGAAAGAAACCAAACCAAGTGAAACAGCTTTGTAGTGGATGAGATTATTTACTTATTTGTAAGGCATTTCTGCATGGTGATTTGACTCTGCCAAGGCATTTTGTGACTATTAAACACCAATGTTGTTCAAGAGAGCATCTGCAACAGAAGAAAACAGGCTTTGAAACCCTATCTAAATGAAATTTAAACACATTGAAACCTTGGTGGAACAAGAATGTCTTGGGCTGCATTCCTGGGGGGCCATAGGATGAAGAAGTAGACGAAGAGTTTGGATTTGATATCCCACTTTATCACTACCCGAAGGCGTCTCAAAGCAGCTAACATTCTCCTTTCCCTTCCTCCCCCACAACAAACACTTTGTGAGGTGAGTGGGGCTGAGAGACTTCAGAGAAGTGTGACTTCTCTGAAGCAGCTGCATATGGAGGAGTGGGGAAGCGAACCCGGTTCACCAGATTACGAGTCCACCGCCCTTAACCACTACACCACACTGGCTCAGCCAGATGAATCAGTTCCTGTGCTCCCCAAGGCCCATGGGATCTCCCCAGGGAAGGAGAGAGAGAGAGCCACCATCTTGGAGGCAAATCTCACCTCCCTTTGCTTCTTCAGTGAGACACTGGATAGGTTCACAGCCAGTGTTCACCCAGTGTAGAACAGGGTAGAAAGGAAATTACATGCCAGTGTTGGAGGTGCTGGGAAATACGAGCTCCCCCATTTCCTCCCACACCACCCTGGAGCAATAAATGTCTGTTAGAGATGGGTACAAACGAAGTAGGAAGGGACGCGGGTGGCGCTGTGGGTTAAACCACAGAGCCTAGGACTTGCTGATCAGAAGGTTGGCGGTTTGAATCCCCGCAACGGGGTGAGCTCCCGTTGCTCAGTCCCTGCTCCTGCCAACCTAGCAGTTCGAAAGCACGTCAAAGTGCAAGTAGATCAATAGGTACCGCTCCGGTGGGAAGGTAAACGGCGTTTCCGTGTGCTGCTCTGGTTCGCCAGAAGCGGCTTAGTCATGCTGGCCACATGACCTGGAAGCTGTATGCCAGCTCCCTCAGCCAATAAAGCAAGATGAGCACCGCAACCCCAGAGTCGGCCACGACTGGACTTAATGGTCAGGGGTCCCTTTACCTTTACCTTTACAAACGAAGTAAGAGGAAGCAGAAGAAATGCTTGTCAAATCTGAAAGTTCTTCACCTGTAGCTTTGGGATGGGCAAGGCTCTCGCATCCGATTTTAGGCTAAACCCCTAGAGCTGGCATAGTTTTGGGGTTTTTTTAAGGCCAGAACAAAAAAGAAAGGGGGGGAGTGCCCTCCTCCCTGCCCCCTGCCAGCATGGGCCCAGCAGAACATTAAAAAAGGCAGATCCAGCCACCTTTGTTTCTCCTTGTCCACTGACTGTCAGGAGGTCCTACACACAAGTAGGAATCCGGCAGAGACACATGCCCTGCTGGCATGTTCTCTCCCTCCTGGTCATTCGTTTGGGAGCTTCAAAAGCTTTCTCCTGCTCAAACATCTCAGCGACTGATACCAAGAGGCATCATCACACTTCAGGATCAGCAGAGTAGAGGCAAAAAATGGGGTAGAGGAGTGAAGTAAATTTTACTTTTACACTTATGCATTCCACCAGACAAGTGAGAAGCAGTATCAGAGTTCAAGCACACCTTCAATCCAGGCAAAAACATTCAAGGAGGGTTCAAAGCAGAGCCAGTGATCTAGGTGTGTGGTGTGGGGAAAGTCCCAGGGGCTGGATGAAGGGGCCCGGAGGGCCACATTTTGCCTGAGTCCTGAGGTTCCCCACCCCTGGTATCCAGCAAAACTGCAACCTCAGCCCATTAATATTTTCCCAATGTGGAAGATGATTTGCTATTCATAAGTTTCCTGTGTTTTATTTCCCCTGTCATAGGTTGATCCACTGTTTGCAGAGGAAGTCAAAGAGAAAATTAAAAGGTAGGCTCCTAATTTGGAGATTTTTTAAAAAAATAAATAGAAAAATATATAGCTATATTTATTTCTCCCGAATTCTCATTGCAAACAAATCTCTTTCCATGTTGCTCAGATTTACTTGAGAAGCTCAATTCCTACTGAGACCTCCTATGTTCACTTCAGTTTGAGGTGGCGATTTTACTGAAGCATACATTTTCTGGCTCAGAATTATGAGTGTTAAGGGCTCGTAACATTCACCTTGAATACAAGACAAGCATTATGACCCCATAATTCTTCTCTGGCTTGGATTTTCACCCAAGCTGGAAAAGGCAAACCAGGTTGCCAGCTGATAGATAACTCTAAAAAGAGCTCTGAAAAAGAGGCTTCTGAGCAAAATTAGCCATTTATAATCCAAAATTGAAATCCAAAATGTTTACGTTTCAGTTTATGGGTGGGGGAGCTGCAGGGGAGGTTGGGAACATTTCAGGAGAAGGGAGATTAATCCTGTCTTGCTGCTACATTGGAAGGTGTGTGTGTTAAGTATTTGTTTATTTTGATATAGCACCACCAAAGTATGTGGCACATTTTATGTGGATGTTCCTGAATTTATGGGGAGGGGCCACAGATTAGCGCTAGAGCATCTGCTTTGTGCACAGAAATTCCCAGGTTTCATCCCCAGCTCAGCCTGAAATCTTTCTGCCATCCAATATCTCCAGACGACTTTGAAGTCCAGTGTCTGGAGGCCAACTAACAGACCCAACCATCTTTGCTTGGTAGGGCGGATGGCGTGCATTTGCTCCAGGAGATCTCTCAAGAAGACCTGCACGCTCTTGTGAAAAAATGCTTTGCCATTGTCAACAGTTCCATTTCGGAGGGGATGTCGGCCACGATCTTAGAGGTAATTGCATCTGAACATTGACCTTCATGTTGAACGTTCCCTTGCTCGGCTGGTTTGAAATCTCCATCAGCTGTCTGCCTTCCAAAGCCCGCAAAACACAAGGGCTTCCTCTAAAACATTATGCAGGAACAGTTAGCAACTCGCAGTTTCAGCCGGCCTGTGAAATTAACAAATGCTCAGCGGGTGAGGAATGGGAAGCTGTGGCCTTCGTCTTGTTGTTTGCCAGTCTCAATCAAAATCGTCAGGACCGATGGGAGCTGTTGCCCAGCAATATCTAGAGCAGGCATAGGCAAACTCGGCCCTCCAGATGTTTTGGGACTACAACTCCCATCATCCCTAGCTAACAGGACCAGTGGTCAGGGGTGGTGGGAGTTGTAGTCCCAAAACATCTGGAGGGCCGAGTTTGCCTATGCCTGATGTAGAGAGACAACCTCCTTCCTTATAGTCCATCTCAGGTGCCAAGATCAGCAGAGGGGGCCCTCTTGGTACTTCCAGCACCCTCAGAAGTCCAGGGGGTGGCTACAACCTAGGACAGAGCCTTCTCTGTGGCATCCCCAAAATTGTGACATTCCCTCTGTGTATAGATGCACCTGGCATCTTCATGATGTAGCTTTTGTTGGATGCTGAAGACACACCACTTTACCCTGGCATTTGACATCAGAGAGGGAGAGAGAAATGAACCTACCCCGTTTTCTTGACAAAGATTTCTTTTAACTGATTTATTTGTAACTCACCCCAGTAAAAAGTAATGGACCCCTGACCATTAGGTCCAGTCGTGACCGACTCTGGGGTTGCTGCACTCATCTCGCTTTATTGGCCGAGGGAGCCGGCATACAGCTTCCAGGTCATGTGGCCAGCATGACTAAGCCACTTCTGGCGAACCAGAGCAGCACACGGAAACGCTGTTTACCTTCCCGCCGGAGCAGTACCTATTTATCTACTTGCACTTTTGACATGCTTTCGAACTACTAGGTTGGCAGGAGCAGGGACCGAGCAACGGGAGCTCACCCCGTCGCGGGGATTCGAACCGCCGACCTTCTGATCAGCAAGTCCTAGGCTCTGTGGTTTAACCCACAGCGGCACCCGCGCCCCATACTCACCCCAGTAACCTCATTCAAATTTGGGGCTAGCAAAATCAACAGGCCTCCCCTGTCCCAAAATTGTAGAGTTGGAAGGGATCCCAAGGGCCACCTAGTCCAATCTTCTGCACTGCAATCATCACAGCTAAAGCATCCATGACAGTTGGCCATCCAATCTCTGTTCAGCCTTCCAAGGGAGTCCATTCCACTATTAAACAGCTCTTGCCGTCAGGGAAGACACAGTGGTGGGTGCAGGGCCAGCAAGCAATTCTATTTGTGTGTCATAATGCCTGAACAATGCTTGTTATGTGTAATATTTCTACATCTATATTTACATAATAGTGGCCATACTTTGCGTAATTTATTTTGGCTTGACTTTTCATCTCTGCTGCCCTGTTTTAGTAAGCAGAGCCCCGCCTTGTTTCTTGATAATCCTATCGCTGTTTTTTTTTTATCATCTTACTGCAACGACGGACAGAAGCAAGGTATTCTTGCGTATTAAGAATTCATAGCAGCTCTCTTGAGAGACTGAGCGTCCCAGCTTTTTGAGAAAAGAGGAGTTTCTAGGCCTCACAATGATAGCAAGTCACAATCACAAAGTAGGGTTGGTCCTAAAAAATGCCAAAGGCCACTGTAAAAAGATGTGTGTTCAGCAGCAGCTGGAAATGGTACAAATCTGCATAGTGAAAGGCCAGGAACAGGTCTGTGAGGAAGGAGGTCCACAACTTAGTGGCAGGAGCAAACCAGCAGTAAATCACACTGAGCAAGTGGGAGTTAACTCTTTATTATCAGAAACAGGATCTGCATAGGAATGTCAGGCCTAACGAGCACAGCAACTCTTCTTTGGTAGGTCTTGCCCATATGAGGCAGTTGCAGAGGCTGAAGATCCACCCCTTCCCACAGCTGTCTAATTCTCCTCCTTTCCTGTGTTTCCCCCAAGCAATCTGAGACTACCTGCAAGCCTTTGCTCCTCCCACTTCATGCCTCTCCTGGTCCTGGGAGACCAGGGGGAGGTGAGGTTCTTGCAGCAGGAGGGGGAGACACCCTGGTTCCTCTCAACCTCTTGGCCTGCTTTCTGTCCTGCTTCTGCTTCTGGACTGCTCTATGCCACAGATTCTTCCTGCTCACTAAACCCTGTTACCTCTTCAGCTTCTGACACCTCCTCCTCCGAATCTTCTCTCTCTTCTCCCTCTGCCCATTCATTGTTGTCCCACCACCAAACCCCTGGCAATGGGCCTTCTCCCCTTGGCAGTTCCCCAGCTGGTTCCTCCCACCACTCCTCTGTGTCCAACCATTCCATATCCCTTAGAGGTTGAGACAGAGAACACTTTCTCCCCGCCAAAAAAAAGAGAGATTTTGGAGCTTGGTGGAACAACCACAGGGTCTTCTTCCATCAGCCTTAGCACCCAAGAGGCTCTATAGGAATGGAGGTGTTTTTTTCCGGGTATTTAGGGCTTTAAACACTAATGAAAGCACCTTGACTTACGCTTGAAAAGAAAAAAGTTATTAAATTCAGGGGAAAAGAAAAAAGTGGGGTAGGGGGGAAAGAAGCACAAATCTCCAGTTTCTTTCAACACTTTCCTCTAATCAGCCTTCCAAAGGCCAAAGGGTCTCGAGGGTTCCTTACCTGAGAAGCTTGGAAATAAAATCTGGATCATCGCCGACAGGCCAGATCCCCTTGTGCTAAACTACCTTCCTCAGAAAAGAAGTGCAAAACATTCATGCACGGAGTGGGAAGGGATGATGGAGAAAATCTGTACGCAGAGTCCGAAACAGAACTTCCCCCATTCCATGAGGAAAATAATTACAGTACGTTCCTGTTGGATCATGCCATAGTTGCAATTTCTGGCCACACTTCTGATTTCCAATCAAGCTGTGTTGGTCCAAAAGTGGTCCAGGTGCAAGAACACCATTTTCTTGCCTACTCACTAAAAGATTCATCAACACCCCTAACGCCTTTCAATAGATCTTATCCATTGCTGGATTGTCTCTCCAATCCGTTGCTGGGTTGAATGGGGCCGCAAAACAAGAAGGAGGGAGAGAATTTCTGCCTAGCCTTATTAAAAACAAACAGATAAATAAATCACCACCAGCTTCACATTCACCTGCTAGGAAAGGCTCGAAAATATAGGCACTTCAAAGTAGTAGTATCACACAATATTTCAGAATTTATTGGGGGCAGGGAGGAGGTGACTAAGGTGCTCTATTTTGGCTAGATTTATTCATTCATTTCTAAGATTGTTATAAGGGACAATTTGGATCTGTCCCACTTCCTTTTCTTTAGGGATCACCCTCCCTGAGGTAGGAAATTCATAAGTGGTGAAGCCGCCCATTTCTCAGTTCTTCTCATTACCATTTTGTGTTCTTTTTGGTAAAGGATTATTTTGTCCATCTTTCCCATGGGCGATACTCTTGGCCCTGACAGCGAAGTAGCACCATCTGCCTAGAAAGGCAAGAGAAGATAGCTCTTGAACAACAGTGCTATTTTAATTAGGAGAAAAAACAGCAACCCTACCTGAGATGGTCAACAGGAGGAATGACCATCTGTCAAAACCTTGTTTTCATTAACCAAGGCAGAAAAACTGCTCCAGAAAATGAAAGTGAAGCCTCAGACAGTGCTTGGACTCCACTGATTAAAAAAATAAATTCAGGACCATCTTGTTCAGCCAACACTACTTCCCTGGGTGGATTTGAGCTACGAGGACGTCCAACCTTCTATCAAGAGGGTTTGGTGGGCTCATAAGAAGAGCTCTGCTGTGGGTTAGATCAAAAGCCCATCTAGGACACTTCTTACAGTGGCCCCCTCTCTTCTAAAAAAACCACAAATTGTGGGTCAAGTGCAAGTGGATCAGAAAAGCATGTTCATGGAAGCATAAATGTCAGCCAGGCAAAGAGACAGGTTTGTTTATGGTTGAGTCAGATCAGGAAGAACCTTCTTTGATAAATGGGTTGCAGCCAAGCTAAGACCTGAGAGTGAGCTATCTGCCTCCAGATTGTGTTTAAAGTGACTCACCACACGAGATGCTGGTCCACAGATTCAAGGGGTTCCTGGTTCAAATTCTGATGCAAATGCACACTCAGTGCGGAAAGAGATTCCCCAAAGACTCCATCCCGCTTCTGTTATGTACCCTCACTTTCCTTATTTTCAGTGCTATTTTTCTAGAAAAAGAGGTGGCAGTACTCACCATTAACCCCTCCCTCTTTGTGTGGCAAGTTCCCGCCTCTCCCCTGTGAAATAAAGACACATGAGACAATCATTTAAGGTTAAGGGGCTAAAATGGCCACAACTTGATTGGTTACAGGTAATGAGTGGTAAGGGACGCGGGTGGCGCTGTGGGTAAAACCTCAGGGCCTAGGGCTTGCCGATCGAAAGGTCGGCGGTTCGAATCCCCACGGCGGGGTGAGCTCCCATTGCTCGGTCCCTGCTCCTGCCAACCTAGCAGTTCGAAAGCACTCCCGGGTGCAAGTAGATAAATAGGGACCGCTTACTAGCGGGAAGGTAAACGGCGTTTCCGTGTGTGGCTCTGGCTCGCTGGCCACGTGACCCGGAAGTGTCTCCGGACAGCGCTGGCCCCCGGCCTCTTGAGTGAGATGGGCGCACAACCCTAGAGTCTGTCAAGACTGGCCCGTACGGGCAGGGGTACCTTTACCTTTAATGAGTGGTATTGGTTTAGGCATTGGTCCTACTCGACTAACCGGCTTCAGCCTGTTCGCTTGAAGTCCAGGAAGGGTTAACCACCAGTAGGGGGAGTCCTGCTGATGCACATCAACTAGGGACTCCCCCGGGGTCACCGCTCGGGGGTGTGCCTTGGGCCCTCACCTCCATAGGTTTCGGACAGGGCGACGCCCCCTGGAATCCTTTACCAGACTACCCTTCAACATGCGGGGGAGGTGATGGCTCTTCCTCCCCCCCTTCATCTACATAACAATACCCCTACCAGTGCCTCACCGCCAATGCCGAGGAAGTTGTGACGATTTGCTACGAGGTAGGAGAAAAACCAAGTGGCTGGTGCCAATTTGCCAAGTGGAAAATATTCCTACCAGGCCCCTTAACGGCGACCAACTGAAGTCCATAGCAAGGTCGAACAGAAAACCTAAAGGGAGGGAGGGTGGGAAACCCGATGAGCTGAGGCGGCAAAAGAGGGCAGTTCCCGGCCGTGCCAGTGTATATACTCTAAGCCACGCCCCCCAGGCCTGGGTATGACTCGGCCAGGGATTCCTTCAATCGTGTGGGGGCTGAGAGCCAGCCCCCGCACAGGTGGAGGGGGCGTGAAGCCCGCAACTCCACCTCCTCTCAAGTTTGGAAGTGGCTTTCTCTTAGAATGGCAATGGCACCTGCCTGAGAGGTGCCAGAACTCACCTGAGAAGTGCTGAAACTGAGATCTGGCAATTTCCTCTTGAAAAAAAACCCTGCTTGTTTTATGCATGTCCTTCGTCGCTCCCAAGTGTCTGGGCTGAAATTACCACTCACCCCATTCCCAGTTTTATGCTCCCCATTGGAAGACTGGAAATTTGTTGGTGTGCTGGCCCTCCCCGTCCAGTGAAGAACTCAGACTCACAAATCTGGTTCTGCAAGAGGCTTTGATTTTCAGATCAGATCAATGCATTAGGCGACTGTCAGGTTACAGAAATCAAGAGCAAGTGCAAGAGAAGTTAAATGCATGGCGCTAAGCGTGAGCTAAAGCATTAATCCAACAAGCGCCACATGCCCTCACCTTCCTTGTGAAGATTGGGGCAGGCACAGCTATTTGTGCAGCAAGCGACTGGAGTCTCACCACTGTGCAATCCAACAGAGACACCAATTCCAGTAGGTTGGCTAAATGAGGTTTGTCCACTCCATCAGACATATCTTAGGTCTCTAGAACAGATACCTATCCCCCAACCCACTGGGAACCTAAAAGAAGTTTTTGCCTGGTTGCTCAGAAAGGGATCTGACCCGCAGTCTGAAAATAATCCCTAGTCCTGCCTTAACGCCTCCCTTTGCTGAAAAGAATTCAGGCTGAGATGATGGCAGTTAGAACCATCACTGGAGCAAACTTCATAGAATCACCCTTCTCCCTTCCTAATAGTCAAAGAAATCATGGAATTCTAGAGCCTGCAATGCCATTTGTGGCTGTTCTGGCTGCCTCAGCATAGGCAGTGAAAAAATGCTTGAGCAAAGTTCCCCTGCTTACTGGCAAACACGTTCCATTGAAGTCAGAGGGGCTCACTTTTGCGTAGATAAGTTTAGCACCACACTGTTAGCCAATTAATCAATGAAACAGAGCCGTCCTTCCCACTAATGTGTTTGTGCGCCAGTGTGCAGGCAAGCTCAAGTAATCCACTTTTTCTGTTTTCTACCCCTCCACCCCAAGAAAACCCCCAAACTTGTCATGCTTTCCTTCCGGGCCGATTACACCACGGGGAAATCACGTCCCCCACGATAATGACAGTAATTAAAAGCACATTCTCTCCTAAGTGCCAGTGAATCGGTATGGATTGAACAACCTGGAGAGTGGATTTCTTTCTGTTGTCTGACACCGCAGTAATTTGTACAAGATGAGCCATTAAGCGCTCAAAGGCACCACATGTTTTTCAGGATTTCTGAGGCTGGCGGCGGTAATTAAAATTTCAGGTCGGGCGGGGGGGGTGTTCCGCTTGACAAGTGCGCAAGTGGGCTCCGTGCGCTTCCCCAGAGATATCGAGGATTTACCTCATGCCATTCTATGCTCCGGTGGTTGCTGGAAATTTCTGTCCCTCATGAAGATTAACCTCTGGCAGATCTGCCGGTGCTCTCGAACCCAAATAAACCCAGATGATGTATTCATAAGCACACAAGAAGACCCCTGCTGGATCAGACCAGTGGCCCATCAGTTCCATAATCCTGCTGTCACAGCAGCCAACCAGATTCCCCAGCAAGAAGCCTGTGTTCAGAAACCTGCTCCACAATCTTCTGCAAATTTCCAGCTCTACCTTACTAACCCTAAGCCTTTTTCTCCTCTGTGTTTCTCCACTAGGCAATGGATTTAAATGTTCCGGTGATGGCAAGGAATATCCCAGGAAATGCTGCAATAATCACGCACAAGACAACTGGGCTGCTATACTCAAACCCCCAGGTAAAAAAAGAAGTAATGACCCAATGCACACTTGCATTGAGAGCCAGTGTTGTGTAACAACTAGAGCAGGGGTCAGCAACCTTTTTCAACCGTGGGCCGGTCCACTGTCCCTCAGACCATGTGGTGGGCCAGACTATATTGGGGGGGGGTGAATGAATTCCTATGCCCCACAAATAACCCAGAGATGCATTCTACTTATGTAAAAACACACTGATTCCTGGACCATCCGCAGGCCGGATTGAGAAAGCGATTAGGCCGCATCCGGCCCACGGGCCTTAGGTTGCCTACGCCTGATCTAGAGTGTTGGACTAGGACCTGGGAGATGAGGGTTCAAATCCCCACTCAGCCATGAAGCTCCCTGGGTGACCTTGGGCCCGTCACTCACTCTCAGCCTGACCTACCTCACAGGGTTGTTGTGAGGATAAAATGGGGAGGAGAACTACATGTGCCACCTTGAACTCCTTTCAGGAAAGGTGGGATATAAATGCAATCAATAATAATAATAATTAATAATAATAAATGCTGGAATTTAAACCTACATAGGTTGGGGTTATGGTATTCAGTAGTGAAGGATATGATCACCATTGATATCAAAAGACACGTAATTCATGTTGGGTTCCCTCCTATTTGTATTGTGTTTCCTTTGCACTGAAGCGAATGGCGTGGAATAATGTAATAATTACATAATAATTACCCATCTTCATTGTGACTAGCACTGTTCTGCTGTAATTCGGTTTCCAACAAAAACCGTTATTCACCTCATTTTCTGTACTATTATCTAATTTATTTCATAAAGTTCTGCCACAACAGACAGCAAACCAAATAACATATTTTCGTCAGAAACCGAACTGTAGCAGAACGGAAGCGCTGCTGTATGTGACAGACATGGCTCAGAATGGAAATTGACGCCTTCAAGAAGGACACTGACAAACTGGAACGTGTCCAGAGGAGGGCAACCAAAATGGTCAAAGGCCTGGAAACGATGCCTTATGAGGAACGGCTAAGGGAGCTGGGCATGTTTAGCCTGGAGAAGAGGAGGTTAAGGGGTGATATGATAGCCATGTTCAAATATATAAAAGGATGTCATATAGAGGAGGGAGAAAGGTTGTTTTCTGCTGCTCCAGAGAAGCGGACACGGAGTAATGGATCCAAACTACAAGAAAGAAGATTCCACCTAAACATTAGGAAGAACCTCCTGACAGTAAGAGCTGTTCGACAGTGGAATTTGCTGCCAAGGAGTGTGGTGGAGTCTCCTTCTTTGGAGGTCTTTAAGCAGAGGCTTGACAACCATATGTCAGGAGTGCTCTGATGGTGTTTCCTGCTTGGCAGGGGGTTGGACTCGATGGCCCTTGTGGTCTCTTCCAACTCTATGATTCTATGATTCTATGAGATTACACTTCGCAAGGGAACAGGAACAGCAGCCTTACAGATTGTCAGATCATCAAGCACAGTATTGTCTACATGGACTGGCAAGTGGTCCTCCAGGATTGGAGGCCGTGGCGTTTCCAGACCTACCTGAAGATGCCATGGACCTAACCTGGAACCTCCTGCATGAAAAGCAGGTTTTCTGCCTCTGGTCTATGGAAGAGGGCAGGTTAAGGGGAAGGGCTTTCCAGGGGCTGCCTGCCACGGAACAGAGAGAAAAATGGGGGTTTAATGAATTCAACTCTTACCGCTTTGAAGCTGGCTCAATTCCAGCCATGTGGAAGCCTGAGCCCAACCTGGCTCCCTCGAGATGTTTTGGGCGACTGCTTCCAACAGCCTGATTGTGCTGGATGGGATTGTGTGAGTTGTGCCTAAAACGGGCACCAGGTTGGGGAAGGTTGGTCCAATGTGTCTATAAACACGCTTCTCTGTCCTCCATCCAAGCTAGGAAGAGGCATTATCACATTTTCTTCTAAGATGCCAACAGTAAAAAGAGAATGGAAGCACAATACGACCCAGCGATTGCAAAATTAACTGAATAGGTTAGATTGAGGGAAGGAGGCAAACGCAGGGCCAATCTGAAAGATTAGGGTCTCCTTTTATGACATATACGGAGCAGAATTATCACATACAATAGCTTTAACATCTCTTCGCAGGTGAGATAAAAGGTAGCAAATGCAGAAAGAATAGCACTGATGATTAAAGTGTATTGGATACTTACAAAGAATGAAATCATAATAGGATGTGTTCTGCAAGAATAACAGTTTTCAGAACACATAATCTTTGCTTCCGTATGCTTTTGTTCAGAAAAAAATGACACACACATACATGCAAATGAATAAAACAACACATTCCAGGGAGGCAAAAAACAGTCAAGAAGGTGCAGTGCAGGCCGGTGAGGGGCGTGGCCTGGGGAGAATCCTGAGGGCCAGACAGAGAGCATGGAGGGCCACATATGGCCCAAGGACCTGAGGTTTGCCACCCGTGAAACAGAACTTGCTTTTCAAACTTTGGCAGGTTCTCCTTTCCAGCGAAGGTCAAGGGATGGTCTAAAACTCTTTCAGCGCGGAATCCTTCTTCCTCAAATAAAAAGGCAGGGCTGGTGGTCAGGGAGGATTCTGTTGTGGCTATCAATTGCACAGTGGCCTCTCTCCACCAGTGTCACCCCCACAATAAACCTAGGGGAGGGTGGGGGAGATCAGGATCTGGCCCACCAGCTGGATCCAGTCTCTCCCCACATTTGGGGCATGCATATATGAAGGAGGTGTGAGACCAGTATCCAAAGTTGTTTAATGTTCAGGAACATTCGAGTATGGAGGCCACGAAGGACTAGCCGAACTTGCAGACTCAAGATCTATGGGCAATAAGCAACCTCTGCCTGAGATCAAGCCGTTCTGTCTCTCCAATGCACACCAGGGGTGCGGAGGTGAGTTCTACGTTGATACAAGTACCTTTTTCCCGGAAAAACCAATTGCATTTGTTAACAAAGAGATTCATTTGTGAAGACCGCGGGGAACAATGAACTCTCCAGGGAGAAAAATGTTAGGCACAATCGTTTTATCGGAAGAGGGGGTGGAAGGAGGGTCAGGGGTAAGGGAAGCGCGACTGCCAAAGTCTAATGAAAACAGAGAATCTACCTTCCTCAGACTTGACTTAATAGTATGCATTAATCATAGGCACTCTGAACAAAAATGCATTTTACACTCTGCAGTTTTATTTAATCTGTTGGTGTTAGGATTTTTCTTTTCTTTGCGGAGCACGTTATTATTGCACTTAGCTGATTTTTGGAGGCCAAAATTTAATTTATAGAATCAACAGGATTAATACTCTCACACACCCCTCCTTTCCAAGCCTAATTAAGACCACCAGTTAATTGGGATATAGGGTGAAGCTTCAAAAGCATAGGTTGCGTGCGAAGGAGACATGCTGGGGACTTAAAATCAAAGTGATAGTTGGGTTTTGCTTCTACCTGGGTGGCAGCTGCCTTTAGAATACTAAACACTAACCAGATGGGAGCTGTGGAATATCAGAACATAGGAAGCTGCCTTATATATGTCCTTCTTGAACTGTGGTGCCCAGAACTGGACACAGTACTCCAGGTACTGACCAGAGCAGAATACAGTGGCACTATTACTTCCCTTGATCTAGATGCTATACTCCTATTGATGCAGCCCAGAATTGCATTGGTTTTTTTAGCTGCCGCGTCACACTGTTGGCTCATGTCAAGTTTGTGGTCAACCAAGACTCCTAGATCCTTTTCACATGTACTGCTCTCAAGCCAGGTGTCACCCATCTTGTATTTGTGCCTCTCATTTTTTTTGCCCAAGTGCAATACTTTACATTTCTCCCTGTTAAAATTCATCTTGTTTGTTTTGGCCCAGTTCTCTAATCTGTCAAGGTCATTTTGAAGTGTGATCCTGTCCTCTGGGGTGTTAGCCACCCCTCTCAGTTTGGTGTCATCTGCAAATTTGATCAGGATGCCCTTGAGTCCATCATCCAAATCGTTGATAAAGATGTTGAATAAGACCGGGCCCAAGACAAAACCCTGTGGCACCCCACTAGTCACTCTTCTCCAGGATGAAGAGGAACCATTGATGAGCACCCTTTGGGTTCGGTCAGTCAGCCAGTTACAAATCCACTGAGTGGTAGCATAGTCAAGATCGCATTTTACCAGCTTCTTTACAAGAATATCATGGGGCACCTTGTCAAATGCCTTGCTGAAATCAAGGTAGGCTACATCCACTGTGTTCCTTCATCTACCAGGCTTGTAATTCTGTCAAAAAACAAGATCAGGTTAGTCTGACATGTCTTATTTTTCAGAAATCCATGCTGGTTATTGGTGATCTCCTTTGGGTCCTTTTGGATATTGGCAGTGGGATAATAACAACAGCTATTTCTCACCTTTTCAGGAGTTTGTCCAGCTGTCTAAAAGCCTGATCGGCGACCCATTTCTTCACAAAGAGATTGTAATGAAGGCAAAGGAATACGTCACAAAGCACCACTCATGGGAACACGAAAGGAAAGCATATCAGAACCTTGTTCTGATGCTTCAGTGACCCACTTTGCGTCAAGATACAGGAACCCATCATGGATGGATCAAACCAGCCAAGCCAATCAGATTTTTGTGATTAATGACACTTACTGATTTCCCCCCCCCTCTGTATCACCTGCTCTCTGTGGTACCAGTTGAAATGTATCATACAGTGGACACTAGAATGATTGCAGGGGTTTTTTTCCATGAGAGGACAATATTCACAGATACGGATAATCAGTGATGTATCAATATGATATGTTTTCTTGGAATTATA